ATGGTCTCGAAGCGTAGCCCGATATTATTGATAAACAGCACACAACGGCTTGCAACAGCCCAGTGCGCCGTCTTCAGCATCTCGACCAGCTCCTCTGCAAACTCTCTCTTCTTCGCCTCGACCGCCGCGCGGCGCTCGACGATGAAATCGTGTCTGCTGTTGATCGCCGCAACCACCGACTCAGATGGCTGGATATCCGCCAGCAACTCCTCGTCTAATATCACCATCCGCTCCAGCGGCCTCCCAAACTCGGACAGCGCGAACAATGCGCCGCCGGTCAGCTTCTGGATGGACGCTTTATCCACGGCGCATGCCTCAAGATACAGTCTAATCATCTCTGGTGCAACCCGCCAATCCTTCGAGATAGTCTTGAGCAGGCTTCCAAAGAGCAGCGTATAGAGACCGCCCTTAACGCGATCGAGGTCTTTAGCCGCAAGAGCAGCCTTGAACGCCTTCAGGAGCGGAGGAATAATCAATGGACGCCCACCAATGAGCACCTTGAGCGCAGACTCCGCTGCCGCCTGCGCATTGCGACGCACTTCCGTGTAGAGCGACATGCTAGACTGCGTGAGGTCGAGAAGCAGCGCCTTGTCGGTGCCGCACTTCTGGCGCCCCGACGCATTATGCCTAACACGCTGAAGATGGTACACGCTGGCTCTCTTGATGAGAAGCGGACGCGGGTAGTTCTTGCGTAAGCCACTGACCTTGAACGGGTTGATATCGGCATTGTACAATTTTATCACGCGGTCGAGCGTGTGCGCCGAACGCTCGGTACCAACATCCGTGATCCACACCTTGTATGCGCTGTATAGCGCCGTGAAGCATGCGACATCGTCCTCCTGGTGCTGGTTGAGGAATGCATGAGTGCGCGACAGCAGCTGCCCAACCTCGCTACGCAGCACGTGGATGCGCACGAATTCCGGGCTGTCTGGCTGGAGGAGGTAGCCCGCCTGGTAATGGAACTGCGGGCGGGTCTCATCATCATCGCCTTCAGCAAGGAGACTATTTTCTTCATCATCCTCGTTCCCATCCGCATCCGTCATATCCAGATCGCGATCCGCGTCACCCTCACCATTCGCCTTATGCGTGCCGCGTTCCCCAGACGCCTCCTTGGGATCGAACAGCGCCGAAAGGCCCGAGATGACGAGACGCAGTTGTGTTAGGTTGCGAGACACCTCGTCAGACCAGACTTTAACCTTGCCGCTGCGGCTCACAGACGGATTATCGCTCATCAGATCCGTTAACCTTTCCGTGGCCGTCTTAACCTGCGACTCGAATAGCTCGACCGCGAAGGCAATCTCTTCCTTGGACGGGCGATGCCAGTTGATGGTAAGCTCCGACAGCGGGGTCTGGCGGCCCCAGTCCTGTGCGTCAACGCCGCGCGCGATCACACTAGGCTCGTACAGAGCGTTGTCGACAGGGTACGTGAGAGTCAAGTTCAGGAGGAGATGGTGGATGTAGTTGGAGATGTGCACTGTAGGCAGTCCACGGCACTTCTCCTGCATGTACAGCGCGATGTCAAAGAGCTCCGTCTTGTAGTCCATGACGTCGGCTCCGACGTGCACGATGATCATGCTGAGCATGCTGATGTGCCATACGAGCGCGCGGTCGCGAGGCAGCACGTCGGTGCCGCTACTACGGTCGGATGCCGCGCCGTTGTGGTCGATCTCGTTGCGGATCCCGACGATGAGCATAGGTACGAAGGTACGCAGCGTCTTCTTCGGGTTCGCCTTGCACATAGCGTTTGTCATGAATGCCACGGCATCGCGAGCCTGATGGACGACGTGTCCGCCTACGAACGCAGCCAGCTTCTCCAGCGCGACTTCGAAGACCTCCGGCGACATTGCGGCGAACAGCGGCGTCAATGCAGCGGGGAGCGTATTGATAACGTTTTCTTCGGGCGATCCGCTCCTGACCCTCGCCGCATCGGGCAAGTTCTCAAGCAGCGTGAATATCTTGCCCAGCAGAGCGCGCACAAACTCCGCAAAGCCCGCGGTGGAGCTACGCAGGATATTAACTTCGTCCTCGTCGCTGAGCCCCTCCTTGTAGTCCAGCACCACGTCCTGGCCCTCAATCTCCATCTTCTCCATCTCGCCCTGTACCCACTGCATCGCCAATGAGGTATCGTGTATCCCGCCGTCTGGCCGCGTGATATCAACAAAGGGAATGCTATATGCGACCGCCTGGAAGAACGTAAGAGTATTCATAGTCTTATCCAGATCATTCGCATCGATGCCAGGCAGCGCGAGTGCCAGCAGTGCCGTGATGTGGCAGCGGAAGCCCTTCTCCCTCGCCATAATAGGCGCCACCATCTGCAGCCCCCGTAACGACGAGCTCGTGCGGTGCACCTCAACCAGACCTTGCAGCGATGGATAAAAGCGCTGTAGTGCACCCGGTAGAATTACGCTAGGCTCCAGGTACGCTAGGCCCTGCAAGGCAGAGAGGTAGTGGTTCAGCGACTTGGAGCTCTTGGCAAAGATTCCCATGAAGGTGACTTCCTTGAGGCACAGCACGAAGCGGCGCTTCAGCGCATCGTTCAGTCTGCGTTCGGGTGGAGTGTCCATCTCGCCGCTGCGCTCGCGGTTCCAGCGCATGACGAAGAAGTCGACGAGGTAGTACGTCAGCTGCGATAGCATTGTCGTCCAGCCACCCTGGTTCGACGGGTGGAAGAACGTATCCACCGACTCTATGAGACCTTCTAGGTTTGCCAGGATGGAGCCCGGGGCGTCCAGACATGCGGGAGACAGCGACATTACGATCCATCGCGAGATAGTATATGCGATGGGATGCTTCTTCTTGTCTCGCTCGAGGTATAGCGCCGCGCCGACGCCGAGGTCGACGTTGCCGCTGTACGGTGATGAGGCTTGGCCGACCGGGATCTCGGTCAGGCGTAGGATGGCGGTGAAAATGAGATCTGATTGCGCCTTCGAGAAGACACCGTGCTCACTAAATGGGACGTGCTCACATGCTAGGATATCGCGTGCAAGCCGGGAGAAAAGGTCGATGAAGATAGTATCGAAAACCTTGGACCTGTTAACCAGCGCCCACAGGTGGAAAAAGGTTGGTAAGTAGTCCGCTGGCTGCAGCTGACCCGGCTCATCCGGCGCCGCTGTCGTTGGCATGAGCACATTCAATACACCCCCTACGATGAACGCCCCTGACACCTCCGAGGTCGAGAAGTACGGGAAGATCTCCTCAAACATCGCTTGCCGCTCCCGCGGATCAAAGTACAGCTGCGCCAGCATACAGAAGCGCGCAAGATGCCTTGAGGGCCGCCTCCTCAAATTCTGATGCGGCGCCGTCTCGGTCGGCAGCACGAGGCTGCGGATCTCACTCCACAGTGGCCGCCAGTCGAGGGTGAGGTCCTTTCCGGGCTTGAGGTAGTGCTTCTTCTTGGTGAGCACGAGGAACATGGTGAGGAAGCGCTCCGCGGAAGATGGGTCCAGGCCAGGCGCAAGGCTGAGCATGTAGTACAGCTTGGCCAGCTTAACACGCAGTTCTCGCGTGATCTCAAACTTGAGACCCAGCCAGCCCTTCAACTCTCGCGTCCAGTGCACCGCGCCCGGTGCAAAGTCCTCAGCCCGCACCGCCGTGTATAGCTGCTTCAGGATCTCTTGTAGGGCGACATTGCGTTCGGTATCGGCTTCGACGGGATATGGTAGAAGCTTGAAGTAAGGAAATGTGCGTGGTCGGTAGCGGTGCTCGCGCTCGGAGTCGCTGCTGCTGCCGTCCCAGCCAAGGCCAGGGGAGGTAGAGCGGGAGAAGGCATCGGAGTGTGGGGTCTGGGCATGTAAGCTGCCATTGCCGAAGTTGTTCATTGTGTTTGTATTTTGGAGGGAGTTTGTGCGCAGATCGCTAGGAGGAGAGGTGGTCGTGTATGACCGTGTTCAGCTGCAGGTCTGGGAAGTAGTTAGCTATTTGTGTTTGCCATTGGTGTGCTTGCCATTGACAAAGGGTGAATCAAGGCTGTAATGTAGAGTCCCATCTTGAAGCAGGTAGAAGTGCATATATCACAGCCTCGTAGACCTCTGTGAGCAGCGCCAGCATCAGACTCACCTTAAATAACCTCAGCTCACCCAACCTTTCCTTCCTTCCCTGTCGACCGAACCAGCCTTCAAGCTTCCCAGCAGCTCACTCAGCCAGCGTCTCCCAAAGGCGCCGTCTATTCCGCGTCTCTATGTCAGCCTTGGCGCAGACGCAAACGATCAATCGGGCTCGTTCTATTCGGTTCCAGTATCTTGGATTCCTGCACAAACAAACAAAAACTGGTTGTGCAGAAGATTGAAGAGGGTGTACAGTGTATAGTTTGTGTAGTGTGGCCTGGTCTCGAAGCTCTTGTCCACAGCCTTGTTGCATAGGCGCCGTCGGTTCAGCGATTACCTAATGCAGTGCAGTGGAAGCTCGGGTACAAGCTCCTAAGCGCGGTGGAGGTGGTGATGGAAGTACCGTGGCAAAGTGGTACCGTGCACACGACCTGTTCCTGCTGTTCCCCACAAAAATGACCTCGTGGGTGTTTGTTATCAACGATCCAAGAGACCCGTATAGTAAACAAATTCAAATACCAGGGAATATAGAACAAGCCTGGTCTCGTCTCAGTCTGTGCAATAATAGCAACTGCAGCATAGATGAAAAATCTACCACAAGAAAATTAATAATATCAGGTTTTTCGTAGAATTATTCTCAAAAGAGAAATTAAAAGGGTTCTGTGTTCCCCCGGGATCCGGGGCTGCGCCGTCTTTATGAGAAAATGCTATATCCCAGGCTCCAAGAAGCTTTACGCAAGCCTCACTGTCACTCACGACTGCTGACAATTAACGCCCATAATATACGTGCTTGTGGCACAGGCAACATCTGTGAACCGCCACTAGGGGCAAAATAATAAGGGGCTGGTAATTACTATACTTAAAGTAAGAACATCACTGGTTTAAAAAGTATACAAAAGGTAAGGGCCCGCGACAGGAACCCCTTCATACCCCTTACCACCAACTGGCCAGTAACACCATCATCATATAAAATCCCTTAACATCAACTAGCTCCCTGCATAATCCAAACAAACGTTATTGATAAATATAGCTAGAAAAAGTCCCGGAATATGACAAAAGTGACAGAAACCGAGATACCAGGCGAGCCTCGGCCGCACGAAATGAACCCGGAAGCTCGAACAACAATCAGAACAGAGCTAGCAAGAAAACTCCTCGAACCCACAAATTATTCAAGTCATTGAAATTCATCAACTATGAGTTTAGAATAGGCTCTAAACTCGTACGTGCGCTCGGCTTTATAGTGAATAAATGTATCCATTAGATCGTGGCGATCGGTGACTAACGAACGTGCTGTAAATATAAATATCCAGGATCACTAATTTTTTAGAGCATCAAGACTGCAACAAGAAAGCCCGCACCGAGGCAAACAGTGCTACCCAGTACTTTGTTGGCAGACCCGGAGTAGACCGGCGATGTACTCGTAGCATTATCCGCCTCCGTGGCCGCTTCAGTTCCAGCAGCATTACCACCAGCATTCACCTCCGCCGCCGGATTCGTCACTGTGACAGCGGCGCCTCCTGCGGTCACGGTTTGTCCTTGGTAGACGACGACGGAAGCAGGTGCGACACCGACGCCAACTTCCGTTGCGCCAATGGCAGGGACCAAATACGTGGAAGGGACGGCACCCTCGCTGTGGATGACTTCGAATCCACCAGGGCCGAGACTGACAACTTGCTGTGGCAGTGTTGGTGCGGCGCCGGCGGCTGAAGAGACTTCGGCTGGAACGGATACGACAGGTGTGTCGGGGTTTGGCTGGTTGACAACTGGAGTATCGGGGTTTGGCTGGTTGACAACTGGAGTATCAGGGGTTGGCTGGTTGACAACAGGAACGTCAGGGGTTGGCTTGTTGACAACTGGGACATCAGGGGTTGGCGCAGTCGGCTCAGGAACAGCAACCGTGTTCGTAGGGAGGTCCGGAACAGCAGTCGGTCCTGTAGCTGCTGATGTAGTTGGTACTACTGGCGGCACAACAGGTGCAGTCGTCGTCACTGGGAAAAGCCCGTCTAGTGTTGGCATAGCATACGGAGGATCGAAGAGCCCAAACTTGTTCCCGACGTTGCCGCAATGGTTCCAGTATGGCAGCCCCATTTGCTTGATCGCCTTTGGGATAACGAGGTTTGGGTTGCAGCGAGAATCAGCGTTCTTCACCGGGTGGGTGTTTGTCATCGCCTCGCTGTTTTCGGTGGTTGGACAGTTCTTGCCGAGATCGCTGAGATAGAGTTGGCGCGTGGCGCGGCGAGTGGTCGCCGTCATATCGTCGTAGGGGACAAGCGTCGAGACGTCGGTGAGGTCGAAGCCAAAGATTCCATTGCTAGTTGTAGGCCCGAGAGGTCCGCATGGATTCCAACCGTAGATGGTGTTAACTACCATGTACACGGAAGGCGATGTGCTATGGCTTGTTAACGAACTGCTCTACTAAAACCATAAGTCTCTAGTGGCCTCTCTTACAATGTATAATCCAGCTGGGAATCATAGATGGTTGCTGGATAGGAGTAGTTCGTATCCGTTGGCCAGTAAGTGAGCTGAACGGTGCCAGCTTGGCTGTTAGATGTGTTAGTTAAAGACTCGAATATGCGCCTTGGAGAAGCAAAACCTACATGCTACACCATGGGTCGTTCCATTGGTATTGACTGATGGTCGAATTGTAGTAAGAGCATGTGTTGATTGGAACCACCTGATCCGAAATTGGCAAGTTTGGGGCCTGAGTGATGGTTGACGGCAGACCGGTAGATGTGGCAGAAACGGCCGTGGAATTCACTTCGCCTACGGGAACAGCTGCAAGATATTAGAAGAAGCGCAATGGCATGACTTCGATCCGCGGAGAAGGCATTATGAGATACATACCAACGGCATTAGTAGCCTTTGCGAAGAAGAAGAGCGCGAGCAATGCGCAAGGCGCTGAAGCGAACGACATTTTTAAACAGGCTCCAAAGAGCAAGCAAATATGTAAGTAAAGACAGTGAGGTAGGTCAAAAACAGGAACAGGAATAGTAACGAAGATCACAGTTATGGAAGTAAAGAAAGAGGAACCACCGCCACTTAGCTCTTGCTTCGAGGCAGGCCTCTTCGTATACCTTGCACGATGGATGGAGACGAGGCGTCATGCTCTCCCACTATCTTGCCACGCCCTATGAATATCAATCCTAGTGAAGGATTCCACATGAGACTAATTAGCCTAGCCATTAATTTCATTACGTTGTATTATTTTGCTGCACCTGCCCACTATGGTACAGAACATAGTATTGATACGTGCCCAGGTGAGGCTGAAGTCTGGGTTGCCCCTGAATAACTGGGGTTTCGATCCAGCCCACCACTCAGATCTAACATATGGCTTCATCCAGGGGACTGAATCCTTCAGTAACGACCCAACGTCGTATGCGGACACATTTGATGGGTGAGAACCATCCGCTGTGACCCCATCTATTGATGGCGGATGGCGAGCCGTCCCACCCCACTTAACAAAGAATGCAACCCACTTATATCATCCAAAATACTGTTCTCATACATCGGCGGGATATTCCATCTCATAAATAGCACTTCCTCGGCGTTATTCCCTGTAGGTGTGTTAGGTTCACCGTCGAAGTGAATCTTAATAAACCCACAATAAGTAGGGGTCAGCAAGGGATAGCATCCGTAGTACACAATAACTCGGGTTCACATGGCTTATTGATAGCTTACCTTGGCATGTTATGCTTGACAGGTATGGCATGGTAAGGCGTTCCTGTCTTCTAGACTGTCTTCGTTGGCTTGTGAGCGTGACTAACCCGGAAAAACGGAGTTGTCGTGATAGTTTAGGATCCATTCCATCCCGCCTCAATTGCGAAATGGCTGCATCGTTTTTAACGTCGTAAAGAAACTCAAACCAAAATGTATTCTGCTCTTGGAACACTGCTTTTCACGCAGTGTCTGATCAGAATATGTGATGCTGTTCCAGACAGCGTTGTGGTCCGTGAGAATATAAACACGGCAGACTTAGCCCAAGCCCTCGTGATCCCGCCAAGTCAATACTTGTCAGTCACCCGCTTTCTCAATACAATTGATCGAGAGTTGCTAACATTTTCGCAAATTTAGTGAAGGCATCGATGGACCATGGAGCACTTTCAACTTGCGTGTTGGGACGCCAGAGCAAGATGTCCGCGTTACGATTTCCACAACTTCCCCTGAGACATTGGTGGTTCTGTCTGAGTATGGATGCTCAACCAAGGTCTTCGCAACCGTCCCAGCGGGTTGCGCAAGCTCGCGTGGTATGATGTTCAGTCCGAACACGTCGTCGACATGGATTGACAACGGTTTCTTTGCGATCAATCAAGATGGTGTTGGCCTTGAAGCCAATCTTGGCTATAGCCAAGCTGCAAATTTCGGAACGGAAACACTCGGCTTGGGTTTGGTAGCTGGTGCAAATGGAGTTACGCTCAAAAACCAGACTGTTGGAGGCATTGCTTCTACGTCGCCCTTCTACTTGTATGACCTCCTTGATATAGAAGATCCCGATCAAACCATACTAATACAGACAGAGGAATTTTCGGCCTCGGTACCCAACCAGCTAACCTCAGCTCACTTGGTAATTCCACAGGGCCGACCTACTTCACGTCTTTGAAGAATCAGAATGTTATTCCTAGCCTTAGCTGGAGCTATACAGCTGGGGCAATGTACCGTATGCTACTCACCTTACTCGCTACTCTCCCATCTCAATCCTGACGTTTTCTCAAATAGGACTCAAACAGGTATATGGACAACTGATTTTCGGCGGCTACGACACTTCTCGGTTTACTTCCAACTCCGTCTCCTTCACCCTCGCTCAAGATGTCAGTCGCGATATAGTCGTCTCTCTACAATCCATCTCCTACAGCGGCACTGTCCAGGCATCCCTCCTCGCCTCGCCAATTCTAATTTTCATCGATTCTACCGACCCCAACCTCTGGCTCCCCGAAACTGCTTGCAAGCAATTCGAAACAGCTTTCGGTCTTACTTTGGACGATACGACTGGGCTATACCTTGTGAATGACTCGCATCACCAGACATTGCTGACGGAGAATGCGCAAGTAAGATTTAGACTCGCGGATACGCCTACCGGCGGGGAAGCGGTTACAATTGTACTTCCATACTCTGCCTTCGATCTTAAAGCAGAATATCCCATGGTCGCGAACTCGAGTCGCTATTTCCCGCTCAAGAAGGCGGCGAATGAGACACAATACACGTTGGGACGAACATTTCTACAAGAAGCGTAAGTTTCCTACGTCTATTGACAAGATATGATGCTGAAGATGAAACTAGTTACCTAACAGTGGACTACGAGCGCGGAAATTTCTCAGTGTCGCCGTGCTCGTGGGTTGAAGGCGCAGCAGCGAATGTCGTTACGACTGCATCAAAGGACTCCACAGCCGTAAACAGCGAAGGGCCATCGACAACTGGAACGGAAGGAACGACAGGGAGCCCGGAATCGACGAAATCCGGGCTTAGCACCGGTGCTATTGCAGGTATAAGCGTCGCGGCCGCCGTCATCGTCCTCGCCCTCGCAATCGGTGGATATTTCTTTCTCAAGAAACAGAGACAAAAGCAAGCCTCAATGCAGACGATCACATCCGTGGACCCAAATGACGATGATGCAATCATTGCCGACTCAAAATCGATACAGAGTCATCAACTATCAAATCTTGGGGAGGTGCCGAAGCATGAGTTAAATGATACCCAGATCTACCAGATGCATGCGGGAGATGAGCCGACGCATGAGTTGAATGATACCCAGATCTACCAAATGCAGGATGCGGGAGGCGTTGCGAATCAGGAATCGAAGGGGCATGTAGCTTACGAGCTGACAGGGTCTGAGGTTCCTAGGGTAGAGCTAGATGCGGCTGAGAAGAGTAAACCTACGAGTCCGTAGAGAGATTTAAAATTTACTTCAAATTGATGAATAGGCACAGGTTGATCCAAGGGCGAGATAGATTATAATCATTAGGTCTAATATTAATCTGCATGTCATGTATTAGCATCGCATTTATGTTTTGTTGGTGTGGGGAGCTATATTACTTTGTCCGTGTTTATTTTCTCACATCTCTCTCATGGTTTCTAGGCGAGCACATAAACGTATTCTCAGATTATAACTTGTTGGTATGCGACAAGTTTCTATAAAGTCTCTATGGCACTGGTAGATCCTATCACACAGTAGCAAACAGACAGTCACTGTGGCACGGTAACAAATAGACTGTCACTGGAGCCAATAGCCCGTTATTCTGTAGCCCAAATATCTAGCTAGACCCTATTTCCCCGAACTCTGCTTTAGATGCGATCGGTTCTCTTTATTCTCTGGTTAAGATGCAGTCACCCCCTTGAATATCCTATGTAGGTCACTAGTTAGCCTTCTCTACGACGTACGTCTAACTACATCTCTACGGTAAGACAGGAACGGCAGGCAACTCACAACGCAGCAAGACGGATACGTGTTAGAGTTTTCTTCCTGGCAGAGATTTCCAAAATCGTCATAGTCCTGCGGCACTCGTGAAGCTACAGAGTGGATTAGTTATGGAAAATGGTAGGGGGTAGGGAGGTGTTGCGAACGGTTCGTGCATTGAGTGTTCCTGCTCATTGTGCAGCACCGGGGGGTATTGAAGGGGCTACTCTTGGTAGGACAGGTGTAGGCCGCAAGGGAGGGGGTGAGGATAGCGGCGTAGCGGCAAAGAGGATAACGATGTGCATTATAGCGGAATAGGGGTTGGAATGGACTTTAAGATGGTATTGGAACGGGGAGATTGACGGTGCGATGGGAGAGGGGAGAAGGGGGGTTATATATACCTCTATCTAGTAAGCTGTATCTACGTATGATTCAATGCTATATTATCTGAGACACTTTATATATACAGCGTCGAATATCTCAGTCTCAGTTCAGCTGGCACAAACTTTGAGCTCTTAAACAAAGTAAGATTCGTTCCCACCTGTGGAATGATTCGCCCTAACCACCTTGCCGGCGTAGCACATGTAATTATATGAGTCCCAGGTCAGCCCTAAGACGCGTACCTAGATTAGCTAGTTGTGCCACCGTCTAAGTGTATATACAAATCTTAAGACTGTCCTAAATTGAAGACTAAGCTTCAACCTAGACGGTTATACACGGTTCTGGGACCGTCTCAGGACCGTTAAAAATTTGATGGATCGCGCCGGCAAGGTAACTACGAAGCAGTAGATAAACCTCCATTATGTGATAGCGGCCATCTCAACTTTAGAAAGTGAATAAGTGAAGATCATAATTAGATCGCGTAGCATCGTGACATTCAATTGCCATGATTGAGTTAAGCTCTTGCCCAGTAACAAACATAGCATTGTACCATGCACATCAACTTCCACCAAGACGTCACTCAAACTCAGCCCCGCAGCACCGCCCCACCCCCACTTCAACCAACACCTTAAAGTACGCGCAGCTTACACTTCAGCTCTCCTTCCTTCACATCAAACATTTCTTTCCTTTAAAAGTTATCTTCATCCTCTTCATCATCCTAATTTTCTCTTTGTTTCTTCAACGGTGAGATTAAACAGCACAATGGGTGTAAGTTGATATCGCACTCAGTTTACCCCACAGCTACGAACTAACTGAACCCCTAGCTCGCATCGAAAATGGCCGCGGCGCAAGGCGCTGCTGGTGCCTACGGAGCTCCTCAACCCCCATACCCAGGTGGTCCAGCTGGCGGGCAGCCTCCTTATCCTGGAGGACCAGCTGGTGGACAGCCTCCATATCCCGGGGGACCTGCACAGGGTGGACAGCCGCCATATGTAAGGCATACTCGCTGTGCGAACCGCTATTTCAAGTGCTGACTGTTTAGCCCGGCGGAGGTGCGCCAGCGTACCAAGCTTATCCAGGAGCGGCGCCCCAGGGTCAGGGTCCACCACAGGGTCAATACGGACAACAGCAAGCATACGGTGCTCCTCCTCCACAGCAGGGTTACCCACAACAGGGTGGACAGAAACCAGTCCGCCAGGCACAGACAAACCCGCAAGCCTACCGCGGGCTTCTCCAAGCAACAATCCAGGAGAAGAATCTCCAAAGCTTCTTCTCGAACCCAGCCACTCTCGATCAGATATGCCAGGGTGCGCCTGGAAAAGTGCAGCACTTGGTTCAGACATGGAAGGTTGAGCCCGAGGTTGGGCAGGATATCGTCAAGCTTGCTCTATTCGATATCATTCTTTACGTTGGTATGTATGCTCGAAAGACAGTCAAAGTAGCTATTCTAACACCGCCCAGATGACAGTGGATCCATGCAATTCGAAGAAAATGGCGAGCGCATCTCAGATCTCAAGCTCATCCTCTCCAAAGTCGCCTTCGCTGCCTCCCTCTTCGACTCCGACGGCATTGAAGTCCGCTTCATGAACAGCGAAATTCAAGGCAACAACATCCGCAACGAAGCCGAAGTTGAGCAGCTCATCTCCCGCGTCCAATTCAAGGGTCTCACACCCATGGGCACCCAGCTCCGCAACAAAGTCCTCGAGCCGCTCGTCATCCAAAAAGTCCGCTCCAACCAGCTCCGCAAGCCCATCCTCGTCATCACAATCACCGATGGCCAGCCCGCCGGCGAAGCCTCCACCGCCGTCTTCGACGCCATTCGCTACACATCTGGCGAGCTGGCCCGCTCGCCTTACGGTAAGGGCGCCGTGAGCTACCAGTTCGCTCAGGTCGGAAACGATCTCAAGGCGCGCGAGTTCCTCGGCAAGCTAGACGACGAGCCTGGAATCGGCGAGCTCATCGACTCCACCTCCAACTTCGAGGTTGAGCAGGATGAGATGTCGCGCGCCAACCCACCGGTCGATTTAACCCCCGACCTGTGGCTGTGCAAGCTCCTCCTTGGTGCCATAGATTCAAGCTACGATACCAAGGACGAGAAATCCAACAGGCCAGCCGGCGGACAGCAGGCATATGGAGCACCACAGGGTCAATATGGCGCTCCCCAGGGTCAGTACGGCGCCCCTCCCCCAGGCGGACAGCCGCCCTACGGCGCACCTCAGGGACAGGGCCAATACGGCGCTCCTCCACCAGGCCAGTATGGTGCTCCTCCTCCAGGCCAGTATGGCCAGCAGCCTCCATACCCTCCCCAGGGACAGGGGCAGTACGGCCAGCAGCCTCCTCAGGGGCAGGGACAGTATGGCCAGCAGCCGCCTTATGGGCAGCAGCAGGGTCAGTACGGTGCGCCACAGGGTGGACAGCAGGGATACCCGCCGCCACCGCAGCAACAGGGCCAGTATGGACAGCAGCAGTATGGTGCCCAGGGGGGATATCCGCCACAGGGGCAGGCTCCGCATAAACCACCTGTGAATTTTTATCCTTTTCGTTCTTGAGAGATCGATCGCTGACAATGAATAGAAGTACTAGACATCCCTACGTCATGATGGTGGGGTAGTCGAAGTCGGGGGGTTGTGGATTGTGGTTTCTACATAACTCTAGCAATGAAGTAGGCTTTGGCCAGATTTTACGTGTGATGAATTGGCTATCTTCTCGAGTACTCGCTGGTATTTTATCGAGGATGGATGTATTTTGATATTAATGTGACAATGATGTTTTACGCCTAATCCCCATCCCAATCCCCATCTCCTGATAATCCTTATATACCCGTGAAGTTTATGTTATACACCTCTACTCCCCTCCGCGCCATCCATCCCTAATCCTGTTCATCGAAAGGCCCGACGATATCCCGGAGCTGGTGTTCGTGTGGCCCCTTGCGCGAGCGGCGGTTGCTAGGGTTACAGAGAGGGAGGGGGGCGAGGAGTTTTTCGAGAGAATGCTGCTGTTGCCGCCTGCTTCTCACCGGCGCCTCATTCTCGACACCACCCCGCCTTCTCACCCCAGTATCCCCATCAACGCCTCAACGTCCATTTCGCATCCTCCATCATAGGTCAGCTTGTGCTTTTCGTGGGAAGCAGCAGAGTCGTTGCCAATGAAGATGGGGGTTCGTTCGATGCTCGATATATATATGTCTCGAACGGGAAATAAATCCGAAGCGTCGGCTACATCCCCAGCTATCCCCCTGTGAATATTCCATGGCAGCCTCCTCCTCCCTATCCCCATCCCCCACCCGCTTCTTATCACATAAACCTAGTCACTAAACCTCGAATACTCCTCAAAACCCCATCCTCATCCCATCCCCGCTCACATCATCCCTACATCCGATCTACGGATTATCAATTTCGCTAGAACTCAAGCAAGCCAACCTCCCCTAGCATACACCCCATTACGAGTTTCTACACATCAAAACACAGCCAACCCACTACTCATCGACACAAGACTCGACCAAGATGCACACTCGTTGACTCGCGATACCCATATCGTCGTCGACCAACTAGCAAAATTAGAGAACAATACAAACACATCAAAATAGATATTCGTCAAATGTTTGTGATTTACAAGCTGGCCCAAAAGTAAGGAATTGTGCGTCATCTCCGTGAAGACAACGATCTATAAGTCCCTGAGCCCTGCCTCTCACCATCGCTCCATTCCGTCACTACCTTTCTCACCACCACGCCTCTCACCGTTAGCACCCCTGCTCACCACCACCGCCCTTCTCGCCGCCACCCCCCCTAACGCCCCTCCCTCCCCCTCACATCCTCCGTCGTACCCTCTCCCTCTCCCTCGCACTCGAGTTCAGTTCCCGAGACCGCCCCTCTATCGTTGGTAAGGCCCATTTTGTGCGTGATTCGAAAATGGTCACAGGAGGAGGGGCGGTTGGATTTTATGCTGTTTTGTGGTGCTAATGGGAAACGGGGGGGGGTTTGGGTGAGGATGTTGAGGGGTGGGGAGGGGGAGGGAGGTGATTTGTGGGGAATATCCCCTAGCTACGTCTTTGTGAATCTATCACCACACATCTCCTCCCAGCCTCGTTCCCTGGCCCTTCTCATCACAGCACCTCGAACACCAAACCTCGAATATCCCCCTAATCTCCATTCCCATCTCCATCTCCATCTCCATCCGCCAACCCTCCCATCAACTCACCAACCACTTCACATATACCCCCCCACCCCATTCCACCCCCCTCTCGATGAATCCAATTCAAATCTTCAGCCACTCCAAACTAGGAAAGATTCAGAGATTTCTAACCACACTCCATTCTTATTTTTCAGTCTCGAGCAGTTCCTCACATACGCCCTCCTCCCTGCCTCTCTCGCTATTACCACCGCCGCCGCTGACTCTGTTCTCGTCACCCCGACCCCCCTTTCTCGCAGCCGAGTTCTCACCACCGCCGCATTCTCGTCACCCACCCCCCTTCCCAATTCTCATCAAACGCACCGCCCTCCCCTTCACGTCCTCCACCATACTCTCTCCCTCGTGCAAACAGTTGAGTTCACAAGAACACAGCCCCATGCCTTCCATGCTATCGGTGGTTCCAATGAGGATGAGGGTTAATTCGAGGCTCGAAAGGGGAATATATAAGAAGCGTCGCCCCTATCTCCCAGCACTATCCCCGTCACGAGCCCTTATCCATGCACGTCTCTCCCTGCTACTTCTCATTACACGCACTCCCGGAACCAAAACACGAGTACTCCCCAAAATCCAAACCCCAAATCCCATCCCCATCCGCATACTCCTCGCTCCCTGCCCCTCAAGCCAACCACGTACATATACCACCCCTCCCACCCCCTTCTCGACATACGCTCTCTAGCACACATAAAAGTAATAAATGACACAGGATCAAGCTTTCCGATACATCAACATCCGATTCCGAGTTTCTAGTCCCATGGAATTGCTACATACGTCTCCCCCCCCCCCACGTCTCCCTCTCGCCCCCTTTCACCACCATCACGCTTCTCGTCACCACCACCACCATATCTAGCCACAGCGGCCTTTCTCACCACCACAAACCTTCTTCTCACTACCGCTCCCCTTTCCCTGCATCCCAGAAGGTCCCCTTTTCTAATGACCACTAGACTTAAATCTCCGCAGTTTCGCAGCTCGGTCGGCCGCCGACGTTGTCCGTCATAGAAAATGGGAATGATCCCAATCTCCTCTAATACCAGGGGACGTGATATCTAGTACTCCCTTATACCAACCTATCGCGACGCGAAAGAGCGAGAGCACATGGATGGGCGGCATCCGTGTTGGCAGGTGGCTGAGGTAAGAAAGAACGTGGTGGGAACAAAGGGAAGTATATATAGGAATATTCTTTCCGCATTCAAAGCTATTCTGATCTGATTGATATGAAAAAAAAGTAGTGGGATGATATACCTCGTATAATCCGCTCTGGTCTCTTTTCTCCTTCCCCCCTCCCGCTCTCAACAAACCCCATCCAAACCTCCCCTAACAGTCTTAAAAACACCACAACAAGTTCACAAAACACCAATCACCCACCAACCACCCCCATTACAAGCACACCCCCATCTCCGCCGCGGTAAGATATATCCCCCTCCGAGTTCCCACCCAGCCCGTCCGTCATGAGCTTCCCGAGTATTCCATCGACCAGAACAAGATATATAACAACGCTGTTCAGTTCACACTCTCAAGATAAATCGTGTACGCCCCCAGGAATACCAAATTTTCTCTACATGGCCGGCCGAACCAGCGTGGGCACTACGGCATCGATCTTGGTGGGGGGGGTGAGATAACAGGGGAAGATGTTAGCAAGACAAGTCAAGGCAAGGCACGGGAAAGTAAGATGAGATGGAATGGGAAGTATCACTCCCCATTCAAAAATCCTATTCCGATTTAATTCCGATATAAAAGTGGTGTAATCTCTACTCGTACAATTACCTCCCGTCCCCCTTTCCAACCACCACCATTAACGCCCCTATCCCAATCCTAATTCCCCATAAACACTCCAAAAAAGAAAAAAACGCAGCATATGCATGTATGTACGCCAGTCTCACCACAGGCCTGATTTCCACCCCCCTCGCACCTCGCTATGCTGATACCCTCCTGTGTATGCGACGCTAAGTTGATAAGTTTCGCCGTCCTCGCCGTCCTCAGCGGCGTCGACAAATAAAAAATGAAATGTGGTTGGTAGTAGTAGTACAAAGTACAAAAGAACAAAACATCGTGCTGTTGAAGTATCGCGTATCGCGTGTTCGTCGAACCATCGTCAACTCCTCCCCCCCTTCCCCCTCCTAAAAAACTTAATAATCGAACTAAACCTCCGATTCTCCTTCTCCTTCTCCTTCTTCACCACCGGTGGCGGCGGCGGCGTCTTCTTCCCACCCACCTCCCTCGCCATACTCCTCCCCACAACCTCCGACACCGGCCTCCTCCGTTCCTTCACCGGGACCTCCCTCCCCACAACGCCAAGCCCCGGACCCAGCACCCCCCCTTCCACCATATCCAACGACGACCCCCTCCCCGGCGTCCTCACCCCCTCACTCCCACTCGAACTCGCCGGCCTCCCCGCCTTCTTCTTAGCAGCCTTCTGCATAAACGCCGCTCCATTCGAGAACGAGCGTTCGGGGGGTTTGAACTGTTGCTGCTGAAACGCCGAGGGCGGGGCCGAGTTGCGTTTATTCCCTGCCCCAGACCCAGCCTCCGACTCGGCCAGAGCGGCGGAGAAGGTACTCGCGCTGAATGTCGCCCTCGCAAACACGCCGCGCCGCGAGCGCGTCGTCCCGGTAGAGCTATCCACCGATTCAGGGATGGAAGTGACGGTGTTACTCCTACTCCGTCTATGTCTCGCCGCACCACTAGGCGTGAGCGAAAACGAGCGCGGCCTCTCCCCCTTAGACGACGGTGTAGACGACGAAGACGGTGTCGCGAATTTCCCCGACGAAGTAGGAGAGCAGTAATCCCCATACTTAAACGACGGACACCACCCCTGCTTCAGCGCCACCCAAACCGCCGAGACCTCGATGAGTAGACGCTGCTCCTCATACACTGTGAGAACCTTGCGATCCACACTCACAGTCACGTTCGAATCGCTATCCCCCTGCTCCCCGCCATCCAACGACGTCCTCGACGACACAGGCGGGTGCTCCTCCTCCGAATTGGCGACGGGACTGTACGTATCCGAGATCTTGAGCGTACCCTGCGTCAACGTCGCCAGGATGGGATGGCGGCGTGTACTCGGATCGATAAAACTAAACTGGTACCTTGGCTCCGCGCCTCCCGCGGCTGCTGCTCCCCTCGCAGGCGTCTGGAGGGAATTCCGTCTCGATGTCCCTCTCGGCACCCAGCGGCCGATCGTGCGTTCGCCGGTTAGGGGGTCCGTTTTGACGAGCTCCAGTACACCCTTTGATGAAGGGCCGGCGGTCCAGCGTGAGCCGTCTTCGAGGCAGATTTCGACTGTTCCTAGGTCGCCTTTGGGGACTTGACATATAACAGCCAACACGTCCCTATCCCGCGCCGCTTCCTCCACAACAGATTCAACCTCCTTATCCTCGTCGAGAGCATCATAGTCATCGCTCCTCACAATCATAACGTCGTTTATCTTTAGCTCTCCCGATCCCCTGTATAAGTTTGGGAATTTCTTCGACAGCCTCGGCACGAATGTCGACGAGGAAATCACATCCACCATCGGGCGCGGCCGTGCATCCGCCGAGAGCTGCTGTAATTGCAACAACAACTTCGGCCTAATATGCAACAACCTCTGCTTCTGCGTCAACGTCGGCGCTGGGTGCGCGAGGTAATACGACGTGCTCCTATGCCTCCCCTTCCTCTTCGACCTCCCCCGCGCCGCAGCACTACCATCAGAGTACCCACACGACCGCCCATCATCGCTCATGACCTCGTCAAAGTCCGGGTCGAGGAAGGCGACGCGGTCGGGGGTATCGCGGGGCTTGGTGGGTGAGAACTGTCCCGTCGTCGTCGTGCGGAGGGATGGCCTGCTGGGTGTGGTGTCTAGCTGCGAGGTGGTCTTCGTGGGGGCGGAGAAGGGTGAGCGGTGTAGTGTGATTCGCGGTGATGGGGAGCGGGATTTGGGTGCGTTCTTGGAGTATTCGTGGCCGTGGAGGCCGGCTCCGGGGTGTAGAAGGTTCATTGCCCTTTTTTGGGGTGTGGTTTGTTTATGTTTTTTGGGTTTTTGGTATGGGTTGCCCCTTCCTGCGGGGTGGTTTTGTTTTGTTTTCGAGTGTGTGGTGGATTGGTTCGCCCCTTCCTTGCGGGGTTATCCTTCGAGGCAATGCAAGGGAAGGTTGGAAGGGAGGGAGGGAGATGTGTTCGAGGTGAGACACTGAAGTTGATATTGTCTCGTTCGTTCAGAGAGCCCAGCAACGGGAATTGGGTCGTATATAATAGGAAGGCGTGCGTGCGTAGGCGGCCGGTCGGGTCACAGAGCGAGGGATATAGCTCGCTCTACATAGCTATGTATATGTAAGGGCTCCATGCAGATTCGGGGGACGGAGGCGGGAAGGCGGACGGTAGAAGTCGGCGGTCTGAGGTCAGTTTTTTCTGGTAGCAGGTAGCAGCAGGGTGATGACCACCGGGCTTTGTCAGGGTGGAAGGGGTATCTGAGTGGATCGAAGGTGCGAGGTATAATTGAGTGTGTTTTGAGGGGAAAGGCGGCTCTAGAGCAGGGGCGTTGGATGGAAATAGGTGTAGATGGAGGTGGAGGAGGTGGAGGAGGTGCAGGGGCGCATGGATGATTACGCCGAGAGGTTGGTTGAGTAGCAGGGGAGTTGTGGAGGTGTAGTAACAGGGTGGTAGTAGGAGGGTAGACCAGGTAACCAGATCGTCGTACTTTTCGTGTATATGTGTGTGTGGTGGTGTCGATTGGTGGGAGGGTAGTGTTCAGGTGTTCAGGTGTTCAGCCGCAGTAGTTGGAAAGGCTGGAATAGTTGGAAGAGAGAAGGGACAGTAGTAGAGAAAGTAAGTGGTAAGCAGGGATAGTAGTAGTTAGTAAAGAGAGTATGAAGGCAAAGAATGGATAGGTAGAAGGCTGATATGTGCACGAGGACTGAAGTCTGTTAGTTTTCCCTGGAAGTAGTAGTTTGTTATCCTGTCATGAAAGTATTCTTCTTCTCCTTCTAGTGCTACAGGCGTGGATACGATGGCTAATACGATGGATACGATGGATACGTGGATATACGCCATGGAAACAGCCGTGTGTGTAATGATGGGTAAACATGGAAGTAGTTCCCCTAAAAAGTGCACCTAAAAAGTAACACACATGTCATGGCAATCCTTCTAATGCTAAAAGGGGATTAAGGTACAGTCTGGGCAGCAGGATAGTCACCAGCTAACTGACTTTACTAACCCCCACTAAACCACAAAGGGAACGACAAGCTTGGACCTCCACACTTACACATCTCAGCACATTCTAGTATAATCTCTTTCATAAACAATTACTAACTTCCTTACCAGAGATCTAGCCAATCACCATCCACCATCATCCTTAGCTAGCATCATTAATAGCCACTAACACAACTAAAACCCCACTCCTCTCCCTCGGCGCCGACACGGACACGGAGGTCGGGTGAATTGAAAGTTCCTGCACCCCTGTCTGTTTAGTCCGTACCCTTGTCGTCAGAGTACCCTAACTATCCATCCTACAGTACTACACCCCTGCACCCGTCATAGCCTACTCTACCAGTTCTCGACTAACCATACCACTAACCATACCCTACCCATACAGCAGTTCTGCATGTCAGTTACCTCGACTCTCGACTCTCGACTCTCCGGTCAGTATAGGCGGCCGAATCCCGAGCTACTACTCTTGTCGGCCGAGCACCAGAGAAGATTGAAGATCATGAGGAAAGTGAAGTGTGGATCTAGCGTGTGGATCATTAAAAACGGCTGGGTTTGACAGGACAGTTGGAGCCATTCTATTTGTTTGTTTTGCTCCGTGGTATGCCGAAAGTGCCGGCGGCAGTTACAAATTAATTGTCTTTGTCTTATTGTAGAGGTTTTTACAAAGATTTCTCAATGGCGCGCCGAGCCAGACCAACGGCGCCGAGAGGGGGATTTCCAAGTTTCGTCTCTTCTCTTTCGCATTCTCTTTCGCATTCGCTTTCCCCACCTCTAGACCTCCCCTACCTAAACTCCGGGATCCGAAAAGAGCCGCCCAACGCCACTTGCTTAGCTGGATTATACATCTGCAGTACAGTACAGTATCTTCAATCTTCAAGTGTGCGACTCGACCCGTCGAAGAATCTCCAAGTAAGACACGACCCCCCCCTCCCTTCCATCTTCTGTTTGGATACCAGTTGTAGACGTGCAGGGGTACTCCAGTGGAGCGGTGGGAGTAATCTAGAGGTGAAGAGTGAAGGGTGAAGGGTACTCCAGTAGAGCAGTAGTACTCCAGAGGCGTAAGGCTGCCACTCTTCGTACGTACGGACTATCCTTCAAACAGACAAGGGCACGGGGACGGACAAGGGAATGGACGAGGATGGACGAGGGGAGCGAGAGCAAGGGTTACACACCACACCCACAGCACCACACAGCACAGTAGAGCTCCATCCATCATCCAGCCATCTCACCTCATCCTACACCGTCTATTCATCATCAACCGTGTATTTCCCTTCACGGTAAGTACATACAGTCAGTACAGTGTCTTTCCCTTCGTGGTAAGTACATACAGTCAGTTTCGCCAGCCAATTCCCTCAATCCCATTCTTAGTAAGACACGCCCAATCCCCCATCTCGTAAGATCCAACCAGTACAATTCAATCCCTTTATCATACGTCACTCTTGGCGCTGTAACGACTGTGAAGACTGTTGCCTTGCCTTGCCTTGTCCTGTCTGTTCGCCACAAAAGTGAAGAAGGAAGGGTACGGATGCGGTGTACTTTGTAACTATGTAAGCAGTAGTAGTAGTGATTAGTAGTAGTAAACCATGAAAATACACTACACCTGCCATCAATCAGCACACACACGACCAGACCAACCAAGCTCATCAATCAAGCAGCCACTATCTATGCACATCTAAGCACACAAGCACTCTAGGCACTCTAATCACCTCGCACATAACCACCTATAGTCGGCCATCCATCAACCCAAGCCACAAAACCCATCACCACCACCACACAACTCCCGCGCATCCGGCAGTCAACCCGCTATACGCTTACCTTACCCCCCCTTCTACCCACTACCAAAAAGATCACCCCGATCATCCCCGATCACCACCCTGCCACTACCCACCACCACCCACCACCACCCTGCCACTCGCTCTGATGACCACGTCGATCCCGCCACCACCCGCTCCGATAACTGGATATAGGTGATGATGGGTGGCTGCTACCCGCTGCTGCCCACATTAATTGCATAACTACCGGTTATGCAATGTATATCACTTTATGTAGGGCTGATGTGATGGGATGGTACAGTAGTAAACGGATACCGCACCTGCCAAGATCCGTAGTGGGGATCATATCCATCCACTACGGCTCGGTCGCTGGTTGTTAGGGGGGAGGGGGCACGTGATAATTTTGATACTCCGACGGCATTGGGAGTGGATGGATGGTTCTGGGGCTATAGTAGAAGAAAGGTAGACTCCGATGATCCGATGGTAGTTTAACTGCCAGCCATAGTGGGTTTTTCTGCCTTCCCGTGGTGGGGGTAGCTAGTAAGTGACTGAGTGAGTGCCTCGGTGATGGGTTCGGCGGGTTGGTGATGGATGGCCTCGGTGACAGAATAGTAATAGTGATGGTGGGTATAATGTTTGGAGTGCACGAAGTGGGATTACTGAACCACACAACAACATCTTGGCGTGTAAAAAATCCCGCAGGATGCCTTTGTAAGAAAAGGCCGTTCTAGAAAAGAAAACGGTGAAAGAGTCATGGCATATACCGCGACTAAGAAGATCACCAGGATACGGTGAGAAGGCCAAGCAAACAGAGCGTAGACGGGGTCTAGAGAAGTGTCCAAAGCCGGGCGGGAAGGACGACACCGACCACCGACTCTGCGGCCCCATTGATGACTAAGCGGACACTGGGCAGTTCCCGTGACCGAGCAGCAGGTAGTGTTAAAAGCTCTAATCGTCGTATCCAACTTCTCGCTTCACTTAAGGTTGGAGGAAGCGAGATGCGCGCCAGAGGAGCAAGCCGAGGTCGTGAGAATGCTATTCTAGATAAATATACGCTCGTGTCGGTGTTTGGTCCTATGGATCTGTAGCCGAGAACAGATCTTATAAGCGCTGGCGCATCGTGATAGCCGCGCGGCTGGCAAATGTAGCACAGCCCCGCTCGCTGAAGATGATGTGCCCATCACCTGGTCGGCATGTTATGACCATAGGTATATATCTACAGGGTCGCTCTTACCGTATACTATCATTTGCTGTCTACAATGGCAGATCCACTGAGCGTTACCGCTAGCCTTTTAGCGCTAGTGACGTTTGCAGCTAAATCAACACAGTCGTTGCATCAGTTAATCTCGAGCTTTAAAAGCAGTCAAAGAACTATACGAGGCTTGAAAGAAGAACTCGAAGCCTTAAATGAGGTCCTGCAGTCTCTCCATGCTACTATCAGCAATGGAAAGGTCGACCTAACATCGCTAACACTTCCTCTTACTCGATGTAACCAGGCTTGTCAAGAATTCGAAGCGATAGTGCTAAAATGCACGAAGCATTCCAGTGGAACAAGGAGGAGCCTTCGCGACTGGACTACTCTAACTTATATGGGCGGTGATATTAACGCATTTAAGAATATGCTAGGAGGCTATAAATCCACAATTGCTATTGCTCTTGGTGACGCCAACATGTTAGTTTGGTCCAGTCTTGGTTCCTGATATCAGCTATAGCTGACACATTTTTGTAGAAGAACGACTAATGTCACGATTTCTCTCCTAAATGAATATAATACGATGATCGCAAACACCACCTCTGATCTCAAAGAGCACTTGCAAGAGTTAGATGAGAAGCTACAGGCTATTTCACAAGGCGCTCAGGCATTCAATGTGGATAATTTAGAGCAACAACGAATCAAAGAAGAGCGAGAAAGTGCACAGAGCTGTTTAGATATCTGCATTCAAGTTTCTGCACACATCGATGATGTACAACAGAATGCTTTTGTGAACACTGCTGGGACATCAGCAAACAATCAAGACTCTGCGGCCGAGTCCAAGAAATTTACACTAGCAGAAGCAGTCACGAACAATACTCTCACTGACTGCAAGTTGGGCCTAGCCCAAACCACATCTCAGCTTAGAGAACAGCTCCACAGGATTAATGAGCAGATGCGCAGCTCTTCGCAACTTCTTACTCCATCCGGCGAACAGGCAATAGAGCAAGAAAGAATAAGAGAAGAATTAAGGAGCGTTGAACAAAGTTTGAAAATCTGCTCAGAAGCAGCTGAGAAAGCAGTTCCAGATCGAATACATGTCTTCGAAGATGTCTTGATGGGTGACGATGGTGATCAAATCATTGTTGCAACTTTTGGAGATCTGATCTCCGCGAAGCGCGTGACGACTGGGTCTAGATCGAGACAATTCCTTGGACAGATGTCAGATACTTCTCTTCAGCTGCTTTCACAGAAGATCAGTCGCGGCCCATTAGAGGTGGATGTTGATAGGTCTACAGGGAGTAACTCCCCATTTGAAGGACGTTATGGAACTGGACGCCCGCTTAATCCAGGAAGATTGGCTTCAGAAAAGCTAGGTTCGCATGAGTGAAAACATTCACAGATCTTTGTTATGCTTGTGGAAGTAAAGCAGACGTTGCTTTTGCACGAATATGACCAGCTGCGGAGCTAGATATGCGCAGCGCTTCTTCAGCTACAGTCTACAATTGGTCAGGATAGTTGCATTATGTGGTGACATTAGCTATCGTATTGTTAGAATGTTAAATGGCACTCAATACTGTGGTTAAAGGGGAGAAAGACGAAAGAAGGGTGACCGCTAAGAATATTGCACCCTTCTGTGCTGCTGCTCACGGAGACGGTGCTCGGGAAGGATCACCCAGGCACGCTCGCCAGCATAAACAACCTCGCAGTAGCGCTTCGCCTGCAAGGAAAGTACGTTAATAGTCATCTTGTCCGGGCCGAGGATGATAATGACATCCCAATCAACCCTACTGGACCCATCGTTCGCCTGCTTTACCGGGCCAGCATGATATCTTATACAAGTATACCAACGGTTCCTGATCTCTACGACAGCAAAAGATTATCGATAGCGCGTCCGCTGCTAGTAATATCCAGGTTAACCGCGCTGGCGTCTTCGATCGTGCTCTGGACTCATCGCCGATGACCAACTTTAACCCGGCTAACCTGCCCGGTACAGTGGACATACCTGGCCTGTCTATGGCAGCCCTGAGTAATCATGGCTTTCCCTCGACATACACCCCCCTCAGCGACTACGAGCCTATCGTGACACCCACCTATCCATTCGATACATTAGTGTCGACACCAAACATGCAGTATGTCCCACCTATATTAGCGGTATCTCCTCACAACTCTAGCACGCCAATCGTCCCGGCTGCTGCGCTATCAATCCATAGCGCACCATCACGACCACAGCGCACTCGCAATCTTCAGGTGAAGCCCATTGAAGTTCCTCTGTCTAGTTTGGGCAGCCAGTTTCGGCACTCAAAGTACGAGTACGACAGTGATTAGAACGATCCATCGTCACAGATCTTCCAGACAAGCATGTTTAAAAATAGTCACTATAATACTGCACATTACAGCAACCCTAATTTTCGGCCTGAAGAATGGAGTCCAGATGAAGAGAGGAGGAACCGTACACCGAGGAGATTTGACGAATCACAAGTCGACGTCCACGGAAGCTTGTAGTGGCGCCATAGAAGGATATCCTAGTATTTACACCTACAACATGTGAGGGAAGTGAGCAGTCAGATCCGACGATTACTTGCAGAATGAAGACAGAAGGCAAAGGTTATAGGGGATCGTGCCGAATCGCAGGACTGTGATTCCTGCTATCGGAGAGGGATCGCGCCGTCGAGTGGGAGGAGTACCGTGCTTGGGAGGGAGATTTAGTTTGCCGGCGACGCGATTACAAGAGTGGGGCAATGGGTGCTGTGTGTGGCTGACGCCTTTGAAATAGGTAGTCACTATATCGAGAGGTGGTTGATCTTTATCTAGGGTTCTTAGCTTCTATCGGAAGTTGTTGGACTGGGGGTTTTCACACGGTGGTGCTACTTCCAGAAGAGACACCTCGCGCGGGAGATTTGAAGAAACTGGTGGTTCTCATACTGCATTCCACTATTGTGATCCGCTAATTGAGGAATCATTCTCGGGGCACACTCGTGTGCTGAGGATCTCTCCACAAGTCACACTCCTTCTCTGAGATAGGCTCAGTGCGACACGACCAGCAATTTTGGCGCAACGACCTCAACCAGAGCAAAGCGAGTTAGCCCCTCAGCACAAACTATTTATGCTCATAGCAGAGAATACCCGAGATACTGGAACTTATAGTTTGCAACGTAGAGGAATATAAGGCAGAGTATAGGTATCAATTTAATATGGAAAAGTAGATTATGAATATATCCCGTTGCTTGGCCAGACTATGAAAAACCAATGAAAGAAACGAGAAATATTGCCATAGTATCTATTACAATATAACGTATGGCGAGCTCCACGAGTTTGCTGATCTCTACTCGTTCAAATCTCAGTCGGGTGTCCATTACGCCTATTCTCTGACCATCTTTGGATTGGGCTTGACGGCCCAGATGCGGTCACAACTGTAGAGTTGTTCCTACTATGCCCTCTACCCTTCTCGGCCATTTCCTGCACCAACAATTCGTCAAGTTCTAGCCTCAGCCTCTTCTTGTCCTCCACTTCCTCGATTCCCCTCTGGACCATCTCCGACTCCTGCGGAAGCCCGAGTCCATTATGGATAAGTGTAACTTCTTTACCCAAAGCCTGCTGGTCTTGTTCAGGCCAGCTGCCAGGGGGACCAGTTGCTGCTTTTGGGGCCTGAACCCGCTTCGTGGCAATAATTATTGGAAACAACGTAAAAACTTCTGTGAATGGTTTCGATTCAACTACTTGTTGAGGGCCACCATCAGCATACAAGGAGTCATAGTCAAGCGCTGCGACATTCCAGTCGCGTTTGTTTTCTTGATTGAGTGTAGAATTGATGGTGAACGTTCGTTCATCGGATTGAGCAGACGTCCAGACTGATATTGCATCTCTTGCAATATCCAAAAGGTCGGCTTTGAACTGAGGTAAACTCGGTGGATCAACCAGCGAACCGAGAATCGAGAGAACAAGGTTGACAAGCTTGTCTTCCCTGCACTTGAAAGACTTTGCTGTACCCGCCTCCTGTAGGATACCCTCCTGACGTCGTGTTTCAGTTGTGGACAAGGATTCAAGTGTTCGTACTGTGACCGCTCTCCAGACGTCTGCAGAACGACCGCTACCATCAGATTTGGCCACTGCGGATCCCATTTTTTCAATAAATGTAGATAATCTCAAGTCATCCGACGTTATATCGGAAGAGAAATGACGCCAGACTGTATTGTATACGGCGTCTGAGATCACTCGCTGGGCATGGGCAGTTCTAAGTTGCAACGACGTTTCACTATTGGACAAAGGAACAGAAGTAAAAGCTGAGTCGGAAGCAGAAATTTTCGCTGGTAGATTTCTCATTTCCTACGCATTGATCAGCTGAGATTAGGGTACGGTGAGTAGGGGTATAAACCTCATTACTTAACTTTCTAGCTAGGTATTGAGAAGAAATGGCCTGGATTTTGGTCGAAATCTTGAGAAATTCGCCGTTGCTGTATTCGTTGTGAGTTGAATTTGACTCTCAAAGTGCTAGCGTGGGTTAACTTACTAATATTCGAGAGGCTTGCTGCTCAGTGAAAATTCTTTCTGGAGATCTTCCAACTTCATAGCAAGTTGTTCCTTTTCCATTTTATACATGTCTTTGGCTTTGTCCAGATCCTCAAATTTTCCAGCCATGACTATCAACTCATTACGTTGCGTCTCAACCTGCAATTTTAGCTCATTGATTGTATCAAGAGCCTTTTTGCTGGTGGCTTCCAGCTTTCGAACTTTTCCCGCTTGCTCCTTCTCTTTCTTCTCTAAGTCTCTCTCTAGAATCTTCCTTTGAGCGATGAATTCTCTGTCCTGTACACCCTTCAATCGCGAGAGCTCGTTGACTGCTTCGACCCTTAGTTTTTCCTCTCTAGCCCTCAACTTCTCATCATCAGCTTCCCTTTGACGCAAAATATCTTCCTTTTCGCTCTGTAGTCTCTCCTTCTCGGCTCGATTGGCTGCAACTTCGCTCTTAGCGGCTTGTTCTTTATCAGAAGCCCTCTGCTCTAAAACGTCCAATGCAATCTTTTGATTTGATATCGTTGCGTCTTTGTCTACAATCTGTCCCCTTAGCTCTTCAAATCTCTTTTGTACCAGTGGTATTTGAGTGATCTCGTCTGCATATTGAATACATGAATCACTGACGGCTTTAACCGCCTTTTCAGCATTTAACAGCTGCTGAGACGCCGCGCGAAGTTCCTTAGTTAAAGGGCCTATGTATGTTTCAATTTCGGCAGCGGAAGACATATCGTCTCGTTGACGACTGGTGGTATTGCTAGGTTGAGTACTGGTATGCCCGTTGGTATCATGTTGTTCCCCACCATCTGGAGCTAAAGAAGAGCGTCGAGCCGCTCGCCGCGAATCTCGCAGAGGAGACTGTCCTCAAAGTTAATTAAGTGGTATTTTAATTTCGCTTTATCACGATATATCTCATACCATTCTTGTATTCGTCGTTGTGCTATCCTGTTGACTAGAGGTTCGACCAAGTCTAATAGATTTTGAGAAGCTCCGTGCCAAGTTGTTGACACCAGATTGAAATGAGGTTCGTTCCTGATCGTGCCTTGTTATAAGCGCCCTGACCGAATGGTGATTCTGTAACATGGGGTGATAGGTAAAGCTAATTACAAGATTATTTAGGGATTACAATCCAGAATTTCGCGTCAAGAACTGATTTAGGGAATATAATATTGCACTTTGAAAGGCCCCCTCGATGGTCTTTTGATAACAAAAAGAACACCGTCTGATATGGAACGAGGCTGCGGCGCCTGCCCTCTTTCAACAATTGAACAGGGTAACACTAGAATGTGCTCTCGTGGCAGCCTCGTTTACGTCGATTCAATTACCTTTCAGAATTAATCGGGCTTGAAGGTCTCAGTACGTGCCTGTATTTTACTGGCTAGGTTATAATCCTCGACTAATTCGGTGTCGTATTGCATTGCATCGATGGTATGCGGCAACCAAGTCGTAAGATCTTGCCCTTTTGGCCGGTGAAAACCATTTGGGATATCTAAGATATTGGTCCAGAGAGAAAGCCGAGGGTGTATCTTCGAGAACATCTATTGGTCTGTCGTCGCGCCTTCACCGAGATATTCAATGAATGGAGTGGCTGCCTAGACGCTATTGCGATCCTATCAGGTTGCGGGCCAAGCAGTCGGAATTCTGTCCTACGTGTCTTGGTGTGAATGGCAAGGCTCGGTGGATCGGCGCAGCAGGGGCTTCATAGTGAAGCCATGTGCATTCGGATGTCCAGATTCGGGGCTCTAATGCATGCAGGTAGCCGGGCAGCCCGCGTGGTGCTACCAATAGACGGGCGTCTATCGTTTGTGAAGACGGAGCGAGGCGAACCTTGATGGCATGGTATCATGCGGAGTATAGTAGTATAGTTTCATAAAAAAGGCGATGTTGGTTCGTATTTGTATGCATTGGCCACTGGAATACAGAAGCCGAGGCGCATAGAACCGCCCTTCGTTCCTTGTACCTCATTGCCTACCTTCGCACATTAATGCCACAATTTCTACAGTGAGTCGTCCGCAGCTGTATCACATGCAGTGATATCCTAATGAGGACCAAGGTCGCATGCACTTCACAGGGAAGATTCAAGGCTACCCACAGAGAAAGAACAGCAGCCCTCACACCATCTTCGTTTTTAAAGACCACAGCGCACACCAAGTCCAGTTGCCGTCGAAAAGCTATTCACTGTGGTCTCAAGTATGCGTAACAAGCACTGAACTATAGCTCTGTGTGAAGTGGGCGGCATGGAGAATGGTGTGAAAGATTTGCCGTGTCCACACCTTGTTTCGCAAGCAGGTTCATGGCTTCCTCATCGGTTTGAAGGTTATGTATCACGTGAAATATCATGTTCCAACAATTTGCGACGTGAGACTGAAGGAAAATGAAGCAGTTGAAGTTCTAGATACTGTTATATTCGGTTCTAGCTCCGTCGTGGTTTGGACATTCTGTTTTGGGGGACTTTTTATATCTGTATGCTGTTCCTGCCAATTAACATCACTTTAAATTTGAGCATGCTTTCACGCCACTGGGCTTTTCGTTTCGCTTTCAGCAGCCTTGATCAAATGATCGAATCGGGCCCCATGTCTGGCTGCCCCACCGTCCCACCGCCCCATATACGCCATGTCTGACATCCTTGTCAGTAGTCTTCTGGATGAACCGATTATCCCCATCCTATTATCCCCCTTTTTGAACGACAAAACTGAGTCCGAGATCGAGCTTATGCCAGCCAAGTCGACCGCGGACGTCAACACGCAAAAAAACATTATAGCCTATAGCAACGCTAGCAGATAGCGCCAGCGAATGGACCTGCCAGCATTGAACCAGGCAAAAGCTATGCGCCCACCCAGACCAAGTTCAGAAGACGTTCTCTGCGGTAGGTGGCCCAAAGCGCAAGTATTTATTCCAATCCTCAGGCTTCCAGCCTTCAGACTCCTCAAAGGGTTTCCGAGAGGAGAAAGGGGACATGGCTGGAGAGGCCCGTAGCTCTGCTGATTTTGAGCGGGTATGAGTGTGATGCGGCTTTAGACCTCGAGCAAATTTAGATGGAGAAACTGGAATTGGGTCGCCGAATGTGAAAAATGGGGCTGGCTTGCCAAATGAGAACTTGGATTCGCCGTTTTGCTTTGGCGTTGGAGGTGGAACGAGTTTGTCTGGCGTAGGTAAAGTAGTCTTTGGAGTTGGTAAAAGTATGGCGGGGGTGTTAGCAGTTGTTGTTGGAGTTGACACAACAGGTTTGACGGAGGGGTGTAAGGCCGCCTCTAGAGTTGACATAGACTTCGCTGGGGAGTTTGCTCTTTTGTCGGAGAATACATCAATCTGCACTGGAGTTGATGCAGGGCTAACTGAAGGGGTTGCAAATGGATTAACCTGCATTAGAGTTGAAGCAGGGCTAGCTAAAAAGCTTGCAACAGCCGCCTTTGGAGTTGAAAGGGAATCAGTTCCAGGTGTGTGAGAGAGTGGAGAGTCTTCATGTGATAGCGAATTTGGAGGGATCGGTACACAAATGATTTTGTTCCGATAGGGCGATTGATGTTCTCCCTTGGATTGAAGAGTGTCCCATTGACCGAGAAGTGTAGCAATTCGAGAATCAGAAACTTTCATACATTCGCCTTGCCTCTTTATTGTTTCGTTTTTTTCGTCGATTGATTTGTTTCGCGACTTTATTAATCCATCTAGTAACTCCATTTCTTCTTCTTGAATCTTTATTATCACATCTTGACGGGCCATCGATTTAGCCTGGCGCCGGACTGTTGATTCCAATTCTTCGATTTGTTTCCGAAGGCCAGCTTCTTCTGTTGCGTAGTGAGCCTCAACCAGCAAGAGCTCCTTTGCAATACCAGATAGCGTTGGAGGATGGATGGCTGACTCCCAATCAGCAGTGGTGATATCAGAAAGGGCATCGCCAATATCAGATAGCGTAGGAAAGCTAGGCGAACTGTTGGTAGTGTCCGACATTGTGAGATGTAAGATGTGAAATTTAATATTGGTTCTGGCTGCTCCACAAAGAATATCTCCAGGAAGAATATTTAGGACACAATGAAAGGTCATTCTACACTATTTGTACTTTTACTTCATGGCAAAGCTCTCGCTTCGAAACATCTTAGAGTCCAACATGTTAGAAGGCTGTGTCGTTGATGCACATTCAAGGATGATATTCAGCTTTAGATGTGAGAACTCGTGAGATGCATGGAATAAACGCCACATTCTGGAGCCTTGACACACATAAAACAACACTGCTGGCCTCTCGATTTTATCCTACCAATCGTGTTCCCATCACTAAAGATGGTGAGCTACGGCATGGTTTACACTTCAGCTCTTGAGGCTCCGGTATTTGCGGCTCTCTCGTCTTCATATTTCGAGTTGTTATGGCAGCTGTCGAGGTTTGGTGGGTATCTGCCAAGAATTAGCGACGGCGGCGCATTGAACGCTCTCAACGACGCGGAACGACTAGCAAGCGCAAGCTGATAGCTCAAGCTTCATTAGAGCTGTTGAGTCTAGAGCTTACAGTAATTAGGACGACACCATTCCCAGCCTCTCGGATTCACAAGACGGAATTCGGAAACGTTCGATGTTTGTTTTGTTTCGTCAAGGATCACATCTGGCCGCATCTCTCCGTGTTACAGGAGAGTTTCGGCGGCAGGGGAACCCTAGCGCTTAGCATCCTAGCTGTATTCATTGGCCAAGCGCATCACTTGGCAGCAAACAAGTCGGCGAAGTTCCTTGTCGAAAACGTGCCTCGTACGCGGTTGAAACAATAAGTGGCACGGTTCTTAGCGCATTTCTGGTATATTTTTAGTGGTGAACTGAACTGTGCCGTTTTTTATTCAACCGCGTACCTCGGTGGCCGCCCAATGGGGCCAATACCCACCGTCTGATGTATCACTTTACTGAGCACGATCATCTTTAGGTTCTATAGTGGACCCCCCGCTCTTTCGGTAACAGAGTTGATATAATGACTTTGGATGGGCAGTTTTGTTGGGTAATAGAGGAAAATAAGAGTAATAGGGAAGAAGAAACCTACTGTGAGACTGCCAAGTCTCACAGTAGGTTTCTGGCTGCGGCACCATCTCCATTTATCCCCAACAGGTCTGTGATGCAATCTGTGATCACGTGCATTTGGGTGTAGCGTGGAGGGTGCGTAAAGCAGCAACTGCACTCTGCTAAATCCAGCAGCTCCAACCCTAAGAGTCCCTTACTAACTATATCCCTGTAATTTTCTGGCCGGTGTACGGCCGGCAATCTGAAAATGCGCAGCAGTGACTAAAATCTAGTAGTGAATGCGCAAGAGTGGAGGAACGTGATGCTGGCTACCGACTGCCGCGTTCCTGCCGCTTGCACACCGAGCGACCACCCCGTTGTGGTCCTCGACAGGGAAGCGCGTAAACACCACTAGAAAAGTCTAGTGGTGGGCAAAATCGGCAGAAGGTTATGCCAGCTAGTGCATGTTTAATTTGAATATGCGCACTATAGTTCAGTGTGCGCAAAGCCAGAGAAATGATAGCTGGCAGGAATCCTGCCCCTATGAATCACGTGCACTGACTTATAGAATCAAACATGCTGCATATGGCGATGATATAGAGTGATCTCTTTATTAGTAATACAAAGGATTCGTCTTCCATAGAATGCTATAGACAGGTGACAGCCCTGCACACGGTCCATAATTGAAAGTGCGCAGAATTGGCTAGAACTGTTTGCTAATCCGCGAAACCGGTGTGTAGCGCCAGCCGGCTAGGCACCAACTTGCTGCTACAGATCACGTGGGCCGACAACTGGCAACACAGCTCGACAGACAGGAACATGGGATAGGTGGGCCATGTTATGTAATCATCTCTTTAATCTATTCACACAATACTGCTGCGCACGATCTCAACTGAAAATGCGCAACAGCAGTGAAATATACTCACCGATGCGCAAAAGCGGAAAATGTAACGGCCAGCAGCCGGCACCAAGTCACAGCACCGGTCAGCAGCCCGCCGGTGCTGTGACTTGCTAGTCGCTAGATATATCATTGTTAGGGACGTCTATGCCACAATGGTCCATGTTAGACCACACCGTCCTGTCTATATGAGTACTGTAGGGGAATCATTCAAATATATGATATATGCCATTCATAGTCACACCAAAATTATTCTTGGTTCATCTCGTCTCGTGCTCGTACTCATTCAACAAGGTCATGCCACGCACACCGACGGTTCATCCCAAAACGCCTCCAATGCCCGTCCTGCCATCACATTTCATCTCATTACAGCCCTGGCGTCAACCGTTGTCGACCCCCTTGTCAGTACATACACCCAACCCAAACCCCTATTTCAACATAGTTCCCCCCCCTTCCCCTCGTGGTATCTCAGTCAAACCTACGGCCTCGAAATCCCCTGTCTCGCCTAAACACAAAAGTCAGTCAGCAATCACTCATCACTACACCCCCACGAACATGACTAACCTTCATCTGCTCAATCTTCGCCTTCAACGCACTCGTCACCTCCGCCGCCCTCTTCCAACTCTCCACCGGCTGTCCATCCCCCGGCGCCGGGCTGGGATTACTCGCCTCCCTCCCCCCCCTATACGCCTCTCTCGCCGGACTCCTCCCACTACTCGTGCTCCCCGTCCTCGACAACCCCCTGCTCAACAAATCCGGACTCCTCAGCTTCCTCATCCCCGCCCCCGGACTCTCATATCCATTCCCATTCTCCTTCTCCTCGCCGTAACCGCCTCTGCCGCCAAACCCAGGCGTCCGGCGGCTTTCTTGGCCATACATACCGGTATCGCGATAGATACCCGCCTCGTCGCTCCCACCGCTCACGCTCCTCTCTCCCATGCCGCCAGGACTCACCGGCCCGGACCCAGCGCGCTCAGCAGCAGTCAACGCGCGCTTCAACCTCTCCATCTCGCGGCGGAGCTGGGCACACATCGCATCCGCGGCCTCGGCCTCGCTCCTCGCGCGGACAAGCTGCGTCTCCTTCGCCTTTATACTCAGCATATCCCTCGTATGATCCTCAATCAACTGCGCGTTCTGGTTGCGGAGTTCCTGCACCTCGGAATTGAGCCTCGATCGCTCTTGGCGCAGATCATCGCAGTTACGCAGTAACCTGTCTTTATCGAGACGCAACTCATCGAGTTCCGCTTTCTCGAGAGCGGAGAAGCCTGAGGAGGGAGGTGGGGAGGGGGAGTCCATGCGGGGTGCTGGGGCGGGCTTGCCGAGTGGGCGACCGGCGAGTCCGCGGCCACCGAGGCCGATGCGCGGGGCGGGTATGACTTCCTCTTCCATCGGTGCAGGCGCCTGACTGAGCGGTCGGCGGGGTGACGCCAAGTTCGGTGCTGGTGCGCCGCCTGGGCCAGCGAGTGTCCGCTTGATCGGCGCTTTAAGCCCAGGCTTCGGGCCGAGTTTAGAGACCCCGCGCGCTGTGGGCTGTGGCTCTAATGCGGCCTGTGGTTGCTGCGCGTAGATGCTCGGCGGGGCTGGCGCCTTCTTCGCCGCGGCTGGCTTCTTAGCTACGACCTTTCTAGCAGCAGCTGGGGCGGCTGCGGCTTTGGGGGGGGCGGCTTGGGGGACTGGCTTGGGCTTGTCCTTCGCCTTGACCTCTGCGGCGTCGAAGAATTCCTTAATCTTGGTTTTGCGGATCTCATCGAGGCCCTCGAGGTGAGGCCCCATGGCGCGCTCGCCCATGATCTTCATGAGCGTGCCTAGAACCTCGGCGCCGCCGGAGCGGAGACCCTCGCTCGACTCGGAGAGGAGCTTCTTGCCGGCTTCGGCGATGGATGCGACTTCTGGCTTGGCGGGGGCTTCGCGCGTGGTTTTCAGGGAGCGGATGAGGAATTTCATTGTGCCTTCTTTGACTTGGGGGTTCTTGTGTTTCAAGCACTCTAGGATCTCCTCTAGGCAGTCGCCGAGACTTGTGGCCATGAAGACTTGGTCGAGAGCGGCGCCTAGGGCGTCGGAAACGGCGACCTTCTTCTCCTTGAGCCTCTCTAGTACGGGTCCCATGATTGTAGAGCGGTATTTGCCGAAAGGTTTCCGGAGGCCCTTGGCGAGAACCTCGATACAATTAGCAGCAGTTGTAACGACCGCCACGTTAGCATCCTTCATGCACTTCGCAAGTCCCCTCGTAACCTCCCCGTAATCACCGTCTTTGATTCTCGGGACGTCCAAAATCTTGAATAGAGCCTCACACGCTTCCTTTCGCTCCTTCCATTTGGAAGATGCTAACTGGTCGCTGAAATCTGGCGACACTTTCGATAGGACGTCTTGTGGTTCCGCCAAATCGAAAACATCAACTTCGACGACCTCCTCTTCCTCTTCCTCCTCTTCTGGTCCTGCGTCTGCGCCTGGCGGTGGAGCACGCGCCATTGCTGCTTGCTGGGATCGTAGGAAGCGTTCTTGTTTCGGTGCCGGTTCCGCCTTGAGCTTCTCGAACTGTGCCTCCAAATCAGTCTGTTGCGTAGGCTTCAGCTCTCCCCAGAACATGGGTTTCATAGCATCTCTCAGCCAGCGGTAGAATTCGAGGGTTAGGTTGGTGGCCTCTGCTCTGACGTTCTTGTCTGCATGGCCAAAAGCCTTCGGGAGGATTTTCAAGACAGGTTTCGGGTCGGCCGTCTTGCATCCAAAGTTGTGGAAGATCGCCGTCAGCGCAGCTAATGTCGCAGCGACAACTTTGGGCTGTTTGTTGCCTAGTGATGGGAGAAGCTCCTCGATCACAGGGCCTGCTGTATCAAGTTCGACATATAGCAATATCCCTTCGAGCGACGACGCTTTCGTTGCTGCCCTTGTCGATGAGAGACCCTTTTCAGCTAGAGATGAGACGACATTTCCTCGTGTTCTACTATTGTTATTATAAATCTCAGACAAACTATTAGAGCCCATCTTACCTTGTACTGCATTCGCGCCCACCAAATTTGAGAAATGCGCAAAGCGCAGCAACACCATCCTGCTGTGCCGCAACGTTCGAGTCCGCCGCGGCTCCCTTCCATAAACTCCCCGAGTCTTGGATGAACGGCTTGAACGCGGGATCATGTTCATCTGGTGTGACTTCGAATTGCTTGACCGCGTCTTCATATCCACCCTTTCGTACTTTCCAGTTCTGTGGAGGGGTTAGCTCAGGGCTCGCCTTGGCTCCAGAATCTGTGGTTCGTCATACCTTGTGCTGAAATCTATCGGGTAGGGGGAGGGCACTGAAATCCTCTTCGGCTTCCGCCATGGTGTGCTAAGTTGGAGGTTGAAATCGAGTCCCAATAGGGGTCTAGCACGCGTGTTAGTCGGCGCATTCACACGAGCAACACAGGGTATGGCAAAAGCTCTCTGGGTAATTCAATACGCGGTTACAGCGCATACGGAGCTATCGCCATAGAGTGCTCTGCTGGGAATAATTGGCTGCGTACGTTTGGGCTCCTAGAGTATTTATGGTTGTTCGTCGTGGGCGCACTGAGGGGTTCCTGGGCCAAGCCGGTATCGGATTAAGCGCGTGTGGTATGGCGGGATAGAGGCGACCTGGGTATGCTGTGCCACTTCCGCAAGCTGTATATGTAACCTCGTCGTTGAAGTTGGCGGCGGTGAGTATTGGGTTGATTTCGATTGTGTTGTTGACGTGAATGTTGGGCTCAGTCGCTACGGTGATCGCCAATATTTCGGGAGCCACATGATAAGGATAGAAGCTCTCAGCCCAACGATAAACAAAACGGGAATTAAGTAAATAAAAGTCATAAGAGCCAGAACAGGCCAAAAAAGACAAAATACACCATATTATATCATATCAGACGCCATCACCATCTTAATATCCCTTGAAACCCCTACCAAATGTGAAAGCAGCTGCCCAAAGACCCCACCTCCTTGGCCAGCTAAAACAAGCTGCACGTGACCTGACGCGCGAACCCATAGTTTTGGACAAGGCCGAACTTCTGCCTTGCCTCCCATAATTACTTTCGCAGCCAATTTCAAGGGTCTCCCAACACAACGTGTCGCTCATGCGCAGCACGTCAACCTGGGATCCGAATCGCACAGCATGAATACCTTCGGTGGAGGATCGTCCTCGGAATCCGAGTCAGAGGATGATTTCCTACACCCATCCGCCGACCCAAATGCCGACGAGTTCGCCGACTACAACCCACGAAAGCGGAGGCGGACAGGGCGTGATGCGAAGGAGAGCGCGGCGCTGGGTGTATTTGGCAGCGAGAGTGAAGATGAGGGGCCTGGGAGGAGGTGGAAGACCAAGACGCTGAGGGGGAAGGGGATGGCATTTGTGTCGTCGGGCGACAACTTACTTAAGGACGAGGAGGACAACGAGGAAGGGGACCATACGACAGCGAGAGTTGGGGGGCAATACCTGGAAGACGCCGAAGATGTGGATATGGACGACGCTGCCGACGACACTGATGAAGTACCACGAGCTGGCCTCGGGGCCCAAAGCGCACCCGGACTTGGACAGCGGAAACCGGGCCTTGGTGGCGGACTGGGATGGCAAAGCCCTGCGGCGCGAAGCATGGGGTTGGGGAATGGCGATTCTACAGCATCACCTTTAGGTCGTGGTTTTATGCCATCCTCTGCGGCGATACCTGTCCTCAAGGACTTCAGCGACGAGAAGCCAGTCAAACGAGTTGCTATGCCCAGCGCATTCTCGACACCCACAGCTGCCAAAGGCGGGCGACCTGGTGCGCAAAAGTCAGCACCTATAAACGCGGGGTCGTTCGCTGCCAGGATGATGGCAAAGATGGGATACAAAGAAGGCGAAGGTCTAGGAAAGGAGGGACAAGGGCGCAGCGGGGTCATCGAGGTTCAATTACGGCCTCAAGGTGCTGGATTGGGAGCTGTGAAGGAGAAATCTAAACAGGAGAAGGAGGAAGAGAAGCGACAAGCTGCTAAGAGGGGCGAGGTGTTGGAGGATTCAGAGGAAGAGGAGAGGAAGAGACGTCGCCGAAAGGCGAAGACGAGCGGGACGGATAGTGGAGTGAGCACGCCAAAGCGACGACCGAAACCGAAATTCCAAAGTCTGCCGGAACTTCAAAAAGCTGCTCCAGGGTTGAAGATCCCAGATGCCTTCACTCCTATCCTGGACATGACTGGTTCTGGTCAGAAATTCCTGACAGCCAGTTCTGGACTTGCAACGCCTACTTCTGGTGTCGTCGAGTCTACTGAGGTGGTGGAGGCTAGAAAGCTAGCACGGAGGGCACAGAATGACCTATCTTCTTTCGTTGAGGAGTGGAAAAACTTGGAGGAACGAAAGGCTTGGGTTGAAATGGAAATACTCCAACAGCAACAAGCGGTGGACGAACAAAATGGCTCTTCGGATCAATTGAGGAAAGCCGCGGAGATTGTCGAGGGGTTATCAGTAGCAGTGCGAGACGGGCAGTGGGACCCAGTCATCGGTGCATTGACGGAAGTGGAAAAACTTGATGTAGCTGGCAACGACGAACTGGCAAGTATCGCCGTTGCTGCTGTCCACCCCTTCCTCCGCCAGGCCATTGAAGGCTGGCAGCCGCTGGAAGACCCAAAACTCAGTGGTGTCGCATCCGACGGATTCGTCTCTGCCATCTCCGGAATCAGCAAACTCCTTGGAATGATCCCCGAACCCAACGGAAGCTCTGCTCATACTACAAAACCTCACAGCAATCGCGTTCATAAAACAACTCCCTACGAATCCCTTATTTACACCGTCTGGTTTCCCAAAGTCCGGTCTGCCATAACCAACACCTGGGACGTGCAAAATCCCACGCCGCTTCTCACACTTCTAGACCTGTGGACTCCGCTACTTCCGGCTTTCATCAAATCTCAAATCTTTGAACATCTTATTTTCCGCAAACTCGACGAGGCCATCGCCGATTGGAACCCCAAAAAGCGGTCCAGAACGAACAGCCTGCCGCACATGTGGCTCTTCCCCTGGCTACAACACCTACCCGCTCATCATTTGGATCCTCGCTCCTCATCTGGATTAGTCGCCGATGTCAAGCGAAAATTCAGAGTGCTCATCGACAGCTGGGATTTCCGCCGCGGCGTCATCCCCGGCCTCACCCAATGGAAGGACCTCCTCCGCCCCTCCACCTCCAGCAAAGTCGACTCCTGGACCCCCCTCCTCCTCAACCACGTCCTCCCGAACCTCGCCTCCTACCTCCGCAACAACTTCCAGGTAACCCCCCAAGACCAAGAACCTTACCTAAAAACCCTCACCAACGTCCTCGCCTGGCAACCCATCCTCGGCAACCGCATCACCGGCCAGCTCCTCGTCGACGAGCTCTTCCCAATGTGGCACGACGTCCTCCACCAATGGCTCACACTAGACGACGTGAACTACCTCGAGATAAGGGACTGGTTCGACTTCTGGCGCTCCATCATCCCCGCCTCCCTCTCCTCCGTCCCCGCAGTCCAGCAAGAATGGCAAAAAGGAAACTCCCTCATCAACACCGCCCTGGACCTCGGCGCGCGCGCTAAGACAGACTTACCCGCCCCAACACGCCCAAGTCGCGTCAGTCCCGCCGCGCAACCAGCACCCGAACCAGCGGCGCCGAAGATGGAGAAGCCCGAGCTGGAGGAGGTGACGTTCAGACACCAGTTGGAGGATTGGTGTATGGCGAGGGATCTGCAGTTTATCCCGGAGAAGAGCACGTTGGAGGCGAATGGGCCGGTGTATCGTGTTACGGCGGCGGCGATTGGGAAGGGGGGCGTGCTTATCTATTTGAGGGGGGATTCGATTTATGCGCAGATTAAGAGGGGGACGTGGACGCCGCTGGGGAAGGAGATGGATGCGTTGTTTGAGTTGGCGCATCGGTAGGGTGGGTGGCGAGTGTATTTTCTCAGCCAGTGTGTGGTGAGACTGGGAAATTGGAAATGTAAGACACTATAATATGGAAGATATGGAAGAAAGTTCAAGGACGCTCAATTTGTGTGATATGCAATGTTTTCTATTCCCTTAAAACGAGTGATCGGGTGTATCATATGCTCCTTCCCCGTCTATCGGCAAAGTTCAAACAAATGCACGCTATCTCGCTCCTCCTCCTCTTCCGCCCTCAAAGGTCCCCAAGGTGAAATGCCTCAAAAAAGCTCAGCGAATCTCCCATATAAAAAGTAGAAAAATAGCCCCATCTACGCCCTCCACCCCCACCGCCCCGCCCCCAAAAAATCGTAAAGACCCTGGCGCATCTCTAGATGCCCAGCTCTCCCACACACACACACACAAAAATATATAGGGGGCCATAAGCCCCCATAAAAAACGAATTCCAAAAATAAATCCCAAAAATGACTCCGATATCAATCAAGGGAGGGGTGAAATAGAGCGTGTTTCCCCCCTCTCCTCCCTGACTGATCCCTCAAGTTTCCCATATCATCTCAAACGTCGCGTTCATAATGTCGATCCTCATCCGTTTCATAAATGCAATCCTTAAATATGCGTCAAAAATATGGTTGGTTCGTCCTCCTCCGTCCCCCTTCGCTCTCTCGGTTTCGTTATGGGATATCATCGATACCTGCCCAGTCGTCTAGCTGGGATCGCGCTGCTCTCTCTCTCTCTCTCTCCAATACTACTACTTCGTCGTCCGACTCTTGCTTGTTGTGAAGCTAAAAGCCCATATTGCCAGTGATGGCCCTTTCTAGCTGACCAGGAAAAACATTCCTAGCACCCCAGCGCTCCCGGCGCTTCACTCCGCCTGTTGTTGTGGTTGTTCAAGTGCTTACTCGATGCTGGCACAGAAGAGCTCAATCTCTCCCAGCATGCCATTCTTGAGACCTTCAATCTGCTGCTCTCGCCACTCCTGGAATGCGATATGGATGTCATCATCTGATTCGATGGTCACGTAATCTCCATCCTCGTCTTGGTATCTCAATCTCATCGTGCCCCTCGCGATCGCGTTATTGCTGAAGCGGCCGACCTTGGCGTCGATGCGGTCAATGAGGCTTTGGTACGTAATGTTGAACGCCACTACCAGCGTGACGTAGTTGCCGTCACAGTTGACCTTCACCTTGAGTTGAGTCGGGAGCGGCATGTCCATTCCAGGTAGCGAGTTGTTTAGCGGCGGCGACATGGTCTGGGTGCGGTCCTCGCCGCCTTGAACTGTCGCAAGAACGGGCGTCGTGTTGCTACGCAGATAAGCCGGTGGTACTGCCGGGTAGCCTGCTTGCGGCGGCTGGGACCTTTCACGTTGGGTGCCCGGGCTCTGCGTGGCGGAGCGAACGGGGATGCCATTGATCGGAGAAACGTTGCTAGAGCGCGGAATGCTGTTGTCATAAGCCGGGTGGAGATGCGGCGGGATACCAGGCACAGCTGGTACTGGCTGGCTGTCGTTGCGGCGACGAGCTGCGTTTACCTGCGCATTGATGTCAGGAGTACTGTATGATCGACTGCGGTTCTGGGCGTTAACCATCTGTGCTTGCTGGGATGACATGACAGGGAGGGAGGGACGCTGGGGGTTGTTCCGGTAGTTAATAGACTGTTGCGACTCGCGCGACGGGGTACGGCCGATGGCTGGGGCGGTGTAGCGGTTGTGGTCCTCCCAGTTTCCTGTTATGGACCCTTGTCGTGGGAAGGGGAACATGGAGTTCTGGCTCGTTCTCGAGGACGCGGGAGATTCGGCGACAGGCGAGAAGTAGGAATCACCACCTCTCGCCCCGGCAGGCGGGGTTTGTAGAGGCATCTGCGTCTGTAAGCTCAATGGCGGCTGGGGTCCCATAGGAAACCGGGGAGGGGCTTGTCTAACCACTCCAGCGATGGATTGAATGCTCTCGCCTGTCGTCGACCTCGAGCGCAAGCTAGTGCTTGAAGTATTTCTGTTCATCCCAAAGGAACTTTGTTCAGGGGGTATAGCTTGTTCGGCAAACACCCCGCTGTTGGCTAATTGCGGATAATCGTCATCATCGTCGTCGTCGTCCTCAGGTTGAGCATAAGGATTTTGGATGGGCGCATTCTGTGCTTGCATCCATGCAAATTCCGGTGTTCCAACTTCAGGTCCTTTTTCTCGGTCGAGGCAATCTTTACGCTGTTTATCAACCGCTGCGGACCACTTTTTCATGACCTCTTCGTGGGAGAATCGAATCATAAAGTTCTCGATTCCAGGATCTCCTTTCCACCAAATCTGCACCGTGTAGGACCCTAAATCACGTCAGCATAAATATTTGGGGGTGGAAGCGGGAAACAAACCAGGCTTAACCATCGACACAACGTCTGTGACGTTGGTCATAAATATGCGGCCTTTCAGCTGAAGCTTAATAGTTTTTCCGGATTTATCCTTCTTATCTTTCGCAGCCTTTTTGTCCTTTTGGCCTCCTCCCATAAGCTTGTCTTTGGTGGCCTTATTAGGGTTCACCTCTTTACAGCAAAGCAATATGCGCTCGAAAAGATATATGGTATACTGCTTGGTCAAAGGGCAGACGAGCCCCTCATGTTAGCTACAGTTTTTGCGGTTCAAACCAAATTACAGGCTTAGAGGCTGATGTGTATGTCCACTGGGACAGTTATTGGCAGAGCCATTAATTTACACCAACCAGAGCATGGATAGGGGTAATAGGCCACTGTTCACTTGACAGGCTAGAAGATACGTTTGTGAACGAGATGAAAGTATTTACCTCTTTCTCCAAATCACTTTTACCAGTGATTACAGTGAAGACACCGTGAAGGAGTAGGTCGCCAAACTGATTAATATCGTGGTTCTTCCAATCATCAACGCGTGTGCAAAGGTCTACCAAAGCCTCGTTCCTCAGCTCCCTATCGACTGCAGCATTGGCTTGGTGCAGAACACGATTGGAAGCTTCCATCCCTGCGGTAAGTTCTGCTTTCGTCTGGTCATCCGCATTCGTTTTATCGCGCAAATCCTAACGGGTATTAGCTAATGCACAGAAGCCAAATGGTAGTTGGTTTCGGAGCCTCACCTTCAATAATAGCGGATATTTGACCAATCTTTGCATAGGTTTTAGCAGGAAGCCATCCAGTGTGTTGAAATCAACAACAACCGGGTGGTCTGCCAACGAGATCTTGTCGAACTCTCGTTTGGCAATATCGGCTGCTCTTCGCTGGTTGGCTATAAATGGTTGATAAATTCCAAAGGATTCTTCATGAACTACAAAAGGCGCGCCCCACTCCTGCCTTGCGTCCGGTTGCGAATTCGTGGTTTCGATCCGGATCAAAAACCTTCGCTGGAAGTCGAGAATCGCATTGATGTTTAAGAATATAGCATGCACAACATCTCCGGGTATAACGCCTTTCTGCTCGATTTGTTTCTTCAGCTCGTGCAAATTCTCCAGGTCCTGCACATATTTGCGCTCGGTATCGACAAGTTCTCGCACAACATGGTCCCTATAGCTCATCTTCCCCCCCACGGCAGCATTTGGAGTCTCGGCCTCGGCCTCCGGAGTTAGGAGCAGACCCCGCTGCTCTGCCACATCCAGCACCACATTCAGGACCTGGGTGACCTTAACAAAACCAGTTGTATCGTCGCCGAACAAATCGTTGAGCACAAAAACCTCCTCAGGGGGTAGCTTCAAGTCTTTTAGGCATGCCAGCACGAACTTTGACGCTGCGCTCTTCGGTTTTTTCGCCTCCGAGACCTTATCATCGACTTGTAGGGGTTCGGGTGGTTGAAGTGCGTTATATATCGTCATTAGGGGGTATCCCTTGCGCAGGCATCGCCACAACGAGGTGACGGGGTCGTCGTCGTAGATCTCGTCGTCGTCCAACTCTTGCAAGTGCTGTTCGAAGCCAGGGACCAGGAGGAGGCGCTGTCGCAGACTGACGCATATCTGGTATAGGGATCGGGAGGCATCTGCCCGCTGATTAATGATATTGTTGGTCGCCACCACATTGCTCCCGTTCTGCGATAGGGTCGTAGTAGTCGATAGAGTGTTTAAGGATGCTGAGGATGCCGACGTGAGTGTAGAGGAGGACATTTTGGAGGATCGAGGCCCATGTCCAATCATTTTATTCGGGAAAGGGTCTCTCGAAGTTCTGGTCGATGTCGATAGAGTTGGCGCGGTGTGAATGCGCGTTAGGCCCGGTCCGTGCGCCATGGCCATTGTGCCAGACGACATCAAAGAGGAGATATGGGTTGAAGAGGATCAAGAATACGCAGCTAGAACATCGCAAAATGGTATACGGTAGAGGCAATAGAGGCAGTAGAGGTCATGCAAAGGCGTCAGAGAGAGTCAAGGTAGCAGAGAGAGGGTCGTCAGCGTCAAAGAGTCTTTAAGGAGGGGGGTTTGTATGGGATGTATGATTCGTACTGCGGCAACTGTGAGACCCACTAAGAACGGGCGCTTGCCGCTTGCCTGATATAGCCTGTAGACTGTAGGGTGTGTAGAGAGGCTGTAGGCGCCCTGGCTTACCTGGCTACCTGGCTACAAAATGCTTGAACAGGGTGCGACTAAAGAGGTATAGCTTCTATATCACGGGATTTTGAAGTCTACAGTAGCACTAGAACACTAGAACCACTATAGTATGTGCGATTCATGTAGAGGTCATGTATAGGTCATGTATAGGGAGGGATTTCATGTCTAAGGTGGCTTGTACAACACAGAGATGCAGAGCAGTCACCCTACCTACCCTCCCCCTCAATCCCCTTGCCATTTAGGTATAGATAGTGTTTAGAAAGAAAGCCTTTAATCACGGGGTCACGGGGTCACGGGGGTGATAAGAGTGATGGGAAACAGTTATTAGGTGATGTGGGTGATGGGTGATGGGTGATGGGTGATATGTGATATGTGATGGGTGTGTTACGGCGGTACGGTGGGTTGTACGACTCAGACGTGCAGGCAGCCCCTCTACCCAACTACCTCCCTCGCCCCTTTGTCGTCACTGTGTGATCCGTGTCCATACTACACTTCTCTCCTATCTGTTATCTGTTATCTGCAATCTGCATATTATCCATTAATGTCACGGGATTTACGGTTGTCCATCCACCACAGAGATGCACTTCCCCAAACATCGGCCCTTGGTTGTCCTTGGTCCCCAATTTGTTATGCTGTGGCAAACCCCCGTCTCTAAAATGATAGAAGGAGGTACTATAGACTTCAACTACCACCAACATGCTCCCACACTACAAAGTATACAGTACTTATCACCATACCACCACCCACAGTAAATAGGCTTCGTTCCAGCCGCATAACATCAACCCCGGCTTACTCTACCCAGCTACACCAGCTGCACCAGCCAAAAGTACTCCACGGCAGTCATCCAGTACCACCATCCCCATAATATTCCATCCTCACCACCACCGAAGAGAGACAACAAACGAGGCATACACCCTCGAGTTCACCAGACTCTGTACATATATACTGTCGCCCGCGTCCATGAAAGGCTGAGCATCGCCAGACCATCGCCAGACCATCGCCATCGTTGCTACTCCAACACGGACCGTGCTCCTTGGCCACCAGATGGCATTGAACAACAACGATAGTCAACACCCAGGTTCACCTCACGCTGTTGGTCGACGATAAGACGACCACCACCCTTGAGACCGCAGTCAACCAACCAACGCCCAACTCGGGCCCCTATAACCCCAACAATGACTCTATTCAATGCCCCTCAAGATGAGGGCTATAGCGAGGCTCCTCTGGGCACGCAGGTGGCGGCGAGAAGCTCGGGGCGCATGGATCCAACCGTAGCCTCGTGGTATTCCTCGTTGGACGTCGATGACCGCATCAGTACGAGATCCCACACGTCTGTTATTCACTGCCTCACTGACCCGTGTCCCTCTAGGCCTTGCCATGACCATTATGGGCGACCTCCCAACATCCGCCGTATACGATATAGTTAATGCCATGGGCCCTTTGTTACACGTCAATTTTTTGGACAGACTCCCCCCCGAAGTGTGCTTGAAAATTCTGGGATTCCTCGATCCGTTGTCAGTGCTGCAGATGGCTCTAACGTCGCGTGGTTCCTTGCCACTGTCCATGGACTGGACTCTATGGCAACAACTATACTACAGGGAGGGCTGGCGTACCAACCAAATCGAGCTTAAGAGCTTTGAGAAAGAGCTGATAAACGAATCGCTCGAGTCCCGATCGGGATTCCGATCACAGGGAGGGGTGGTGCGCAAACAGTCTCCGTCCCATGACCGAGTGCCGCCACGGAAACAATTAAAGCTTACGGAGAATAACAACAGGCCAGAGTTTTATGTTAAGGACCAGGACGATGATTTAGAAATGGCCGACGTTAGTCCAAGATCTCCTCCTGAGCACAAGTCGATATTTGGGAGCCCAGCGCCACAGGTATCACGAAACTTGGCCCCAGAAGGGGCTTATGCCTCAGAACATCCAGCTACTGCACGCAGGGCACCTCCACGGGAAAGTTTGGCACCACAACCTATAATGCGGCGGCCGTCAAACCGGTCGACGAAGGCTGCACCCTCGGATCTTCCAAGCATGTCGTCTCTGGTGGTGTTAGACCGACGGGAGAACAAACGAAAACTCAACTGGCACTATCTTTACGCTCAACGGAGAAGACTAGAGGCCAATTGGGAAGCTGAAAAATATGTCAACTTTCAACTGCCACACCCTGACTACCCTCACGAGGCACACAAAGAGTGTATTTATACCATCCAACACAGCGGCAAATATCTCGTGAGCGGAAGCAGGGACAGAACCCTTCGGATTTGGAATTTAGACACGAAAAGACTTGTTATGCCTCCTCTCCAAGGTCATCAAGGCTCGGTCCTCTGCTTGCAATTCGATCCTGATCCATCTGAAGATATTATCGTTTCAGGGAGTAGCGATTCGACAGTGAGGGTATGGCAATTCTCTACGGGCAGAATGCTTCAAGTTTTGGAGAAGGCACACCCAGAGCCAGTTCTAAACGTCCGGTTTGACCGTCGAATACTCGCCACATGCTCCAAGGACAAGACCATCAAAATATTTAACCGCAGACCGATGCACCCTGGCGAGCTGGGATACCCTGGCGCGAATGAGGGTATTCAACCTGCGGTTATAGTATTAAATAATTACGGCTATAATCCTTCGCCGCGTGAAACCCTTCCTATACTGCCTCCTTTTACCCAGATTGGGTGTCTTGAAGGCCATGGTGCTGCCGTCAACGCCATTCAAATATATAAGAACGAGATAGTCTCGGCATCTGGTGACCGCAACGTCAAGGTCTGGGATTGGCCGCTTCAGACTTGCATTCGTACGCTAGTTGGACATCAAAAGGGCATTGCTTGTGTGCAATACGACGGCCGTCGCATCGTGAGCGGCAGCAGCGATCATGAAGTCAAGGTGTTTGACAAACAGACGGGCCTTGAGGTTGCAAGCCTAAGGGGGCACACCCATCTTGTTCGAACTGTGCAAGCCGGGTTTGGAGACTTGCCGGGGAGTGAAGAAGACGACCAAGCTGCAGCCAAGAATGTAGACAATGACTATTTCAAGGCTGTCGATAGCGGTGTCATTCCCCGTAACCTACCCAAGACACGAAATCGAAACGCGGGATCGAGCAGGCCCGAAGATATCATGGCATACGGAGCCAAGCTACCTCCCGGCGGAGGGGGCGGTAGATACGGCCGCATAGTTTCTGGATCTTACGACGAGAGCATCATCATTTGGCGCCGAGACAAGGAAGGTGTTTGGAAAGCAAAGCACACCTTCCGCCAAGTCGACGCCGCCCGATCCGCCCTGACCAATTTTGAGGGAAACCGTCCCCCACCACCAAGCCTTCCAGCACAGAGCGCCGCGTATTTCCACTCGCTGATCGACCTCGTCGTTCCCCTCGGCGCCAATGTGCTCCGCCTGGTCATCCATGAACACCCGCAAATCATATGGTACAGCCGCCTAGGATCGGCCATCATGGCTGAGCCACTCGAAGCCCGACGACAGCAGTTACGTGCGGTCGTCGATCATGCGATGCACCGGAATACGGGTTTACCTTCATCGGATAACCACGGCCTTGCAACTCGTGGGATGGCACCTGCACAAGACGCGCCTGAAGATTCGGCGCGGCCGCAATCGTCGGTAGCGCAGTCGCAAATTATGGCTGAGCAACAATCAACTAGCATCCCGCAAACAAACAGTGAATCCCCAATTCAGCACACACAATCCGCACCACCACCACCACCACCAATCCCGCAGCCTCAAGCATCGTCGGCACCGCCACTAGATACGCAAGCCACCATCCAGGCAGTCGCACAGGCCCAAGCCACCGCACGAGCCCAGGCCCAAGCACTCCTCCACGCGCAGGCGCAGACGCAAGCCCAAGCCCATGCTCAGCAGGCCGCGGCTGCGGCTCCTGCAACCCCGGGGGCGAACATGGCGAGGGTGTTTAAGCTGCAGTTTGATGCGAGGAGGATTATCTGTTGTAGCCAGACGCCGATTATTATCGGGTGGGACTTTGCGAATGGGGATGCGAAGATTGAGGAGGCGAGTCGGTTCTTTGGGGCGGTGGAGTAATGGGGATGTTTAAGGAGGGGCGGGGTTTAAATGGGAGTTTTGCTTTTGGGGGTGGAGGCAGATGGGGGTTGTAGGACTTGGGAGAAGGGGGTGGGGGTTACATTTTCTCGGCGAGCGGGCGTGCGTGTTTGTGTGTTGACGCGATTCATCTTCTTTTTTTTGAATTATTTGTGTGGGAAGCGCGGTGTTGGTTATTTTTGTTTTTGCCTTATGATCAACGCCTGTGGTATAAGATTATGATCGTATATATATAAAAATAACGAAATCGAATATTCCTCAAGACCTTCGAGTCACGCGGATTTGGAGCTAATGATCTGCCTTCTCGTTGGATCCTGCAGATGCCAGTAGTGTGATGCTATTGTCTGCAAAAAATTGTATTACCCCTATTTTATGTTTTTGAGCCAGAGCGGGTGAAGATGCGTTTCGTGAATAGCTTCATACATTTCACGTTCCCCTTCCTGTGTCGCTATGATATGCTCGTCGTCACTTTGTATTCTCTGCTACTTTGTCAATATGGTACGATCAACTTCATTTCCGTGTTTCTCGGTCACGCATCGTTATTTTCAATACGGCCCTTTCTTGAACACCGTTGTTACTCCCACAGCCCTTACAATCCGCCGTGAAGCGGCAGAGTCGCCAAAGCCGCGCCGGCACAGGTGATTCACTCACCCCTCGGCCTCGTTATATTGATCTAAATTTCGGCTTTGCTTCTTCTCCTTCTTTTCTTTCTTTCAACACTCTGCCTCAACTTATATTCGGCTTCTATTCTTCCACCGAGTATTCATCCATCCGGGCTGGTCCCATCATTCAAGCTGATATTGCAAATCATTCATATCACGACCACTATCACGGGCGCATTTGGATTTCGACTGTCACATATTTATTCATTCATTATCATTGCAGATTCACGCTGGGTCGTGATATCCTTCACCACATTCATTATTATTTTCGCGAAAGCGCTTGCTTCAACGCATTTTTCATTCAAACCGTCACAGTCTGCTTCTATTCTGTCCGAGAAAGATATTGAAAGAATCACCCAAGCGAGCCAAACCACCAGGGCAGTTCCGGTACTGTTATTCAAAGATGGTTGGCACTCAGAAGTGGTCGATGGAGGAGATCCTTTGGGTGATTACGATGGTCAAACAAGGGCTGAAAGACGATGAGATATATGAGAAATTCTGTGGGATATTCAGGAATGCGAGGCATGTTAGAGGGGCAAGCAGTATCAAGTACTGCAGGACGGGGTTTATGAAGCAGGAAGAGTAGGTTCTGGTTTCTGTTTCTTGGCGATGCTTATTCTGATCCCTGAGTTGATGGATACTGACAGTCTATTTGATAGGTACTCTCAGGAGAAGTACTGGGAGGAAACCCCTGGGAAGATAGGATTCGTCCTTGGTCGCTATGATGCTGGCGTCTACAACGGCCAGGTCGTGGCTGATGTGATGCACCATTTCCCAACTCATATCTGGGTCCCGCATATCAAGCCAACGGCCCGGTGCATCGATTTTGTCATAACGAAGTACAGGAAGCTTCAAAACAGGCAAGTGATGCGATTATTATTCTTCGACCAGGTCATTTACTAATGTGGGAATGCTAGATTCTCTGGCTATACTCGAGAAAATCCCCTCGTTGAACCGGTCCTCTGTCTTATTAAGGACGGGGTATCACCTGGAGAGATTTTCAAGACTGCAAATGAGAATGGAATTACGGTGGATGATATTTATTACATCATGGCTAGGTTTTGGATGGAAGTTAATCAACGGTTAGCCCTCCCCCCATATGTTTGAGTGTGGTGTCTGACTGTCACATAGCCCCACTGCCTTTGACAACTCAAACTACGGCCATTCCGGGCCTTCAACAGCCGGCGCAAGCACAAGCCAAGCTGCCCCAGGAAATGTCAAGGCAGGGTCACTCATTTTCGAGCTGCCTCCAACGGACTCCAAAGCTCATGGGTCTCAGCACAACGCCCATCAGTCCTCATCCGACACAAATTCACGCTTGCCTCGTCACGATCCCGAATATGAGTATATCAACCGGGCGGGAATTCAAGTAGCATATCATGGAGTGCAAGGGGATTTTGAATCGTCGTTGTTGAATTCTGGATACCCACAGGGGATATCATCTGCGGCACCATCCCAGACACAACTGCATGCTCTCCAGCGCCGGTCTCAACCAGGACTCTTACAGCCATCACAGCAGCATGATATGAGATTTCAGTATCCACACATGCCCCAAGATAGTCAACTGCAGAACCCGATGGCACAACAGCGCTTTGAGCCACAGAATTTACAGGGATATGGTGGAGAGTACCCAAGTTCAACCGTTCAACAGAACATACCTGGTCAGTTCAATCAGCAAAATTGGGTCCATGATTTTACCTTTGGGGGGCAACGGAGGGTATCGGAACAACCTCAATTTAGTTTCGGGGGCTACCAACAAACTCCCGGCCCCCCTGTCCAGGGAAGCTACGGCAGCTCGTCACAAGCAGGGCAGTTCTCATATCAGGCTATGCCAGGCCATAACATGACACAAGCCTTCTATGGGCACCCTCAGATTCTTACCCAAGAACCCCCGCAGTCTGTTATTCCAGTCGCGGGCTATGAGAATATTGACCCAGCCCTACTGGGAATGGACACAAACCAAGCATCACCTCCAGATTCCAGCATCATGACCCTCTCTCAACCTCCTCTGACCCCACGAATCGCTCCTCAGGATTTTCTACATCCCTTTGCCTATTCAGGTATGCAAAGCGGTCAAGACGTATCCCCGCTGACAATTGAAAATCCACAGTTTCCGGTTACTCTGCCACCAACACCGGAGGTAGCGGCGCATGATGGAGTTGTGCACAGAGGACAGTCAACCATACCAGACCCTTTTGTGAGGGGATCAGTGCTGACGGAACAAGCGAAGTTGGGAATTGACTTGGGTCATTCTAGTGGGATGAACGGTTTTGATCAGGATGCTTTTGTTCGAGCCCTCACGTTAGCAAATGAAGCTATTGATACCAACCCTGGGCATGAAAACTCAAGTGAGTCGATACGTTCCGTGTTGGATGTCCCAGATCAACACGCCGGTCATAAAAAGGATGGAGAAGGTTCAATTGCTAACCAGGGCGGCCAAAATTCCTTCCAAAATCCAAAGTCCATTCTTCATACCACACTTAAAGAAGAGGTGGCGAGCACCCCCATCGCGAACCAAGACCCGCTTTCGGAAGATCAGCCCATGGAATTGGACATTCTTGACGAGATGGCCGAATATGGGGAGCTTTTCGAATTGTTCCCGGATCTTCAGTATCAGAATATTCAGGGGTATAACTTCAATTACGATGAGACTATGATTGGAAGTGGTGCAATTGACCCTTTCGAAAATGGCTTGTCAAACGATAGTCTCGAGGAACATGGTCCACCGCAGAAGTGGCCTTGTGATAACAAATCTTCTTTGGAAGCCATGGATGCCTTGAGCAGGAGTCTGGAAACAAGGATGGCTGGCCCATTTCTTACCCAAAACTCGTCTGAGGATAACGATGTCTCTGGTGGAATTCAGAGTAGCGACTCTGGAGTGTTTGAAGATGATTGGGCGCCGGAAGGGACTTGTTGTGCCCATCATCAGAATTTCGAGTGTTACTTTGAGGTTCCGGATTCGGACGGTGAGAGTGCTACTGTTGAGAAACATTGATACTGGTGTGGGTTTCTCTCTTTCTTTCTGTTGAGGTCGGGTCGGGCACGGAGTTTGAACAAGTGAGTGGATTACGGGAAGCCAGGAAAGTGTTTTATACCCAGTTACTGCGATGATTTTCAAGGTTCAAAACCAAACGGGCTAGGTGTTATTCTGCGTTCCTTTTACCTTTATATGTATTCAAATATGACCAGAATAGGTGATGAATCTATTTTGGATAAACCTTTCTCTCATTTACTTGTTGCGAAATGTGAATATTTATCGTGCAGACACCCCTGAATCCAATAGCTGTCTGAGATTCAGCTACAGTGATACTGCAAATGGAACCAGTGGATGGCCTGTCTCACAACCACCTCGCTCATTCACCCTCAAAACCTAGCATATAAACTGCCTCTTTTTCTCCTCTGTGAGCTTTACATCTTTCGTTTACACCCACCATCTCACAACAAACTACAACACAAACCCCCGCCCAAGATGTCCCAACTAACCCCCCAAACCCACTGTTCCGCTTGCAAAGCCACCGCCGCCCAGTGGACCCGAGCAAACGCCTGCACCCCTTCGAACCTCGACCTCAGCTCCCCCGGCAAACCCTACCCCATCCCCCCAACCTTCGGCACAGACAGCCACCCCTACGCGCGACAGATCGGAGAAACTCAGTTCATGACCGCTCCTGAACCAGAGGTCGAGGTCACACAGAACAAGGGTTGGATAAAGCCAGAGTACGACGTCGTGGTGAAGAAGGATGTTGACATGGAGTATGTGAAAGAGTTAGTTGCCAATATCTTCCCTCCTGGTTCGGCACCGGAGGAGGATGCTATTCCACCACCAAGGCCGAATGTGCCGGATAGGCCACCGAGGAAGTGCCTTTCTAGTGTGGAAATAGTAGATGCTATTCCGCCTCCAAGACCGAATGTGCCTGGTAGGCCTCCAAGGAAGTGTCTTTCTGGTTTGGGAATGGAGGATGCCATTCCCCCTCCAAGACCATTTGTGCCGACCCCGCCATATGAACGTCTTTCTGGCTTCAACCAGGAGGATGTGCTTCCAAATCCAAGGCCGAATATCCCTCTGCCTCCAGACGCGCCTCCGAACCAGGGCCTTTCAAGTTTCAACCCGGAAGATGCGATTCCAACTCCAAGGCCCAGTATCCCACTGCCACCGGATGCGCCTCCAAACCATGGTCTCTCTGGTTTCAAACCGGAGGACGCACTTCCAACTCCAAGGCCTAATATCCCCTTGCCACCAGATGCGCCTCCAAATCGATGATTGGAGACCTGAACGGGTTGTTGTAGTATAGTGGGGGTCTTGGTTGTGCTACGGTAGCGTTTGTGATAGTTCGGTGATTTCTGGGATCTTTTACGATGGTTTAAATTTTTTCAGTCACCATGACAAAAATGTATAATAGAAAGAAGACTAGCAAATAAAGCGCAGATTTCTCATATGCAACCAACCATGCTTGTGCCGTCTAAGTCTATAATCTACGATCTATGGTCTATGCTTCCGCTCCTTTCCTCTTCCAAATCCCCCACCAACAATGCACCCTAACCCTCTCCCCATTAACCTCCCAGTCATCAAATCCCATCTCCTCTCCCTCCTTTACAATCTCAAACCCCCTCCCCCCCAACTCCGTCCTCAACACCTCCCCGTACCCCCTCGTCGTCTCATCCCTTAAAGGAAACCCTATGACCGCCCTCGCCCCCTCGTCTTGTCCCAAGCGCCCATCAATGGCCGCCGCAAGCCACATCGGGTGTTCAGGATCATACAACGGATCCGCTGCAATTACCAGATCATACCTCTGACCTGGACCCATACACGACCAGTCCAGTATGTCGGTCTTAGCACTACCCCCGTGCTCACCAATAGCTCCCTCATTAGCCACAACATTCCTCTCAAGATTCGGTACAATAGCCGGTAAATCCGTCATCACCACCTCCGTCCCCCACAGCGCCGCGGCCGCAAGCCCCAGCAACCCCGTCCCGGCACCTAGCTCAAGGACAGAGGGCGCAGCGAGGCTGGAGGGGAAGAGATGAGGGAGGTACGTGGGGATGTGCGGGAGCACTTTCTGGGCGAGGATGAGGGCTGTGCCCCAGGTTTTGAACCCGATGTTGTCGTTTGTCATTGTTGGCTCATGGATAGCCAGCGAGGTGGGAGGGGTGGTGGGGATGTTGAAGGTGCGGGTTTGGGCGGGCATTCCTGGTGGGGGTCAGCATGTGATTGGGAAAGGGGGGAGGGGTTCCCCTGAGTTTTCACGTGATGCTGATGTTGCGGGTTTTGTTGTAAAGCTTGTGCCACTTGAAATGGGGAGCATTCTTACCATTGCGGCCGGATCGCTCGCTCAGTCTGATGCTGGCTTGCTCCCAGACCTCGACTTGCTCGCCTTCGGTCAGCCACGTGAGGGGACTCGATACGATCTTGGTGAGATACGATGCAATGGCGTTATTGTCCTCTCTTGGCTGGTCATGATCGACATCGCTTTCTTCCCATGATATTGGCTTTGGCTTGAGGGAAACGAGGGCCGAGAGGAGGACTAGGCTGGATGGCTTGGTGTACAGCTGGGGTAGGTCAAAGACTGGTGGCGTTAGTGTGCGTATCTTGTATAATTTTGTCGGACTAAGGAGATAATACTACCATTTATGGGCTCGCCATTTTGGCGAGCATGTTCTGTCTCTCTGATAAGCATTTTTGACACCTATGCTTCTCACAAATATATTTTTCCTCGTCTTATTTATTATATATTTGCAGAAAAAGGGCAATAAATCAGGTGATCACGATGAGGAAGGGCCAGAGGCATAAATGGTATAAAAGTCAGACATAAACAAGCAGACTACCACCACTAAAGGAGCAGTAATCGTTTGAGAAATCGCAGAGCCATTCGCGATACGTAGACGTCGATGTACAGTACGAATATTAGTCTTGCCAATTTATCAAATTTGCTGCTCGACTTAAAAGGGCGCGGATTATAATTAATCCGACCCCAACATTAGGTTCCGAGCGACGACAGGGCGGTTGCACCACCCAGCTCATTCGAAGACAGACATCCAGAAATCGAGCAACTATTAAATGCTGTATAGCTTGTTGGATGCAGGATGAGTGGAGTTGTTATATTTGATACGTTTGTAGATAACGATATTCCCTGAGGATGATTCTTGGAATATTCTATGCTAGATTCCTTCCGCAGGAAGGTAAGCCGTCACACTTTCATCACGGGTTCCAATCATATGCATATTTCATACAGAGAAGAATGTTTCGTATAGTTACACCTTGTTTTTGATTCGGGATATGAGGGGAAGGGATAAGATTACCATTACCTACCTCACCGACACCCTCAATCAAACCAGAAACCACCACTAACACGTGCGCAGGAATCAAAATCGTCCACCAAAAACCCCCCGGCATCATCGTCCCCGAACCCGGCTACGAGACCGCCTCCCTCCTCCACTTCGACGCCATCACCGACTTTGTGATCCCCCGCCAATCCTTCTGCAACCGCTACATCACCGGTCGCGACCCAAGCGGTCAGTACCGCATCCTCGGCTTCCCCGTGTGCGTCCACAACGAGAAGTACGCACGCAACGAATTCATCTTCAACTTCGGCATCGTCATCTCGACCGACCATGACACGGCGCGCTACGAGCCGGTGATCCGGCGGCTGGCGACGACGTTCACGGAGATGGAGGTGCAGACGCAGTTTCTGAGCCAGGAGGGCGTGGCGGATCATGTGCAGAGGAGTATTGGGGGGTTGTTGGAGATTATAAGGGAGGATCTGAATAACTACAATGAGTGCATGATTCCGGTCGACAAGTCGAACACGATTAACATGAAGCTGTTCCCGGTGCAGTGCGATCCGCCGCCGGTGAAGTCGTGGCATGTTCCTATCGCGAAGATCCGGTTCGACGAGATCGTGGATGATAGATGGGACTTGACGATGCGGAAGGTGATCCCGCTCATCGACGGGGTGCGAGACGTGCGACGCATCGCAGCGGCGGCGGATGTGTCGCTTGAGCTGACGAAATTGACGCTGAGGCATCTGCTGTACTATAAGACGATCATGCTGGTGGATATGTTCTTCTTCAGCAACATCTACGCCGTGACGCCGCTGATTCGCGATTTCGTGAATAACGTCGACAATATGCAGGATGAGTGCGCGGCGTATGTGCTTGCGCAGCGGCCCAAGGCGGTGGGATACCAACTCTGCCGACTACTGGGGACGTTTGGGCAGGGTCGCACGATCAGGGAGTGGCTGCGTCTGCACATTGATGATGGGCAGGTGGCGGTGGATGGGCTTGATGTGCGGCGTCTCGTGCAGTTTGGGGTTATCAAGAGCTTGCTGAGGCGCGTGCATAAGTTTCCTGTGTCGGCGATTTATGTGGCTGAGTTGGCGGAGGGGAAGGGGGTGGAGAAGGGGAAGGGGAAGGGAAAGGGGAAGAAGGGGCAACGGGTGGGGGTGGATGATGGAGAGGCGCTGGAGAAGTATACGGACGGGAGGCATCATTTTGATCAGATTATTACGGAGGTTAATTTGGGGGAGGCTGAGATTATGCGGGGGCTGAGCAGGTTGTCGGCGGGGGATGTTCAGATTGTGTATAGGTGAGGGCGGTTGTTGGATGGAGATTGTGGATGGGTTGGGATGGCTGTTAGATGGGAATTGTGTATGGGTGAGAAGGAATGCTGGGCACTTGGTATTGTCAAGTCTGCCATACAGCCATACAATTAGCCGATCTCGAAGAAGACATGGACTTACATTTGAAGTTAGCCAGTCTCGAAGAAGACATAAACTTGCATCTGAGATGCTTGGCTGGAAATCCTTTGAACTGTGGCAGCTTTCAAATTGGGCATCGTGGTGTGTTTGCAGGCAATAATTACCTAAACAATTGCCCATAGTATCCCAATGATGGTAGCTTAAATTAGGGATTGTGGTGTATCCGCAGACAATACGAACTTGAGTATCTGCCCATAGTATTGTACTGTACGTCAACTGTTCTGACCGGTTGTATCCCAAAGCGTCTCGCCGCGGCGCATTTTGTGTGCCAATTTCTTCTCGTTGGACCTATGAGCTACAGTGAATAGCCCATAGCATGCCTACTAACTTCGCTTTCTTGTTTTATTTGTGCAACGCAACCAATTTCTTCTCTCGCTGGACATTGCCCACAGGAAGCCTAATCGTATATTCTCCTTGGCCTCTTCTGTGGTTAAATTCTCCTGATACTTGGATTTGTAAGTCACATAGCTCACAGCAAGCCTATTCATATCTTCTTAGCCTTTTCTGTGTAGGTAATTTCTTCTCTCGTTTGATTTGTAAGTCACATAGCCCATGGCAAGTCTACTCACATACTCTTCTCTTTTGTGCAGCCCTACTCATATCCTCTGCTTAGCCTCTTCCGTGTAGCTGATTTCTTCTCTCGCTGGACCTGTAAGTTTTCTTTTGTGTAGCCAATCTCTTCCCTCACTGGATCTATAAGTCACATAGTCCATAAATCTATTCAGATTCTCTTCTTGCTCTCTTCTGGCTGTCTTCTATGCTTGAGACTACTGGGTATTTCCCCTGGCCATCTCTCCTGGAATCCTCCCAACTGAGCCGTTCTATACGCACCTGTATTCCTTGGTAGCCTCATGCTGAATGAAATAAGTAAAATACCTTGCGACTGTCTTGGCTGATGAAGTAAAGCATACCATACCATACCAGCTCATTAAATATCCTGTACCTGCTTGATCATCAGCCCACACAAGTCAACACCCACCACACCACCAGCCTTCTACGCGCCATCCATCCCCACCACCCGTTCAGCGGCACAGCACTCGCCTCCTCCGCGGAGGCTCAAACCATCATCGTCCCCAGGCACCAGCACGCCCAGAACGTGTTCCCCTTGCACGTCCGTCCATTCCCCAAACCCCCAGGGTCACCGTCTCTACCACCCCTGATTGGCCCATCGCATCTATTAGGATTTCTTCGGTCTCCACTCTCTAACACACCGCAATGTCGTCGTCATCGCATCCAATTGCTGTGGAGTACTTTCATTGCTGTGCCGCCTCCTGACTGGGAAAGTGCGTGCGACGTTGCCTTCCTTCCACAGCCCAGCCGGCGCCCCCGCGTCCGTTGTCTGTGTGGTGTGCGTGCGGGCCACACCACACCACACCACACACCACACACCACACCACACACCACACCTCTAGGGTCTGACTTGGCTGGACTGACTTGACGATACCTTCACTTCTTGGGGGTTGTCGTGTATGGGTAGATGCGAGTGGCTCATGTGGTTGGTTGGTGGGTAATATTGAAAATCAATACCTCGCCGCCGACCTGCATTAGCGTGGCTCATAGTCCCTGTAGTGGTCATAGGTCCCTGTCGCGGTCATCGTTCTGGCACCATTTTGACACCTAAGAGGACTAGTCAGGCACAGTCAGGCACAGCCAGGCACGACGACGACAGGACAACCACGCGAAGGATGGGGGGGTGGATGAGGGTGGATGGGGATAACGGGATGGCAAAAGTCTTGTTCTGCACGGATCAAGCGCTAAAGATACTTGTATTCCCAGGAATATCCACCAATTCCCACCAATCCTCACCACAACCCACGTGCCATGGCTGTGATTGACCCTCATCATCCCTCATCGACCCTCATCCTCGCTCTCTTTACCCCGTGATTGGCACTGCCAGGGCTCTTGGCTAATCCATGACGGGTCTAGTGCTCACCTCGTCTAGATCTTGCCCCTCTTCCTCATCCTGGACTCATCCATCCTTCCTACTTTCCCTTGTCCCCCCATCTTCCCTTCCTCCTTCCTCTCTATCCCTACCTACCCCATCTCTCCCACTATGCTCATTTTTCTCACTTCCTCCTTCCTCCCTCTTCCCATTTTACCGCCTTGGGCATCCTTGGCCCCATCCTCATCCTCATCCTCATCTGTATTGTATACTTCTAATATTACCTATTCTTACTCTTCTTCGCCTTCTCTTGCCCGTTCCTGCCCTCGTCTACCTGTACTCTCGACCCCTCCTTCCACTTTCCTTCCATCATCACCGTCAATCCTGCGGGAGATTGTCTTCGGCTCTACTACTTCCAGAGATGTCCAAGCTCATGCCATCTGTCCCCCCCTCAGATCCCTGCTTGATGTCCCTGTTGATCCCCCACTACACTCCACTATACTGCACAAGGCGCATGTTGGTGCTCGACGACTCCAAGAGTACTTCATCGTTGCTCAGTCTTCTCACTCTGGCAAATGTACTCTGCCTTTCTTTTCATCGTCCTCTTCCTCTTCCTCTTCCTCTCAATCCCTCGTCCTTCCACTTCAGCCCTGCATCTGCCCTGCATTCAGCTCCACCGGCTGTTATAAACTTGTACCTGCATCATTAAAGGTAACCGCTTTGGTCATATCACCCACCTATCCAACACCCCGCCACTATTCCCGGAACCAACATCCGTTCACTATCACCGGCGCCTCCATGAACCAGCCCCATGCCTCCACCGTTTCGTCACCCTCGCCTGCGGGGCCCCCCATGTAGGTTTGGTCACGATCCTCATCTCATCTTATCTTGTTGCCTTTTCCTTTTATCTCTCCTTCTTCCCTCTTTCTCTCTCTTTTCTCACCTCACCCACTTCCTTCACGTCGTCCCTATTCCCACGCGGTATCGTCGATATACCTCGTTGCAGACTTTTGTTTGCGTCCTTTCGTTGAAAGTCAAATCAACACCACGCTCTTTTGCACCGGCCTAGGCCATATCACAATCTTTAAACCCCCTCGCTGCTTCATATATTTATAATGGGTATCTCCAAGACCTTTGCGGCCGTTGCCGCCCTCTCAGCCGTGGCGAGCGCCGCCGGCTCCTCTGCAAGAAGCGCCGTGGCCACATACTGGGTAGGTTTATTGACGGAACGGCACTGAAGCGGAGATGCTGATGATAGAACAGGGCCAAACTGGCGGAACTCTTCGCGACTACTGTGACACAGCTGATACGGATTACATTCCCGTCGGCTTCATCGACTATTTCCCGGCGCAGGGGAACGGATGGCCAGGTTCCAACTATGGCAGTTCATGCTGGGCCTCGACATACACCGCCCCCGGCTACAACGGCGTTGACGATCCTCTCCACAACCGCCTCCTTGACCACTGCACGGGCATGGCACAGGACATCCAGTACTGTCAGTCTAAGGGAAAGAAGATTCTTCTGTCCCTCGGTGGCGGACCTAACACCTACTCCCTAACTGGCAAGAAGGACGGAGAGGCCTTCGCCGATTTCTTATGGGCAGCCTACGGCCCCCCCACCGTGGAGTGGGTTGGCCCCCGCCCCTTCGATCCCCTCCCAGGTACTGAGGGCGAGGGCATCGCGACAATCGTCGATGGATTTGACTTTGATATCGAGCACCCAGACACCGGTAAGATTCGTGTTTCTAAATGCAGAGTGTGTGTCGCTAAATTCTTTAGACAACTCCGTTGGATATATCGCCATGATCAACAGGCTCCGTAGCTACTTCCCTGATGGCGGCTACCTCATCACCGGTGCACCTCAGTGCGTTGTCAACGATGCGAACATGGATTTGATGATCCAGGGCGCCCAATTCGACATCATCTGGGTTCAATTCTACAACACTGATGGTTGCGCTGCTAGAGACTGGGTTAAACTTAACCCTGACTACGCGACAACTGGTGTCGAGACTACTGTCCCCAAAGAGTACCCCCACGGCGGCTTCTCCTACGATGCGTGGTTGAAGCGCCTCCAGGCCCCTGGCTCCAAGAGCAAGAACGCCAAACTTTCCATTGGTGTTTTGGGAGCGCCGAACATGGACCCAACCATTCCTATTGAATACTACCTGTCGGCGGATCAGCTTAAGCCGCTGATCGACGAGTACTACTGCCACGATAACTTTGGCGGGTTCATGATCTGGGACGCCGTCTTTGCCGGCAAAAACAAGGACCAGAACGGCGTTAATTTCCTGGCTCAGATCAAGAACCTCCTGGTTGCCCGCGAGGCCAAGGGATGCGCAGCGCCCACTTCCACTGTCAGCTCGAGCACCAAGGCTCCCGTCACCACTTCCACTGTCAGCTCGAGCACCAAGGCTCCCGTCACCACCTCCACCCCTGGCCCACTCACCACCGGCCCATCCACCACCGCCGTGACCACCTCGACCGGCCACTGGGGCAACAACACCATCAGTGACTCCCCAACCCTCACCTCCACCATCCTCCGCACCACCGTCTACACCGTGACCAGCTGTGCCCCCACCGTGACCAACTGCCCCCTCGGCCACGTCACCACCGCCACCCTCACCGACTACACCACCTGGTGCCCCGGCAACCCCACCATCACCCCGGCCCCAACCACCACCAGCGCCGCCAAGCCAACCAAGTCCGGGAAGCCCAGCACCGTCTACACCACCATCATCCACACCATCACCGCTTGCCCGCCTAGTGTGACAAACTGCCCCGCCAACGAGAAGACCACCAGCGTCGTTACGGAAACGAAGGCGATTTACACCACTATCTGTGACGAGGAGACTACCCTCCAGACCGCTATCCCGACTGGCGGCATCAAGGCCGTTGGCACTGGAAGCCCGACGATCCCCCAGACTCCGTTCGTTGGAGGTGGTGGACGCGTCGGTGGTAGCGTCTTTGCGGCGGCTGTTGTGGGTGTGTTGGCACTGCTGATGTAAATGTGTGTGTGTGGGGATGGGATCTGAAATATTCGCTTCTATGTTTTAAGGAAATATTGTGACAATATTTATTTTTTGGAGATAATGCTTGTTGAAATCTGAGTTTAGCGATGGAGAGGGGAGTGAAGAAACATATTGGATTGGACTGTGTTCATGTTTCCGAGCGTTTAGTTGGGTAGGTATCCTAATGTCATTTATGGATCCAGCAGGATGCTATGGAAGGTTGTTTTAGTTTTAAAATTTTATGAAGAAAACTTGAATGAAGGTATTATGCTTGATATCGGATGGTCTTTTGATTGAGTGTTGTTGGTGCGAGTGTGTGTGGTGGTCGAAAGTTATAAGACCCCCAACCCCTTTATTCAGTCTCATCGATCCACCTCCAAACCCCACGTATACCCGCCAAATAAGCTAAATAGAGAGTCAATCCATATCTTCATCGACGAATCCGAATTAAAGGCAGAGCCTGGCTTACTTTGACAACTAGCGCTAATGCAAGCGTAATTTAGAGTTATCATCCCTCCCCCTTGGCAACGCTGCTCATTACCTGATCCGGGTTCTCGTATCGTATCACATCGACTGGGGATCGGATCGGGCCTTGTGGTTACACGATCCATACGAGAATGCCGATCACTTTCAAAGTCTATTTATTGTCCTAGCCATTCTCGCTGCTAAAAAGAAACAATACATGGGGAAACAGACAAGCTACTCTAAAATGCCCTCTCGCTCTCTTGTTGGTATATTTATATCTCTACAGCCCACTTTCCCCCCCTTCAATCCCTCTCCCTCAATCTCTCTCCCTGAATCCCTCTCCCTCGATCCCTCTCCCTCAATCTCCCTCCCTCGATCCCTCTCCCTCAATCTCTCTCCCTCAATCGCTCTCCCTCAATCCCTCCCCACCCAAGCCTGACTCCCAACCCACACCCCCCTCCCCTCCTCCTCCCTCAAATCCTGCTTCACCACACACCCCCCAAACCCACCATCCGGACAAACCCCCTCCCTCACAAGTTTCTTATCCCACGGGCCCCTCGGCCCATCAACCCACCTCCTCCACCCCCACCACCAGCTCTGCCTCTCATCTCCATCTTTATACTGTTTATCCCCCCAGCGACCCCTGAACTCCATCGCGCCTACTGGATTGCCTTCTTCTCCGCCTATACCCGCCGCGCCTGTGAATGAGGCGGTGATGGCGTCGTAGGTGTACCAGAACGCGTTTAGGGTGGGATCCCATAACGTCCCGTTAGAGGAGTAATCCGTCAGCAGGAGGTCGAAGGGTAGGTGCGTCCCGGGGAGTAACATATCATGCCGTCCCGGCGAGGCATAATTCGCATGCGTCCCCTTCGCCGAGTACCCCACGGGCCGCTTCCCGATCTTCTCAACAGCGGAGTAAGCGAACGCTTGCCCGCCGCCGTGCTGCGAGAACCACATCGCCTCGGGAACCCCATCAACGAAGCGGATCATGTTGTGTTCCCAGTCCCCGACGTGGTTGCCTAGCTGCTGACCTAGGACTGTGGGACCGAGGTTGAAGGAGTAGAAGTAGGTGTAGAAGACGTCCACAACACCAGCGGAGCGGGGGACGGCGATTATGGCGGCGGAGGTGGAGGATGTGAGGCCCGTGGAGGAGGGTTTTGTGCCGGTTAGCCAGGGCGGGAGAGTGGTTACGTCGAGGTTGGATGTGAGGAAGATGTTAAGCCCTTCATCGCCGAGGGCGTTGAGGAGGGAGAGGTTGGTGAGATCGAGTGTTGTGTTGAAGGTTAGGGCGTCGTGGTCGAGAGATGGGTGCGTGTTTTGGATGTGGGTGGCGAGGGAGGAGGGGAAGTATTCTTCGTTGACGTCGAGCCAGATTAGGGGCGCTGGAGGGGAGGTTAGAACGGGGAGTTGTGAGGGCTGGAGTGAGGGGTCGAACCGTAGTCGATTGCGTAGGAGGGGATGGTCCCTTGGGGATTGGGGGTTTGGTCCGTGGTGTCTGAGGGCGTGTAGCGCGGTTGGAAGATGAGGGCTAGGATTGCTATGCTGCAGAGAGCCTGAAGGTACTGTGTTAGTAACGTGTTATCTGTAGTGGTGGTAAGGAATCGCACCAGTGTATATGAAAGGAGGCGGCTTTGTATCCTCTCCTTCGTCCACCTCGCAGTGGCCCAGTCTACGGGTTCCTCGAACTCTCCCTTCTCTATGTCGACCTTCTCTATATCGGTCGTCTCTATGCCGGTCTTCTGTATACCGGTCTTCTCTATATCCATGATCGCGATGAGTCCTGCCGACTGGGCTCAGATTTTATTTATTTGTGTATGTCGCAAAGCATGCCCACGTGAGCCTAGTATCTGTGTCACGCTCTAGACCACGAGGCCATTCACAGTAGTCCGACAAGAAACTTTTGGGCGCACTGTAATGTACAATTGGTCGTTCTTGGCTTCAGGTTCAGCTCACATACTGATAGAAAAAATTTGCCATCATGTAGGATAGATCGGCATGAACTGTCCTCGTCAGTTGTTAGACATTGTGTCACTTGGAAGGCAAGAAGGTCTCAACATTCTCAGGGTTAAGACGATGACGTTTCCCTTGTCGCGTTATCTTATCTACCCTGATATTTCCCTCTTGTACCTTGGCAGTTAGCAGCAAAAGGGCACGCGACGCAATGATTACTGGGAGGAAAATAAGAGTATGACAACGAGTGTTGTGTTTGCTTAATTAATACAAGCATATTGTTAAAGCTTATAAGTTGCTTAAAAGGATCAATGTTAATTGGTATTATCATTATTTGAAGTAGAGGATGCTGTCCGTTGAATCTTCACACAGGGTATGAAAACTTCAAAGCACGCACCATTCCCCACTTTCTCCATACGTAATCATATTCGTCACCCAAGAATATTTCTATTCTATGTAAGATTACTGCCACACTATAGTTTCCCATTAAAGTATGGCGCGTGAGTTGTAGCGCGACCTCCCTCATTAGCTATGTTGCAAACACTGAGGCTTTTGGGCAACTGGTATAACACCTTGGTATAACACCTTGGTAAAATACCGAAGCGTCGGCCTGGCAAGTCGGTCTTGCCTGTCAGCTCGGAGAACTGAAACCTCAAGTAAGCTACAGCCAGAAATATGGCCTGCGCATATCCCTGGAGAATGGGTTTCTTGGCTCCGTCCTGCTGAGCATGTGAGGGTAGTGGTGTGTGTCTGGTGATGGCTCCCGTCGAAGGTGCCTTCAGCTCCTGTTAACTGCCTCATCGTCTTCGCCCAGCCTCTTCACTTCCGTTCTGTCCATGACACTCGTGTCTAAGTTGACCTTGGTCACCTCTTCTGCAACCACAGCCTCCCAGGACTGAATCAAAGGGTGTGCATCCACGACGTCCTTCCACCCACCACCACTTTCTATTACATCATATACCCAGATGCCGTCTTCGCCCCAGTACTGTCTGCTGAAGACACCTTCGGTACGTAGATCACTGCGTGCCTTCACGACCAAAGCCTTCAGCCTCTCAGTCTCTGGTTGAGCTCCAGTGCCAATTTGGACTCCACCTTCATCCAGAGCTGGGGCACGCTTGGTGTCTGGTTTCGCAACTGCAGCATAGATCCCCTCCAATGTCCCTAGAATGGAACCTATCCTCAAGCCCATAGTTGCGCCCAGGCCAAACCCCTCGTCAAATCCTTCTTGAATGGTCGTGCCTTTCGCAGTCGTTATGCCGTCTCGGTATCCAGCAGTGCTATGCGCAGACCGCAGTCGGGGGACCTCAGAGGGCTCATCATTGCGGGTAGATCTCGTGGCATAGGAGAGAGTGGGAGATGACGGGGCGGACCCGAATACGTCGTCGAGGTTGTTTGCCTCGTCCTGGCGCGTCGTTGGAGATGGTGGCGGGGATTGGCGGGGTTGAGAGGAGGAGGGATGGAAGGAGTCGTCGCGGAACATGGTGAGGCGGCTTGTTCTACAGCCAGAAAATAATTTCGTGAATGGTAGCGTGAGAGGGTGCTTCTGTGGCGCAATAGGCGCTGTTGGCCGGTAATCAAGTAGTTGGCAGCGGTGTGCGTTACTCACAGTTGCAACATATCACAGTGTGTTGAAGTGGGGTAAATAATTTACAATTTACAACCACCACCCACCACAACATTTCCCACCATGAGCTTACCAACATCGGCAGAATAACACACCGCCTTCCATAAATAGTACATGCCGCGGGTTAATATTCCCCGTCGCCAGCCATTATAGCGGGGTCCGTGGAGCAACAAAGTCCGGCCACACAGCAAAACACGCAGCAGAACACAACGGAAACAACAGAAACAACAGAACAGCTCACCCATGGTGTGTGTCAATGGGGAGAGTGGAGATCATTCCCCTCACACCAACTTATCCGGTGTATCTCCAGCTGTATCTCCAACGGATCACAGCATACAACATACCACACGGCACTCCGGTAATGGTACATATTCAATATCCCGTCTTGTTCTTTTCTCCATCTACTTGTGTACACAATGCCATGCATGGTGTGATATACTCTTGGCTACTTGTTCTTTTTCTTGTTCATCTTAAGTAATCCAGTTAGTAAGTGCTGCTATATTACTCTGCACCCACCTCTTTCAGTCTTGGTTCTTTTCGGTCTTCTCTTGTCCTCCTTTTCTCTAGTACTCTTTTCCTCTATTCAGGCAGAATTCCCCCGGCCGCCCGAAGACCAGAGGAAAAAGCAAATTGTACGTGTCCGTAGATGCACCGAGCCCCCACATCACAGACCGATAGCGAGTGAGTACATCCTCCCTCCCAACACCCTGCAGGCCGCCTGTATCGGAGATACTAACAGCCAAATAAGAGACAAGTAATCAAATCGTGCAGGCCATCTGTGCGACCGAACACCACAGAACCGATTCAGCAGCTGAGACCCCGCCGAACCGAACTCCTCACATTTTCTCATCGCGGCCGCATTCTCCTTCACTCTACCCGTCGTCCACGCCCTCGTATCCGTCTGCGCGAATCGTAGAATGGATTCTGAATTGTCGAAGCAAAGCCTCTGGGTCCCTCGACGGGCTTCCACCGCCTCTCCCATAGAGTCTCCCACCTCCCCCACCAGCGGTGCCCAGGTACAGCCATCAGTCCCCGAGCACACTGAGAACGACGACGAGCCCTCCCCGTTGTCCCCGTCGGACCCGACATCCGGGGAACCACAGCAGCGGCAGCGACGGGACTCGCGCGTCAAGAATACCGGGCGCCGCATCGCGCAGATCGTTAAATTGAAGCCCGAGTTTGTGGAACAGTACAAGGAGTATCACGCAAATGTGTGGCCCGAGGTGTTGAAGCAGATCAAGGAGTGCCAGATCCGTGATTGTGAGACCCCTCCACCATCCATGTTGGCGGAACAGACGCTAATGAGATGCAGATTCGATATTCCACGATCCCGGAACTGGAATACTCTTCGCTTCATTCCTGTATGTCGGCTATGGGTTCGCTGACGACATGGAGCGCATGCGCGATAATCCGAAGGTGAGGGAGTGGTGGGCGCTGACCGACGGGATGCAAGAGAGTCTCGTTGAAGGGGCGGTCTCTAGCGCCGACGGTGGGTGGTGGAGGGAGGTCGAGAGCGTTTTCTACGCTGCATGAGAAGAATGTTCTCAAATGATGCATACTCAAGTACCAAGGGCAAGGTCACAGCAGCGAGAGGTTGGAGCGCAGATTGAGTGGTCGCTCCTGGAGTCTGACGATTGATCTAAGATAGCTGTCATGGTTGGGAGGGCCCGAGCTCTTATGTATGAGCGGGACAGGTTCGTTGCTTGTGCATACAGCCGAGGAGCTTTATAACATAGCAATACTTCTACAATTTATCTTACTATATCCCACCTATCTACCCTTCCACCAGCTCTTCAACCAGTCGGCTAGTCATAACTTCCCAAACAATCCCCCGAATAACCCCGTCCCTGTGCCGCCTCCCCCGGTCCCCTCTCCGTGCCGCCGAGCTTGCCGCTCAATCCACTCTCTCAGCCACTGCTCATTACTCATATTCTTCACGTCCGTCTCCCTGTCCACCACCTCCCCTCTATCAAAGACGACCAGCGTCGGCAGAGAGGAGATTATAAAATCCATACCAAGGCTGCTCCCCATATTCTCTGGTGCGTCGAACTCAACCTCGACGAAGCCAACCTTGTTGCCAGGATCGGCCGGGCAGGGCGGCGAGTCAGAGGATATGATCTGGTGGAGGATTGGCGAGATGACCTTGCAGGGCGGGCAGTACCCTGCGGACCAGTATGTGATGAGGGGCGTCCGGGACGACGTTGACAGCAAGATAGTCTCGTGCAGGGCAGCGGGGTGGCGGATCCTGGGGAAGGGGGTGGAGGGTCAGCGGTGTAGAGCAGAAAGTGGGGAGTGAACGGCGGGGAAGGGACCACTTACGGCGTGTAGATGCGGTTTTTGGACGAGTGGGGTGCGGACGAGGAGAACTGGCGAATGCTGCGGATGCACACTCGCACGGTGGGGGTGGTAGAGGGGAGTCTGATCGCCATGATTGACGTTTGCGTGCCGGGGCGCCTCGGTGAAGATGGTATTAATGGTAGGGTTTATATGGCTGCTTCACAATTCGAGTGGCATCTCACATGCAGGTGTGCTCGTCTTACCCCAAAACAGGGTGTCGACATGGATACGGTGCCTAAGATGCGCCTCGTGCGTCATAGTTCACGGAGCGGAATATCTTTAATTCGGCGCTCCGCCGCGGTGTTGAGGCGATGCATCAGTCAGATATGCCCGTGGGAGGGTTGATAGGTGAAGACGGTGAGGCCGTTATTAACATAAACAACGTTTCTATACCTAAGTTACCGTTCATGTTGTGTAGCTCATCAGCGTAGGAGACATATACCAGCGCTAATCCCACGTACCGCTCACCGACAGTCGACATCATCCATCCATCTGCTCACTATCCTCAACAACCTCAAAGAGTGTTTTCTTCTCGTCCCATTAATACGACTTCCTAGGAGATATCAACGACCCCAGTCCCCCCCGCCTTCTAGTTCTCTACCCCCGTACCCGCGTTTGCCATAGACCTCCCTATTCCACCAGCTGATCGTCGACACCGCCTCCCGCCCGCAGCCTGCACCTATCCCCTTCCGCGGAGCCTGAGACACATAGCTCTTGGCCAGCGACCCCCACCTACTATCAAGGTGTCATATGCCAGGGTAGCAAGAGACAGATAACATGGCATAAGGCCCTCGAGTCGACGTCTTTGCTCATATCATTATTGTTGCTCACAACACTACCAAGCTACTCTGCCGGAGCTCGAGTTCTTGGCTACTTTTCCCCCCGCTTTGCGAAATCACTAGATATATTTACCCCCTCGGCGGCTCTCATCTTCAGATATAACTTGTGCTGAGTTGATCTTTGCCCTTTGTTTACCATGGAATCCTCCTTAGACTCCCAGGACGGGGAGAAGCCTCCACGCTCGCGATGGCGCTCGTTCTTCGGGCGCAACACAGGCACACCAGGATCGCAGCCTGACCAGTCCGACGGCGACAGAGAGAACTTACCTTCGAAATGGAGCATGGGCGTTCTCAACGATAGAGAAACCCATGAAGTGCCTGGTGCGTATCCTACACTTTGAGTCTACGTCCAACGTACTAATAACAACGATAGGCTCTGTCCTCCTCCTTGCCAACCTCCGAAATGAACCTCTTGGCTTGCGAAACGCGCCGGCGCGCACTTCGCATTCTTCTCTCCCTTCGCAATACCCATCGCCGTCACCAACACCATCACGAAGACAAGTTAGGAGGGCCGTGTCCGATATTGCGTCAAAGAAGAAGACGAGTGACGGCACCATCGTTCTCGAACCACAACCTGAAGACTCAGATAATGACCCCCTGAATTGGCCAGCATGGCGCCGAGATAGCGCGCTTCTGTCGTTAGGCCTCTACTGTATGGTTGGTGGAGGAATGACATCTGTCCTTGCGGCTGGCTTCACCGACGTCGCCAAGACGTACGATGTGTCGGTGCCACAGGTCGCTCTGACTACAGGTTTATACATGATGGGCTTAGGAGTAGGCTCAGTATTTGCAAGCCCAACGGCTATTCTGTACGGAAAGAGACCTGTATACCTGGCCGGCTGCGTCTTGTTCGTTGCAACCTCAGTGTGGTGTGCGGCATCTCCTAGCTATCCATCATTGGTAGCCGCGAGAGTGTTGCAGGGCATGTCGGTTAGCCCTGTAGAGTGTCTTCCCTCAGCTACTATTGCTGAGATTTTCTTTTTGCATGAGCGGGCGTACCGGATTGGCATTTATACCCTTTTGTTACTTGGTGGGAAGAACTTGGTGCCTTTGGTTAGCGCTGCCATCATTGAGGGGCTAGATTGGAGATGGGTTTTTTGGTAAGTAATCCGATCTTTGCAGAAGTTGATTTCGGTGCTGACTTCTTCAGGATTGTCGCCATGATTGTTGGCTTTTGCGGAGTACTTGTTTTCTTTTTCGTCCCAGAGACCTTCTGGGACCGCACGCCTCGCCCTCGAGGTCGCACGTTGTCGAGGCTCCCAAGCGTCGTCCAAATGTACCACAGCGTGGCTAGCACACACAGGAAGAAAGCAAAGGGTGATGCCGATGGTTTGGATGATGGGAAGAACGTGACCTCTTCAATCCCGCCCACTCCGACTGTCGGTGATGCGCCTAGAGGGCCTCACCCAAGGCCAGGATTAAACCGAAAGAAGACACCGCTTCATGTTGGGTTTTCTGTACCGAGCTCAGGGCATGAAGACGGACCACCTGATGCGGACTACTTTGGACTCCCGATGTCTACAATCGCGGATCGCGATAATGTTGATACCCCAACTATATCTATTAATCAGGGTGAAGCAATAGAGACTCCTGCTCCAACAGCACGCCCACAAACTTCGCAAAGCGAATCTCAGGGCCAGGTCCGTGCAGTCGCCGATCTCTCCAGCAGTCCGATGAGGGAAAGAGCTGAAAGCCCTGGGCTGGCTCCCGGCGCCGACCTTTCTGATATTCCTTCTGACTTGGAAGCTGCCATCGGTAGGCCACCTGGGCGTAACCCCAAGACCGGCGAAAGGTATACAACTGTCCTGAGAACTGCGCCCAAACGCTCTTTTATCCAGCAGCTGCGTCTGTACGAAGGCCGCCTGCACCAAGATAACTGGTTCCGTGTTGCCATCAGGCCGTTTATCCTCTTCGCCTACCCAGCAGTCTTGTGGTCCGCGGTCGTTTATGCATGCTCTGTCGGCTGGCTCATCGTTCTCTCTGAGACTGTGGCAGTAGTCTACCGTAACCCCGAAACATACAACTTCTCTGCTCTGGGCACGGGTCTCATCTATCTCTCCCCCTTCATCGGCGGCATTCTCGGAACGGTCGTGGCGGGCAAGGTGAGCGACATCATTGTACGTGCGCTCGCACGTCGCAATGGCGGGCTGTACGAGCCGGAGTTTCGTCTTGTTATGGCGATTCCCGTTGCGTTTACTACTGTCATCGGGCTTATGGGGTTCGGATGGTCGGCTGAGAACCGTGATTCGTGGATCGTGCCGACGATATTCTTTGGTCTTATGTCGTTTGGGTGCACGTTGGGCAGCACGACGGCTATCACGTTCTGCGTGGATAGCTATCGGCAGTATGCTGGTGAGGCCCTTGTGACTCTCAACTTCTCGAAGAATGTCTTTCATGGGCTGGTCTTCAGTCTGTTTGTCAATAAGTGGATTGATGATAAGGGATTGAAGGATGTGTTCCTTGCGTTGGGGGGGATCCAGCTCGCTCTGCTGGCGATGACGGTGCCCATGTATATCTATGGAAAGAGAGCAAGGATGTGGACTGTGCGGATGAATCTGATGGAGAGATTTTGAGTAGTTTGAAGTTCAGGATAGGTTTATATTGAAAGGAGGCAGCATTTTTTCTTGGGAGGTGTTCTTCGGGGTTTGCAACAGGCTGGTGTAACAGGTGGGAGTTTGCATCATTGGCGTTACATCTTCTGTACAGCGCGGAACTGTTCATTCGATTGCTTATAATACCGTATGACCTATCACTCATATCCCCAATATATTTTGGTCTCGAACCGCTTGCACGTTACAATAGTGGACACGAAGTTACCATTGATTAAACATCTTTATTCTCATACATAGGCTGGAAGACCCGTGCTGTTCAGCTATAAATTATGTGTACTCGTTATATTACCTCGACGCTTCCACTCTCTCAATAATAAAATGAACATCAATAACGCCGTAGGCCATGCCGTTATCCTTCCCTCCTGTACCCCTGCGAGTTAGGGGACCTCTCGTGAGCTTTTACCCTGTTATACAAAGCACCTTCATGTGCGCTTAGAAGCAAAGAAATCCGGAGACAATGCCGTAGTCGTTGACAGTGCTATTGTATATACATAGTGGCCCATTCAGGGCGATTTTCGTTAAAAAGTTATCCATCTGCCACTCATGTCGAGTGAAGAGAGCCAAGCAGGTAGACGATACCGAAAATGATGAATGCGAAAGCTCCACCCAGAGTTACTGCATTCGAGGGTTAGCAAATTGGAACTATATACGTTAAAGTGGGTGGGATTAAACTTACCAACTCTCAGTGATACTTTGCCGGCAATTGCCCTTCCTCCAATAACAGCGACACCAGTGCAAACCGCGTGCCCGCAAATGGCTCCTGCAGTCACCCACCAGTAATCCTGCCCTGCTGCCATAGCAATGGTAGCAATCTGACTCCTATCACCCCATTCGCCCAAAAACGTCATAACGAAGGTTTGAACCCAGGCAGGACTCAACAATAGAGATACAAGATTACCGAATCCAGCTGCTGCATTCTTCAACGCGGAACCCGGGACTGGCGATGATCCTCGCGATGATGATGGGCTCCTTGGAGGAGACGGCAAGCGCGTCTTTGATCTAGACTTCCTCGAGTTATGGCCCAAGCCCATCTCTAAGGCATATGGAGAGGCCGACGAGCGACGACCCTGTTGGCGCAATTCAAGTTCTTTCTCCTCAAGTTCCATTTCGACTTCTTGCATTTCCGCCGCGACACCTTCGGTTGGGCTCATAGCCTGTCCCTCTCTCAACATCTTCACGCCGAATATCAAAAATAGAATTGCAGCCATGAAGTTGGTAAAGCGTTGTGGAAGCAGGCTAGGAACAGCGTGGCCGAGAACTGCGGAGAGGACAGTCATGGTGATCAGTGCAGAGAAAGCTGCAGAGAAGACGAGGATTCTGTCGTGCTTCATGGCCATCAAGGCTGCGATGAGGAAGGTCTTGTCGCCAATTTCAGAGACGAGAATCATAGTGAGGGAGAGGATAAACGAATGCAGGGGTTGGATGAGACCTTCAACCCCCTCAGCATCAACGTCGGATTGGCCAGTCTTAGCGGGCTTTGTGAAATCCAAGTGGTCCTTGTGGGCAGAGTCGGGGATTGGATGTGGTAAATCTACCGGTTTCTTTGGTAGCTCATCGGGTTTCTGTGTATATTAGATTTGGCTGCACTAAAACACTCAAGAACAAGACATACCTCAAGACCCGCAAGTTCGTAATCATCATCGGGGTCTGCTTCTTTAGCTTTTGGCTTCTTCGTGTCCTTGTCTCCCTTTTCATTGCCAGTGTTAATCAGCTCTTGTTCGCTGTGTGGCAACGGAGGGGCTTCTTTCGGCGGGTCTGGTTTCTTTTCTAGTCGCTCTCCGGTCTGTCCCTCTTGTGCCTTCCTATCTTTATCCTTCTGGCTAACCCCTCCCTCTGTCCCAGTCGTCCCATCTTTTGGTAACTGGCGTTCCGGGTCGTTCATGACGCCGTCGTTTACATCGGGTATTTTTTGGCCATCGACCATGGTGATATCCTCCGGTGCCCCCTTCAGGGGTGTTTGCTTCTTTGCTTCGACAAGCTCATCCGAAGCGCCTGTTGGCTCAGGCTTCTTTCTATCCGAGTCGACAAAGGGGCCAGCGTGCGGTTTGCCGTCCTTTCCGTCGACAGGCGCGTCCTTCGTTCCATGGAGGCCCAGGGAGGTGGGCTTCTGGCCGGCGATCTGGGCACCAAGTTCGGTGGCTGAAGGCGGGATTTCTCTTGCCACGGCGATGTTCGTTGGAGTTGGAGTGTCCGATGCATCACCTGCAATGGCGGCAGCTGCTACCAACGAAGGAACGAGCAGAACGAGGAGTGGCGACGCACGACATAATCGAAGCTTCATGGTTATAATGTGACGCTGATGTCGAGTAAAATGTCGCTAGGCTCGTCGATTTGGGCGAGATACAGCGATGGAGGCAATGGCTGTCCTAAATATCGATTAAAAGGAGCGATGTGGCCCAACAGGTATTGGCTCAATTCCAATAGTTTTTGCCTGCGCTATATGATGTGTGTCGGCAAAAAACCGGTTGACTCTCTGCCCAAACGGACGATAATGAAAATTATTGTTGTGTCCGCGTTTGTAGAGTAGATGCGATAGGAAGTTTGGTGGAGGAAGGGATGAAGTCGCGTGTACTGTAAAGTCGAGTAGTGCCACAGGGCCTTTGACAGATCTATGGTACACTTTTATGGGGGAGAGTGAGCTAGGCTGTTCACGGAATAAGTTAATATGGATCTCAGAGACACGGGATGGAGGGGAAGTATTGGTCCGCGTACTTTATATAGATCTCAAGTATCTATCCGGGGGAAATTACCAAAGAAGGCAGTTCAAGGAGACAGATATTCGGAAATGAAGTTTGTAAGAAAAGTGAGGAAAATAAGAGATATAAGGTGTAAGAAACAACAGATATATAAGAAATCCTGCAAAGAAAGGTTCGGACTCTTTAGAGAGGAGAGGATGAAGAGAGGATGAATAAGGAGGAGGAGTATTGTACTTCATGTGAAGGTGAAGGGGTGCCTGAGGACACATTCGCATGCGCATTCGCCACAGATACAATTCATCCTCAGGCATCAATCCTCAGGCATAAAGTTCTAGATTACTTTCTGTGGTGTGGTACAAAAATAGACAAGCTTAAAAGTCCCGTGACCCCGCGTGTGTCGCGTAAAGATTAAGTTCGTCCTCGTTAGCCTTCCCATGACGCGCCCCGATAACAAACAATCTAGTCGAAAACAGCCATTGTTACCCACGCTTCGCTTGCTTCCCCAACTTCCCCAACTTCAACAGGGAGTTTCATTAAGCAAAACGAGCAAGCTATGAGTGTACCATAGTTCTATATTTCTACTATTTTTTATACTCGAAGGCAACGCTTAAACAACAACTCCGAAACCTAGTGCAGATCCAAACTCCGCCACCAACCGCCCACAATCACAATGGCCCGTCGAACCTCATCGCGAGCAGCCAGCCATGATCAAGCTTCATCGCCACCCAAGCCCGACGCTTCCAGGCGCACTGTTCGAAGCCCACAGAAACGTTCAACGCGCGCAACCCGCAGCCAGAGTCGAGATCTTGATGAACCTTATGCGCCGGACCTGAGACAAGGCGGGGGTCGCAATGAGAGGCAGGGCAGCGTGAATAGTGTAGGCAGCGACGCTAGCACGGCGAACAATAGTCGCGGAAAGAAGGTGCGCGGTAATGCGCCGATACAAACAGGTAAGATTATCGAAGCAAAAGCGCAAGATTGCGATCTAACATACGATCAGACTTATCAATGGTAGCTGAGGATGAAGAAATGCAAGAATCGCTCCGAAATGAAGCAGAGGCTCGGGAATTTCCCAACGTTCACCAACATCCAGAGCCTATGTCAGGCCTTTCTGAAATACCACATCCAGCGCCTGCGGCTAAGAAATCCCTTCTCCCTGCCGCTCAGATCCGTAGTACCTCGCGAGGAAACAGGTGTGTAGAATCCGTCTCTACCTCGGGTTGTTAATTTTATTTCAAATATGGCAGATCAGTTGAAGGTAACCCACTAGACCACAATACCCATTCTGACAGTCACTTTAGTAACCCCAAGCGACTGACCGGCCTCAGCTATCTCATGTCCAAAAAGCCCCAGGCAAGTGCGGCACCGCCCTCGAACCAGCAACAACTACAGCAGCAAGTCGCCGCCGGTCCCTCAGCACCTAAAACGCCGCAGAATAATGTGACGCGCCAGCTACCCTTGACCGCCCCGGCGAAAACATCACAGGAAGAACACCCAGAGGCGGATGACAACAGGCCATTCCATTTCTCGAATGAGGATTTTGCAAATAAGATGACAGAATATGACGCAGAGAAGAACAAAGAAAACAGGCCTCTCCCTGCCGAGGCCATCCCTCAAACGTTAGCAGCCACACTTCCTGCAAACCCTCAACGCAAGTCCTTCATTGAGCGCCAACCCAGCGCCCATAGAGTATCTCAAATCAGTGACTCCGACGCTGATTCTCAGCCGGAACCCACGGCCAGGCAACACGCCAAGCGGGCACGAGAAGAGCCCGAAGAAGTGTCTGAACACGAGGTAGAAGCGGCTATGGATGAGGACGAAATCTCGGAAGATGATGGCTTCGAGCAGGACCGCAATCAACTACCTAGTCGCTTCCGAGAACCGCCACCCGAGGTCATACAGGTCACAGGAGGTGCGCGCAAACGCGCAAGGATTCCCAGCCGTGTCGTTTCGCACGGCCTGGCAGGGGAAGTACAGTCCAGGCAACCGCGCATCGAGGCTACAGCATCCAGATTGCCGCAGCAGCCCAGTTCCAGCCGAGTGCAGGGTAGAAATTCTGTCGTTTCTCCCATCGAAGAGGAATTGAACAATGGAATGAAGGCGTACCGTGAAGCGCAGCACCAAGCAACGCAGTACGATGCAGCGCGAGAGATGGCGGCGCAACAGGCGCAGGCGCGCCTGCTGAATATTGGTGCCCACAGACCGACCCAAAGGCGGACGAAGTGGACACAAGACGAAGAGGCCGGGTTCATAGACCTGATAGGACGGTTTGGGGTTGGCTGGGCAGCACTGCATGCGAGAGGTCAGGCTGAGGGGATATTCGACGAATGTCGGAACCAGGGATCACTGAAGGACAAGGCTAGGAATATGAAAGTTGACTTCCTGATGTGAGTTGCCTCTACCACCCCTCTCCCATTGCTAGTATTTCCATTAGCGAGAGCATTGAGGGATCGATGTGAGTATCGAAAGCAGCTAATGAAAATAGTTCGGGGTCACCTCTCCCTTCGAATTTTGACCTCATCGCGATAGGCCAGAAGGAGAGAGATAAGGTGATGAGCAGGGGTAGGAACCCCTATCGCAAGGAAGGCGAGATCGTGGGGCAAGAAGCTATTGATATGGATGGGCAACCCAGAGGTGTCTTTGACTGACCCCCTGTCTCTGTTGTAAGGTGTGCGAGCTGTGTGTCGTATGACTACAGAGGGATTCGGGTTGGGCGGAGTAGGGAGTTGGTCGCGTTTCTGTCTTTTCAATATACCCAGGAGGATCACGATTCCGATGGATGAGTTTCTTCCATCGTTCACAAGTGGGCTCACGAGCCCGTTTTATTTATATATGATGGCTTTCCTTCGCGTCTTTATGGTTGTTTTGGATGGCCCGGTACTGTTACGATATAAGGAGAGAGCCGCGTTGATTGGGGGTATAATAAGTATTTTGATATCATAATTACAATCAACATGGGGAGCTGGAGTCTTCCTTCTTTACACTTCCCTCTTTGTAATAAGACAGATCTTTTGATTGAACCAAGTCACTTGCAACCCCTGACAGCCACCTCACTATGTGGGCCATTCCACCAGTAAATCCATTACTGCCAGTACCGTATCCTACACTTAACCGCTTTTGACACGTACACACTCACCAAAAAGGCACCATCGCTAGCTTTCAAAGTGCCTGCTTCGACGTCGGCTGCACATCTAGTAGGAACCAGGGCGAACAGAAAGCATTCCGCCGTCAGGTAGCAAGATGCACCCCATTCACAAAAGCACCTGCTCTAGATGCCAAATAAAGCACAGCACCGGCAATATCCTTGCAGGAATATTAGCATTCAATCAGTTCAGACTGGAGTGTTAGCATACCTCTTCTGTGCCTGCTCGTGTAACTGGGATAGCTTGCCACGGCAAAGAGCCGACGACGCTGATATCTCCCTCTGGGGTGTAGGCCTACTTGGATGTAAGCTTCTACTCAACAGTCAAAAGACTTTTTTTTTTTGTTGTATCACATTCCTCTGTCATTTCTGTAACAAAAGTCCCGGGGGCAATAGCATTGGCCCGGATGCTATGTTTGGCATACTCCGATGACAAAGTCTTCGTCAAGTGGCTCAGAGCAGCCTTGCTGGCATTGTAGACATAGCTAGGAGCTTCAGCTCGGCACAAGCCACCAAAACTAGTAGTACTAATAAACTGACTCTGCAGTAGTCCACTCTTTCCTATGCTGTCAGAGTGCGTATTGCCAGCTCCTAACAAGCCCAAGAAGGCGAGGAAGGTAAAATACGATCCGGCTATGTTAGTGGTAACAACTTTAGTTGCATCTTCGTAGGTTGACTTGTCCCACAGCTCCTTTTAAAGTTCACCTAGAGTCTGCTCTGCCGGCCTAGGGACCATACCGCTAACCTCCCCGAGATAACCTGAATTGGCAATAAGAAGATTAATAAATGGCGTCTGCTTTTCGATTGTCGACACTGCAGCCTCCAAGGATTCTTTGGATGTCACATCGCATACGAGCGGGATGAGAGAGCCATTTTTCTAAAAAGCAATTAGCTTAGTGGGGCGAATCAGAAGTCAACACATACTGCTTTTGATGCAACCTCCCTGAGTTTGGACTCTCGGCGGCCGAGAATGAAGACTTTAGCTGCGCCGTTAACATCCAGAGCATGGGCCATAACTTCGCCCAAACCAGAGCTGGCGCCTGTGACTACAGCAACCAGTCCCTTGACAGAGAATAGCTGAGCAGCGTCGAGGTTCGACATGTTTGTTTGTTATTGTTGAAAAAAGTAAGCTTTACTAGTGACATATGACGGGGTTTTTGCAGGGCTGAGGCAGATATAAGGAGATGATAGGGAATATTAAAAGAGTCCAGGGCAGTTAGTTGTCTTTGTGATTGGAAGTATGACGTCGATTATATGCTGTCGATTAGAAATCAGATTGGTTTCTAAGCTGAATATTCGATAAACACTATAATTAATTTAATATATATAGCGCCCCTTATAACTTCAGATGGCATTTTTAGTTTGATAGACTCGATGGGGTTGATAAATCCAACTAATTTAATTCAAGAGTCCAACAGCCTTCTATTGTCCCATCAGTTCAATACCCACAAGTCACGCAATTTCAATTATTATAGCCCTACTATTTATATATAACCTCCATGTGTTGCATATTTTAGGGTTGGTTCGGCTCATAGTATTGATATTCTACTAGGTCTCGATATTCACTATGTAAGGAGGCCATAAATAGTTATAGGGAGATGCTAGGGCGAATAATCCGTAGCAAAGAATATTATCATCAGATTATCTTTGGAATCAGTGTATTTTAGTGGCGTAGAGAAGATTGCTGGACCCGCGATTGAAGCCCAAAAAATTAACCATTTAGCTTGATTTTATAGTAATTTTCTTGTTGGATGTAGGAATAGCAGGCCGAGAAGACTTGAACGGTCTATTAATTAATTCACTAATTCATTTATAGTTGCTGTGATCACTTGGAGCAATGATGGATTCCCTCCCTGGTGTGGTGTTCCTGTGCCTCTGATATGGGTTGGGTCTGGAGTCATGCACGGTCCCTTAAACCTCGGTGCTATGAGCGACTACCGGTACCTTGCACGCAATACGCGTTATACCCCTGGCTGGACGTGCAACCGCAGGTTTAATTATTGTAGCAAGGTTTGACCGAAGAGTGTCTTCCTTTTCCAATTCACTGCCTGTGATTTATCGCTCGTTTTGTCTTCCATGTCTGCGAAATCCAATTAGTCCTCATAATTGCATCCGTTGCTTTTGTTTACTCGCTCTCCACATCTGAACTCGCCAACGGCCGCCACAATGCACGCGTTGACCAGATTCAGCGTTGCTCTCCTCGGCCTGGCCTCCTTTGTGCCCTCTGCACTCGCCGTACCGGGCTATCGTCGTGGTATTGCTTTATAACAGCTCCTCTAATTGTTACACATGCTGACATCGTTTCCCTAAGCAGATAACTCAGGTCTCGAACCGTACATAACCATCAATCCGGATGGTGCTGCGTCAACTGTTACGCCAGTAGCCACAACCATCAGTGGCGTAGCAACGACCATAAATGCCTCCCCAAGCGCAACTACAACTGGTGCGGGTGCCCAGCAGACACAAGCAGGCGGCTCATCCTTCGACGTCTGCCACAACAAAGACGGTCCCAACGCGCCGTTCTGCGTACCTACCAACGGCACACACCTTGAACCCGGCTCCACATACTATGTAACCTGGGATACAAGCGCATTCCCCGGAAACGCATCTGTGTTCGTCCTTGGGAATTACTTCAATGCCTCTGTTGGCGGCGAGCAAGCGTTTGAGTCAAAAACACTGTCGGGCTCTCGCGGGTGGTACGCCATGAGTGTCATAGATGAATGGAAACAGGGATCTAAGGAGAACTATATCGATTTGTTCCTGGCCACCGAAACAGGTGGGAAACGCCTGCCGGGCCCACGGATAGCAATTGGCACTGCGCCAGAGGAAGTCGAGTTCAAGCCTACGCAGGTGCCCAAGGGACCGGCACTATACATCGCGCTACCGGCAGTGTTTGGGTTCATCATCCTCTGCGTGTGCGGCGGCTTCTGGTGGAACAGACACGCCAGGGTCATTGGGCTGGGCAACGTGATGGGACGGAGGAAGGGGTATGGGATCGGGAAGAGCAGGGGCGAGCGGTTGGGGATGGGGCGGAAGGGGGCGATTAAGTTGCAGGAGCGGGAAGCAGAGGCTGGCGCTCCCCTCGATGCCCAGACGTCGTTCAGGGATGACACGTTTGACTTTGAGCAGGAGAGGCCGAGGAGGAGGGATAGCGATCTGGGGAGCTTGGTGAGCACCCCGACAAGACCCGAGTTCGGGAATGGCGTGGGGGGAGGGGCAGGGGGAAGTAATGTATTCAGGAGTGAGATGGAGAGGCAGGAGCGTGAGAGGCGGGCTTAAGGCTGAGGGTTGGTGGGTGCCGAGGCAAAGGCGTTTTTGGGCTTGTGTATAATGTAGGATATATATATACCACTACCACAGTTTGTTCTGTAGGTTCGATTACATGGTGTGTGGAGTTCTACTGTAGAGAGTGTATTGTAAGAGGGAAGGGGAAGAAGGCTACGGACAAGGCTGAGAGAAACGGATAGGCCATCCATGGACACCGCGGTAGCACGTCTTGGCTTGTGGTGGATGGGATTAAGTGGGTGAAGTGGGTGAAGTGGATAAAGTGGTAAGGTACGAGTCGTGATAGATTACTTTCCGTACTGTAACCCCAGAGTATGCGAGTTTCTGTACCTACAATAGAGTCAGTTAAGGTCGTTAGGTCGTGGTTGCTCCTGACCATATGATTGGCCGAAACGACGACATTCGACCATCGCCAGTCTTGGCACCTCTCGTCCACGAGAAACCATGCACGTTTCTGGGCAATCCGAGTAATCTGATCAATGAGAGATCACCATTCCTCTACTCATACTAGTCTACTCATACTAGAGTACACGTACAAGAGTACTGCGGACGGACTGGTCTCAACATTCAACGGAGACGATCTTTAGGATCGTCGAATCTGATGAGAGCCAGGGACTTGTCTACTGTACTTACTTTAAATGGCTACAATTGCAGTGCAGCACCCCTACAGATCCGTACAGCGCCAGTACAATATACTACTCGTCCAGCACAGTGTAACCAGGCCATGTGCCGCGATGATAGGTCGATGCAGCCCCGTTCCATCAGAACCACAACGGCCTGTCAACGAAAGCTCCCCCTGTCCCCCAAGACGACGATGCTGCAGCTATTCAGTATGCAGATGTTGCAGATGGGAGTCACACTGTGGTCTGTTACACTACTCCACCGCCGCCCTGAACCGATAACCGGCCAGATAGTGGGATAGTGGGATGTTACTGTGGACCACGAGGGGTTATCAACTGAGTCTTGATCGTCCCCTGCTCCTTCTCTTGGTCCTCCTGCTCCTGCTGAATCAGTCCACGTTGTGTGTGTATTGCTCGACGTTGAAACCTCACATCTCGCCCTCACTCACCCCGCCTCCACCCCTCCTACTGCCACCCACACACAGCTATGCCTACCCCCAGCACGGCCCATTGGGCCTTTATATCTCCCCGCTGCTGTCCCCTTCCTCTCTTTCCTTTTTCCTCTTCCCTTTGATTTCTTGCAACTACCTATTACCTCCGCCCAGCAGCTTGCTTCATTGTGCTGTTTCTATCCAAATCTCCGCGGTGCTTTTCTCACACACTATGAGAGAGTACCATGGCTTCTCTTATCCCTAACATCCTGCCCAAGGATTCCCACACTCAAATTATTGCTGCCGGAGCATCTATTGCGATTCTTGTCGGTATTGTGTTTGTCACAACCTTCGGGGGAAAGAAGACCCCCAAAAATGACGAAGAGCTGAGCACGTGGTCCTCGTTCATCCGCTTCTTCTACGCGTGCTTTCTCAAGCCGCACGAGAAGAGCGGCGAGAATGGCCAGCAAGATGCCCTCGAGAGCTTCTACAAGGCGCAAGCTGGCGTCTATGACGCGACCCGCAAACGACTCCTGTGTGGCCGAGAGGACATGCTTGGGTTGGTGGCTGCGCAGTTGAAGCAAAAGGCTACAACAGCCAACCAGTCGAAGAACCAGAGACGTATTTGGGTTGATGTGAGTACAGCCGTATCCCCCGGCCAGTCGCGGCAACTGATGCGCAAGATACCCAGGTTGGTGGCGGGACAGGCTACAATATCGAGGCTATGTCCAAATACCTAAATGTCCCCGAGTTCTTCTCCAGCGTCTATCTTGTCGACTTCTCGCCCTCGCTGTGCGAAGTGGCGCGTAAGAGATTTGTTCGCCTTGGATGGAACAATGTGAAAGTTGTTTGCCAGGATGCGAGACTTTTCCGACTTGAAGATCACGAGGGAGAGAGCGACGAGTCTTCCAGCGACCTCATTCTCCCCCCACCTGCCATTGATGAGTACTTTTCCGACTCGAAATCAGCTGTGGGAGCAGACTTGGTTACAATGTCATACAGCTTGTCAATGATTGTGAGTGACGCTTCCAGTTTAAAAGTACTAAGCTAATTGTGTAGCCTGATTTCTACTCAGTGATCGACTCTCTCACCAACCTCCTCGCTCCATCCGGAGTTATTGGAGTTGTCGACTTTTACGTGCAATCTGTCGTCGATTTGAGCTCCAGGAACTACACCGGTGGCGCCCTGACACGCCACGTCAACTGGGTTAGCCGACTGTTCTGGCGTGCGTGGTTCGACATCGACCGCGTTGGTCTCGATGCCAGCCGCCGTGATTACCTTGAATACCGATTTGGAACGGTTCTCTCTGCAGACAGCCGCAACTATCTCCTAGGCGCCATCCCTTACTACATGTGGCTTGGATGCCCCAAGAAGCACTCGACAGCACTGTCCCCGTCCAGCCATGACATTATCGAGCGCATAGATGCGGCCGTCACCGAATCTCCTTACCTACACCCTGCGAACTACACAGCCAACCTGTCGAAGGCAGTTGAGAAGGCAAACCCAGAAATCCGATCCAAGGCTTACTCTGCCGCCCTCCTGAACCTGACCTCCAACCTTCCTCTCCCTTCATTTTTCTACCAAAACCACCACTACCGCATTCATTTCGATGATCAGTTACAGAAGCACACCCAGTTTAACAACGAGTACATCTACGCCTTTACTTGGGAAGATACCCGTGTGGACGACCGTATTCTGAATCTCACCCCCTCCGACGTCGTACTCGCCATCACCAGCGCTGGCGACAACATCCTCTCGTACGCTCTACGCTCTCCAGCTCGCATTCACGCCGTGGACCTGAACCCTTCTCAGAACAACCTCCTCGAACTCAAGGTCGCTGGATATCACTGCCTCCCTTACGCCGATTTCTGGAAGATCTTCGGCGAAGGAAAGCATGCCAACTTCCGCGAGCTGCTGATTGAGAAACTTTCGCCACACTTGTCGAGCCGCGCGTTCCAGTACTGGCTCGATAATGTATCTGTTTTCTCGCCCAAGGGTCGCGGATTATACGAGACAGGTGGAAGCCGATACGCCGTGAAGTTATTCCGTTACATGTCGAATGTGTTCGGTCTCTCCAACGAGGTACGAAAGGTACTCAGCGCAAAGACTTTGATTGAGCAACGAGAGATCTACCGCTCCTCAATCCGACCAGTAATCCTCTCGCGCATCCTCTCAAGCGTTTTAATCTCGCAGCCGCGCTTTTTGTGGGCCGCACTCGGCGTGCCAAAGAACCAACTTGCGGTTATTGAGAGCGACTATCCTTGCATATCTCAGGGCACCGAATCTTCTGATGGGAAAATCTTGGATAAGAAGGTGAGGGAGCAAAACAGAGGCAAGGCAGTTTGGCAGTACATGGTTGATACGCTTGACCCAGTCGTTGAGCATACTCTCATCGGACAGGATAACCATTACTACCAGGTCTGTATGGCGGGTACATACACGCCACAGTGTCACCCAGAGTATCTGGACGAGAGGGCGCACAAGAAGCTATCTCGCAAGGATGCGTTCGAGGGCCTACGCATTCACACCGATGAGATCGAAGAGGTCGTAAACAGGATACGACCCGGCACATTGACTGTGGCGGTCGTGATGGACAGCATGGATTGGTTTGACCCAGGGAGCCAAGCGGCGGCCACGCAGATTGCGAAGTTGAACAATGCGCTCAAGCTCGGTGGTAGGGTTATGCTGAGGAGTGCTGGCAAAAAGCCGTGGTATATCGACGAATTTGAGAAGTGGGGATTTGTGGCTAAGAGGGAGGGTGTTAGAGAGAATGGCGGTTGTATTGATCGGTATGTTAACCTTTTTATCCCCTGGAAGAAAATGGCTAACTCCTAAACAGCGTCAATATGTATGCGTCATGCTGGATCCTCACCAAGACCAAGGGTGTTCCTGTGGAGGTGGTGACAAGGGATACCGCGAGTCCAGAGGCATTGGAGATTTAATGAACTACGGTGTTGACCCTTGCCATCTATTTTTCATCACATGTGGGCTTGAAGACGCCTCGGACGGGCGCAGGGACGGACGGAATATGGACAGACTGCCTGTTATACAATTTGTGATACCGGCTGGTGAAGTTACTAGCTAGCTAAGTTGCAGCTATCAACCATCGATCTTAAGACTGCAATTAGGCCTAGCATCCGACGAATCTGACGATGTATTATTGGACAAGATCGTCCTCGTTGTCCTCTTCTAGGCCACGTGGTTGCAGTTATTTTGCATTTGATTGATCCAAATTAAAAATGCCCCATATATATGGCTTCTTCTCCAGTCTGCTCCAGCCGCTTGCTTTATTGAGGCGTCTATATCAATCTAAGTGCTAGGTTCGGCATTGTGCCTAAATCCCCACATTAACCCCGCAACGCTTAAAAGCATCCAGATCTGTCTCGCATTGACCCCCGGGTCAAATCAACAACCGGGATGTCGGCAAATTCTAGAAGGCGATGCTCGTGACGGGATGCCATCCAGCCGACTAAATGACAATAAGGCGGGGATCTCAATTTAAAGCCCCATGCGTTAGCATGTTTCCTCATCCAATAGGGCATTTCCGATCCCTGGTGCTTCGTGGCCTGCCAACCGTCGTCTATGCCGCGGATCTCACTGCATGTGTTAGAACGCTATTTTGGTTAAAGTGTTTTGATGGCAGATACTGATTGCGATATGGTTCGGCATATGGCCCGGCCACGCTGGGCAGCCGGTGGAGACCTTATTATTGAAACTGCACTCGACTGTTGTTCCTGGCGGGTAAATAAGGAAAGCTTCCATTCCGGGGGAAGGGAAAGGCTCGAGAGGTCATCAAGACGAGAAAAGCTTGGTAGGAAATACCACCTCATGATGGGTGGGCCGTCTCATTCTCATATGGCTATAAAGCCAGCATTTCCCTTTCTCTCTTCAGCTCTTCCCTTCCCCATCTCAAATATATCCAGGTCCCAATTCCTACAGCAGCACTCATCTATCTATTCAGCTTCTCAACATGCTCAAGGCAGCTACTTCCCTTCTTCTCCTCGGCGGCGCGCTCGCGTCGCCAGCAGGCGTACTTGAAGAACGCCAGAGCAGCTGTCCTGGTATTCACATCTTTGGGGCTCGCGAGACTACGGTGTCTCCAGGCTATGGTACCGCCGGGGTTGTTGTTAACTTGGTTCTGAACGCACACTCCGGATCCACCGCTGAGGCCATTGTCTACCCAGCTTGTGGTGGACAATCCAGCTGTGGCGGAGTTAGCTACGCCAACTCTGTTCAGCAGGGAGTCAAGGCTGTCGCCAGCGCTGTTAACGCATTCAACACCAGATGCCCAAGCACGCAGCTCGTCCTTGTCGGATACTCTCAGGTTAGCAACCAGCTGGAGCTGATGGTTAATTATAGAGGAGAGAAGCTAACTAGTTAATAGGGTGGTCAAATCTTTGACGATGCGTTCTGCGGTGGTGGTGATACCAATGAGGGGATCAGCGATACCTCAATTCCCATCCAGGCTTCAGCCGTCAACATGATCAAGGCTGCTATCTTCATGGGTGACCCACGCCACATCCCCGGCCTGTCCTACAACGTCGGAACCTGCCAAGCAAGCGGAGTAAGCCTTCCTCCCACCATTCAGACTTAACCATAGCTAATAAAACCCCCAGTTCGCCCCCCGCCCATCGGGTTTCCAGTGCCCATCCGCCAGCAAGATCAAGAGCTACTGCGACGCCGCTGACCCCTACTGCTGCAACGGCAATGACGCGAACACGCACCAGAGCTACGGAAACGTGTACGGACAGCAGGCACTGGCCTTCATCAACAGCCAGCTCAGCGCCACCGGCACCAACCCGCCGACCACTACTCCCACGGGTGGATCGGGTAGCGGTACCGTTGCGAAGTACGGACAGTGTGGTGGTCAGGGATGGACTGGCGGAACTGTTTGCGCTAGCGGAAGCACTTGCCAGGCTGCTAACCAGTGGTACTCGCAGTGCTTGTAAATGGAGGAGCGTTTGGTTGATGTCTTTGGTGAGACAAGTGAGTAGGTTTGGGTTGTATTTAGTTGGCAAAGAACGTATATAGGGCCACTATAGTCGAAATTTCATTGGAAATATTGGACTAATTCTATCTTTCATTTCGTTTATTTTGCTTTGCACAGTCTGCTCTGTAGACCAACGCTTGCTTACGCCGGTCAATCTATGATACAAATAAGATGGGAAGCTTTCTCTTTAGCCAGGCGTGCCAGCGAATATGGAGACATCCCTATGAGCAACGCAGACGGCGCACCCCCCCATTATGAACGCTACAAAGGATAGCAGCCGTCCCATTCCCAACCGGGCACTCCAGGGACATATACACCCCCTCCATATGGTCCTTCACGAGACGGCCAACAACCCTTTGTATTTTGCCCTCCAGCGTGAATAAACCGAGCCACAGCTTATCACCTGTTCATATTCCAGCAATTCCAGCGACAAGCAATGCATAACGCCTTACACCAGCTTGAACCTCCGCGCATCTGTATGTCATCTAGCTCTTTGGTCAGGTCGGGGCGTGCTACTACTGCTTCTTTATGGAGGTCTATTTCTTCCCATAGCAGAGAGTCACCATCGAGATGTGGGGGAGGGCCGAGAGAAGTAGTGGCTACATCCTTCTCATATTCCATATTGGGGTATCTATATGGTTGGCTGGCGCTGGGATAGCGATGTGCTGAAGAGGACATGATGTTGAAAGTTGGGTGTGTGAATAGCTTGTTCTCATATCACGGGTTTCATGGACTGGGAACTGGTTCGCTGAGTGAAGATGGCAGTGGAGGCAAGAGGGTAATAAAAGCAGGCGCAAAATAGTTTTTGGTATAGTCTATTCATAGGGATTGATGGTCTCGTACATAGTATACCAAGTGAATGAGCGCTTTGTAGGGCACAGTATATTCACAAAACTTTAGTCACACCCCCACGAACCTCTTGTTTGAAGCCAATATCATACAAGAAACCAAATATATAAAGGTATCTGTCTGCTATATATGCCCAGTACTTACAATACAAATCATAGCTTCGTTTTATGGTACAGGAAAAGATCCTTTGCCTCTTCCCTCAGCGCCAGCTCACTGAGAATTTCCTCGCTTCCACCACCTGCAAGTATGAATTAGAGCCCTTCCTGTGATTAACGGATGGGAGGAACTTACCAACAGCCATAACTCTCACGTCTCTCGAAATTGCCTCAATTCTCCCGCCTTTGCCGCCCTTGGAGTATCCCAACCCGCCCATAACCTGTTGCGCTTCTCTAACGCACGACTCCAAGCACCTCGTCGCCATTACTTTCCCCATAGCCGTCATTCCCCCAATCCTGATGTCAGTCCTCCCGGTCTTCCGGCTCTCCTCCATCATCCAAGTTAGCTGTTCCAAGAAAGCAAAGGCAGGCTCGATTAACCTGCCCATCTTCAGGAACTTCGCGCGAATAATAGGGTTTTCGATCAGCTTCTTGCCAAATGTCTCGCGTGTGCTGGCATGCATGTATGCATCCTCACAGCACACCCTCGACATACGTAGCGCAGATGTAATCATACTCTTTCGCTCCGGATTGAAATTCGACATGATAACCTCAAAGCCTCGGCCTTCCTTGTGGAGTAAGTTTGACACGGGCACCTTGACATTGTCGAACTCAATGAATGTAGATCCGGATGCACCAACTCCAGAGTTGAACATTTTGCGAGTGGTGACACCCTCAACTTTCATGGGGATGACGAGCACCGAGATGCCCTTTGAGCCAGGGCCACCAGTGCGGACAGCAGCTGTGACATAGTCCGCCCAGATGCCGTTGGTAATCCACTTCTTCGAACCATTGACAATGTAGTGGTCGCCTTGACGGATGGCGGTTGTCTTGATGTTGGCCACGTCGGATCCAGCTGTGAATGTCAGCTATCAAAAGCTAACTAGGGAGAAGATTCCTTACCATCTGGCTCCGTAATACCCAAGCAAAAGCGAATACTACCGTCGGCCACTCCAGGTAAAAAGCGGTCTTTCTGCTCCTGAGTTCCAAAGTTTGCAATCGGAGGAACTCCAATGCCGTTGCCACCACCAAGTCCCCATAAGATTCCAGTGTATCCCTTTTCATAAATTAGAAATCGAAACCAACGAATATTTTGTTGGAGGCCTAACCACTCGTGCGAGCTCATCGGTAATAATCAGAGTATGCCAATTATCCCAGTCCTTCAATAGAATATCGCCTGGAAGCCGCACATTGTCAAGTTTTGTGTGCAAGGCGTGAAAGCCCAGTTCCGCGTGTCGCTTGAGGGCCTATATTCAGATTATAAGTTGTGGTTTCCGTTATCACAACTCCAGTTCGCAGCTTACCCAGTCTGGCACTTCCCCTGCAGACTCCCATTCAAACGCGTAAGGGAGAAGCTCGTCGTCAACATATGCTCTTATCGCAGCTCTTAGTTTGCGATGGGACTCGTTATAATGCGGGGTCAGGTTCCGGGAGTACCACAAAGGCTCTGCGAATGGTGTAGGCGAGCCAAAAGGCTTTAATTCTGTAGATGTTGCCATTATTGCGGAGGATTAGATGGTATACACAAATCTACAATCATGTCACTACGGAAATGGCAATCATTCGCCTCATATGTTATAAAGTTGATAGCGCGTAGTTGCAATGGAGCCGTTGCGCCTTTACCGAGGTGTTTGGGCCTCGGCTTGTTACGAGCGTGGTGGAGTCAGTAAAAAGATGGGGATACCGAGCAATCAAGCAATTGAGCTATCGAGCTATATAAACTAGTAAACCCTACTATCTCCAGTTTCTTGCTGCGGTAGGCCAAGAAGCGAGTACTGTATCCCTGATAATCGATGTTCGTGTGTCAGGATTATGGACTCCATTCATGTGCGTGGAGCTTTCCCCAGATTTCGGGGCAATTGCGGGGTCTCCACTAAATAAATACCTTCATGAACTGACGACGAAAGGCTTTCGTCATGGTCAATAAAATGCTATTATAAAATACCATTATTATCCCGAGAACATTCCTATGTTTACTGTTGCTTGCTTTTAGGTGCTGATGTGGTAGGTTATTCCGATGCAGGCAATTCATACACACGGAACGAATGGAAGACAGTAGTATCAAAGCTGTTATGGTGTTTTATTAAAGTCATGAATGGTCATGGCTACAGCAAGAATGTAACGTGAGAGTTCCTGTGGCACTTCTGTGATCCTACCCTGTCCGCCTCATCTTCTCTCAATCCGATCTATCCACCAAGGTACGACACATTGCGGGGATTGTCCATTCAAATGTTGGTCCCTCGCCGGTTCGAAGCCTTAGAGCCCTTACAAGGCCACAGCAACGCCCAAGAGCGCCATTGCTACCCCGCCAAATGCAGTGGCCATGGCAGCCGCACCGCCAGTCGAGGAGCTGGGCGCCTGGGCCCCACCACCTCCGGTTGTCGTCGCGGCAGGGCCATCGGTGGTGCTGACGTCGCTTGAGGTCGTCGTGTCACTGGAGTCGCCTGAGGTGCTTGGGACAGAGGTGGTTTCGGTAGAGGTGGTTTCGGCAGAGGTGCTTCGGTCGGATGTGATGGTGGGTGCAGCAGTAGACTCGGAGTTCTTGGAGTCACTGGCTGTGCTGCCCGTCGTTGCAGTCGCAGAGCCAGACTGTGTGGCAAAGTAGGAGGAGCATGCCGCGCTTCCGGCCGCAATGACAGCAGGAATCTCTTCGGCGGAGCATGAGGTAATCAGGCAAGGGGCGCCGGCGGTGCCAATTTCAGCTTGCTTAGCGGGAGTGCAGGCGCAAGCATTGTCACCAGGAGTGCATGATGCGGCGACGATGGCGGAGGAGAGACAGGCGGTTGCGCAGTCGGGGATAGCCTGGGCGTGGATGAGAACGGGAAGGAGAACAGCGGATAGCACGGAAAGCTTCATTTTGACAGGATTGCGATTCGTTGGTTGTAATGTCAGATGGAAAGTGACTCAATTATAAACGCCAGTAGAAGTTGAAAACGGCAGGAGCAGTGAGGGATGTTGGTTGAAGAGAGGAGGAGAGGGGAGAAGGAAGGAGGGAAGGGAGAAGGGAAAGGAGGAGAGGGAAGAGGAGAAGGGTAATATATTGGTGGCGTTGACGTTTGTTTACGTTGCTTGGGGGCTGGGGGGGAGTGTTGGGCCGTGGTGCCTGGCTGGCTACAGTGGTACATGCATTACCATTATCACAGCAGTACACGGCTTGTAATATTGCATGGGTACACACTTAATGTAATAATGTAAGCGTGTAAGTATGTAAGGCGACTCTCACAGCAACTTGGTAACTTGGACTGGGGTAGCTTAATACAAAACTCGGAGTATATACTGTACTACAAATGGCAATGTTCCCAGTGGCAGAGTGAAAGAGTGCGTACATTGCAAGTCGTTTGGTTTGTTGTTGTAGCGGAGAAGTTAGAGCAGTTAACCCCCTGTTTGCGGGGAAGCAAGGTCAGGAACTTGACCTGTCAGGGACGAGGGCGGGGGTGTACAGGCTGAAGTCACATAAGACAAAGGGGACCTGAAAACGAGAATAAAGAATATACAGTAATTTCGAGGGAATTAGGGACCGATGAGTAGAAGTGTGCGTGTCTGTCTTACTTGCATGCATTGTAGTTGCAAATAATAAAACAAATTCGAAATAAATTCGGGTTCGTAGCTTAGTTAAATCTTCCCCCGCATAACAGAAATATAGCAATATATGAAGAAGCAACAAAGGTATGAAAAAAGGCAAAAAATGTACTGATGGGTCTTGCCCGAGATCGAATCGGGGACCTCTCGCAAACATTGCTGTAGGGTGGACCCTAAGCGAGAATCATACCACTAGACCACAAGACCCGTTTTAGTGATTGGATGTCTCCATTTGCTCTATATATACTGAATGCGAGGGACACGAGTAACACCGTCTGTGTAGTACCTGCTTCAAACCTATCCTTCTCCCAACAACAAACTATAAAGCTGCCCTATATCGAGTGAAACCGGGGCATAGTAACCAAATAATGACCTGTAACGGTAGTTGTTCTATTTGACTCACACACAGTATCTGCTACCAGTGCGGTTTAGATTGGTGGTGGGATGGTGGCTTTCTGCCATGACATACCGCCCGCAGCCGGACCATGAATGTAGCCTTGAGGGCTATATTCTTTCCTCATTCTTTCCTCATTACCCTCACTCACTTGGCTTGCCAATCTAGGAAGCAGGAATACTATCAATATGTCTACTCCAGAAGATCCAGAACCGCTATATACTGTTATAGTCAGGGTACCATTCCCACGAGATAACTTTGTGGATCCTCCACCGGTATGTTGCCCGACCTCTTTTCCTACCATCTGTCTGACCTCTTTGTGAAGGTTGCCTGGGATGCATCGAAGGATAGGTCGCTGTGGAAGATCCTTTCCAAGACACCCAAGAACAATGAGATGAATTGGAACACATTGGCAGAGAGTTATGATGTTTCTTTATCGTTCCTACTACAGCAAGCAGCATACCTCTACGACCGTCAATTTTCCCAAGTTAGGGCCCAGCTTCGAAAGGTTGGAGCATCAAAGAACACGGTTCAATCGCCTATTCTGGGTACAGAAAGCACTGGTGGTGAGGCCATGGTAAGAACGGTATCTGGTGGTAGCCAACAACAAACTCCATCCTCTCTCTCGATTCGGAGAGATTCTCCCGCGCCAAATGCAGACGGCAGTGTTCAACAACCCACCGGGCGCGCTGGTGCCCCCCAAATAAGCCGCACATCATCCTCGAACACAGCAACCCAGATCCAAAGTCGACACACCATCATCCCCTCCAGCCCCCATACTGCGAAGGCCCAGCTTTATGGCCGGTCCATGTCGCCTTTGTCAAGGGCACGGAGGCCGTCCAATACAATCAACACCGCACACCCGCACATTTCTTCACGCCCAACCCCGTTTTCGCCAACATCTGTACTCGAGTCAAGTTCAGAAGAGTCCTCCTCCGACTCGGATCTCCCAGTTCAGAGTCGAATGCTACGTCGTCCACCCCGTCGCCTCCACCACTCTGAAGATGGCGACGATGACGAAGATTCGCCTACATTCCTCCCATTTACCGCCACAACCAAGCCTCCTGCCGCCTATAACCCAAGCGCAACCGCTGCACACGAAGATACGATTGGAGGTTCACATCGCAAGAAAGCATCCGATGCCGTGCTTCGGTCACATACATCTGATTCTTCAGCCAGCTCGACCGCGCAGAACCATCCGCCTAGCCATAGAGATCCGAAGCAGGTCCGGGGCTTGGCTGGCGCAGGTCCAATTCCCGGCCGCAGAACCGCGGAGCTAGCAGGGAGGAGTCCAGTAAGTAAAGGTAAGGAACAGGGGATGGGGAGAGAGAGCGATGGGACACCAAGTATGGGTAGTAGTTTCAGCGACCTTGATGGTGAGATTGCCCGATGTATGCTGCTATTAGAGGCTGTTACTGACACATTCTTGAATAGATGCCTCCGTGACCCAATCCGCGCTCGAAGAGGCGTTGCTCAGTAATATGCAGCATGGTGGCATGGCAAGCAAGATGAGCACTTTCAGTCATGCATTCCGCAGCAGGTACTTGTAGTTATAGTTTTGTCCTTGGTAAGTTAGGATATTTAGCATAATTTTGGCACCAGGAGGGGTCACAAGTTAATTTAACGTATGTAGCCCGTTAAAAATGTGCCTGTGCCAAAACTGTTATTCGTCATTATATGAGATAATAAATAGCCTTCGAATTTGATTTCTAGCTTGACGTCGATTTTTTCATCCCAGCCACTCAGACTGTTTACACTTCTGTAAGGGGGACGACCGAGAGGAGTAAGTAAGTTAAGCTAAGCGCGAAATAAAACGTCTTTCGCCAATGTGTAACTTACGTCTTGCTATAGGGCCTGACCTCTGGTGTCCCACACCCTTGGTTAAATACCCTCAGTCACCAAAGCCTTAAGAAACCTGTTCAGTCAAACTCCTTGACCAACTCCTGCCCATTCGCCTCTAAATATACTCGCGTCAACTTGCGCCGAGCTCCAGTTATGGCGCAAAGTTCGAGCACACTCACCCGCCTTTCCGAAACCTTCGTTATCAGCTGTGGTACAATCACCCTGGATCCAGTCGAGAAGAGGATACTTCTTATTCAATGGAAGAAAAACGAGGAGATTTTTCTCCCTAAAGGCCGTAAGAATATTGGAGAAAGTCTACTGGAAGCTGCAGTACGAGAGACCTATGAAGAAACAGGCTTCCGAGTTACCATACTTCCCCTGCGGATCCCCACGCTTGCAACACCAAAAGCAACTGTCGAGCAAGTCAACGAGCTAAACACGGAGCCTATTGCCTTTAGCCAGCGTCTCACAGACAACGACACACTAAAGCTTATATTTTGGTTTTCTGCACAGGGGGACTCTACCGCGGCGCCTGGTGTTGGAACCCAAGAGGAAGGAGAAGACTTTGACCCCATCTGGGTAGATCTAGACAGTGCGATCGAGACTCTGACCTTTGCCGATGACAAACGGGTCGTGAAGCGATATTAGCCTTGTGCCCTCCTATTTAGCTGCATAACTTTATTGGTTTTTCGCATTCCAAGCTTCATACCCTACCTACTATGTAGGGCCTCTAAGAGGGTCGTTATTGATCCTAGAGACATGCTTACATTAGCGCCAATGTGATGATCCCATTCTGCCAATCATCCTAGCTCTATTGCGCTGGATTAAGGGATAGTCACATCCATCTCGTGTGTTATTATTCTACCTAACGTAAGTCGTGGCGTAATGGGTATAGTAGGGTTAAGCCACCCTATCAAAAATATCATCAACTTTAAAAAATCGCAAATAATTCAATTACTACCACCCTAATTCATCTATATCATCCTCTGAAGGCTCTTCTTCGCTCCCTTCATCTATTTCCTTAATTGTAGCTTCGTTTATAGGTCGTGGTGTAGTTCTAGACCTCTATGAAGCTACTGCTGTTACTGCTTCTGCTTCTACAACTTGCGACTAGAGTTCTTCTGTAGAAATATGGAATTAACCCTTTAAAACTAACGTAAGTCGTGGCGTACTGGCGGGAATGGCGTACTGGCGGTAGTGGGGTTGCAGCTACCCCATCAACAACTTCAAAAAATCGAAATAATTCAATTACTACAGCCCTAATTCATCTATATCATCCTCTAAAGGCTCTTCTTCGCTCTCTTCATCTATTTCCTCAATTATAGCTTCGTTTATAGGCTGTGGCGTTGTTCTAGGCCTCTGTAAAGCTGTTGCTGTTGCTGTTGCTGCTTCTGCTTCTATAACTTGCAACTGGAGTTCTTCTATAGAAATGTAGAATTGACCCTTCAAAACAGCTCTTTTACCCTTATTCTATGCCCTACGCTTCTAAATAATTGAATGTAAGTTATTACACTCTCTTTTTTTAAAGGGTATTATGTGTATTAAGGCGTTCTAACTTATCTACTAACTTATTAATATATCGCTTTGTAGGAGTATTCAAAACACCTTGATTTAAGGCTATATAGAGCATAGAATTCGCTTTTTAAAGGGTATTAAAATTAGGTGGACTACTGTTTAAGAATACCTTCTTAAAAATATTATGCTCTATAGGAGTATGTGGCCGTTCTAATACTACTATGTCTATAGTAGGAAGTGTAGCTGCTCGAATGACTGTTTGTAGTTGAAATAGCTGTAGGCTACTCCCTCTCTATATAGAAGTTATGTTTGAAGTTGAAAAAGCAGCTGCTTTTGCTTTTATATATGCTTCTAGCCACTCTACTTTCTATATATATAGGAGTTGCACCTCATTTAGGTGTAAGAGAGCAGTTGTAAGGTGTTGCTTTAAGGGCCTAAAAATTGAAATATTAAGTAGCTATAGAACATAAGATGTATAAGGAGGTAGTATAAGGAGCGATATTCAATTTTAAATGTAGTGTGATATAAAGCTTCTACTTATATAGCTATCATAGCTATTGCAAATTAGGAGCTGTTGCTGTAACGTAAGTCGTGGCTATACCGGCTACATGGCCATACCGGCTATTTTGCCGACCCCACCAAAATCCAGGACTAGACCACCAAACTACTTCTACTACTCAACTTAACATGGTCAAACGCAAGAGTATTAAGACTTAGGAGCGTGATTTTCGACTTTCTAAAGCTATTTTAGGAATACAGACTAGAAAATATAAGTCTGCAAATGCAGCAGCTATTGCCTTAGGGCTAAGGCCAGATACTGTGCGTAGGCGTATAAGCGGAATACATCATACACATACAGAAGGACATTTACTACAACAACTCCTCTCAAAAAACCAAGAACAAATACTTTTAAAGTGGATTAAAGAGCTTACTGCAAGCGGCTACGCTCCTAGCCATCGGATATTACGTGAGGTTGCAGATGAAGTCCGGTCAAATAAGTGTCGCGTTTTTCAGCCTCAACAACAACACATACAACAACAACCTCAAACTCAACAACTACAACCTCAAATAC